CCCCCCAGCCCCCCCCCCCCCCCCGCCATGTGTGTGTGTCCATGGCTGGTTGGCTGGGTGCAGTGATGCGGGAGTACTTTCGGCAGCTGATGGGGGAAAACAGGACCTCTGACGGCGGCGACTTGCGGCCCGCCGTGGGCGCGTCTGGGCTAGACCCCGAACAGATCACGGGATTCCTGCTACCAGGGTGCGCACACACACACAGCACAGACACACACACACACACATTTCCTGCCTGCCTGCCTGCCTGCCTTGCTGAATGTGTCGCTCGTTGTTCTGTTGTTTGATCATTGCAGAGTGCTCGACAAGGACCCCACCGAAAAGGGCCACGAATTCTGTAATTAATACCCCCAATCCCATGCACACACGCACCCCACCCCGGCTGCCTGCAATGCAACCATCGCGTCTGTGTGTGTCGGTGGGCTATGTGAGCAGACAGCCGTGAGTTGACCAAGAGCCAGTGGGAGGCAGTATTCGAGGGGCTCACAGCCATCGTCGGCTCCAACAAACTCCTCCTCAAACTCGACAAGGGCAAGAAAACCACCCCAAACACCACCGCTGCAACCACCACAAGCAGCACCGCCAGCAGCGGCCTCGCCACACACAGAGGGGACCGACACCCACAGGCCACCAGCAGCAGCGGCAGCCCCCCCAGCACCGAGGGCACATCGGTGGTGTTCCGTCTGCCGGTGCCCATGGCGATCCACCGGCTGATTCTGCACCAGGACATCGATCTGAAGCCGCAGGTCTACGAGACCGTCCACAGGCCCCTCACCCCGCAGGCCTTCCAGGCGGCCATCATGACGCGCAACGCCATCATCGCACTCGTCAACGAGAAACTCACCCTCGTCCGCCGCGCCGTGCAGCACATCCAGGCGACGACCGAGGCCAACGACCATGCCGCCCGGTTCCTGTACACGAGGTGGCCGCAGAACCTGACACTCGACTACCCCTTCATCCCCTGCGAGGCCCACCTGCTGGACTGGATTGTGCGGCAGCCTGAGAGGCACCACGGGGGAGACGGGTGGAAGAAGTTCAAGCTCGAGTACGACGCCACACACAACCTGCCGGCCGATAAGGTCTTCGACAGGACTATGAAGGGTGCGGGGGCGGGTGCACAGGAGACATGGCTGGATGAATGGCTGGATGGCTGGATGGATGGATGGATGTGTGTGTTTGGTGTGTGTGCAGTGTTTGACAGGGCTGCCCGCCACTACCCACCCAAGAGCAACGTGCCGCAGCAGATGCTGGTACGTCACCTGCTGAGACAGAGAGAGAGAGAGAGAGATATGCACATCAATCGTATTACTGTCTGTGTGTGTGCGTGTGTGTGTGCGTGTGTGGTCTGGTGCACGCCGTGCCATGCAGTCCCGGCCCGTGACGTGTGTGGAGGCCTCCTCCCTCACAGAGGACTTCTTCATCGAGCGCAACTAGCACCGAGTAGCCACACATGGATCCACCACAACGGATGGATGGAGGGAGGGATGGATGGAGGGGTCGGAATGGACGGCGGCCAGCTGGTAGCAGCGATAGATGCACCTGCGTGTGCGTGTTGTGCAGCAATTAAATCAAGTGAACGGTCGGAGGGAGGGAGAGAGGGAGGGAGGGTGGGGGTGGGTGCTTCGTGAGCTTCGGGTTGGAGGGGGTGAAATGAATGCCTGTGTAGCTGCCTAGTTGTGTGTAAATAACGGCTGGCAGACTGCAGACACCGCCCATTTCACTGCCTGGGCAGATATATATATATCTTCATCTTCACACACTGGCAGCACACCGCCCAGCCCACCGAGGCTCGTTCGTGTGTCACTCAGCACCACCATGCACACATCACACACATGTGAATAAATGAATGGCTCCCCCCCCTCCCCCCTCTATTCACTCTCTGTCGCACTCATCTCATCCACACAACCCCTCCGCTCCCACACAACCGCTCCATGCATCAAGCTTGATGGAGGACACTTGGTGCCGATGTAACCTAAGCCACGCACACGGAAAAAGACCTGCCTGCCGGTTCTCTCTCTCCCTCTCTCTTACGTATTGCAATGGGTGAGATAGATGTATACACACACTTAGAAACGGACGGGCACAGGTGGTACTTACCAAGGAAGGCAGCCAGGCAACCAACCAGCGTACTACATATGGTACACACACACAGATGGTCGACAGACAGAGAGGTAGATATACATACATACATACATACATACATACATGGGTGCGTCCACTGATTGCACTGCACGTGGGGATAAAACACACATGCACACAACTCGAGGGGGAACCACCAAACAAAACTTTCCATGTGGGGGAACATAACAAAAGGACACACAGCTGGCTATGCACACTCACAGACACAGCAACTCGATACGTATGTGACGGAGGATAAAGAAAAGAAGTACCCTCTCTGCCGGCCCCCTCGTCTCTCACTGATGGCTTCGTTCATCCATCCACATAGACAAGACAGAGCCACACGGCCTGTGGCCACGCTATGTGTGTCACTCACTGTTTGGTGTGTCATGCGTCTCAGCCCTCCTTCCGCACCGGCAAATGACACCCCGGGGAAGAGGCGTACATTTGGCGGTACGGAAGAAGTAAGACACGCAGGACACCCAACCAGAACACACAACACGACACGAGACAGATTCCCTTCCTGGTGCCGCCTTCGCGTCTGTCCCCCTGTCTGTCATGCGTCTCGCGCTTCGTCCAGCGAGGCGGCACTGACATCTCGGCCGTGAGATGTCATGTTCACCTCACTCAAGGCAACGCTAGACACGTGACAGGAGGGATCAAGCATGTCAACCTCACGCGAATACACTACAGATAGATGCGATAGGAAAACGCCCTCCCCGTGGCAGGCAGGAAGGCAGGCAGGTTGCTCGCTCGCCCGCTCGCTTGTGTGTCGCCTCTCTCTCTCTCTTCACCTAGCTACAAAGGACTAGACAGAGACATTCACCCGCCGACCCATCCCTACTCTCTATGTACAATACACAACGGCTCATCCACTAGGTAGGCAGAAAGGTATACACACACACAATGCAGCCAGCCGCGATACAACAAAACAAAACCAAACGAAACGAAACGAAACTCTACCGTTGGTGTCCTTCATTCATGAGAATGCAAAGGGGTTGCTCTTGGTCTTCTTGATTGCGTGGTTGGGCTCAGCGGCCTTGTAGCCCGCCACCAGGCTGCTAAACTGCTCCCCACTCAGCATCTCGCTCTCAACCAGACGACGGGCCGTCTCGTCCAGCAACAATCTGAATGAAACACCGGGAGAGGGGAAAGCGTGTGTGTGCGTGTGTGGGTCGGTCGGTCTGTTTCGTTACGTTCGTACCTGTTGTCCTGGAGGATTTGTTTGGCCTTGGCGTACGCGTCTGACACCACCTGACGCACCTCACGGTCCACTGTCTCCTTCGTGGCCTGGACACATATATCACATCCACACATAACATACATGCCATGCAATCCCAGCCTATAGCATGCTTGAAAGGGACGGACCTTTTGCTGCTAACTGACTGACTGACTGACTGAGTGACTGACCTCAGAGGTCTCGAGGAATGGCGCCATCCCCTGCCTCATCATAGCGTCCTCCACGTTGAGCTGACCGACCTTGTCGTTCATGCCGTACTGCGTCACCATGCTGCGGGCGATGCGCGTCACTTGCTGCAAATCGCTCGACGCACCCGTCGTCACGTGCTCAGGGCCATACACGACATCCTCAGCAGCACGACCACCAAGAGCTACCGCAAGCTGATTCTGAAGACAGACAGACAACGGACAGACAGACACACATTGACGGTGGGGCGGGTGGGCCCCTCATCTCCTCATGTCTCTGACTTGCAGGTAGTCGACCGAGTACATTCCGCTAGTGAGGCGCTCCTCTGCGGGGAGGTAGAAGGTGGCGCCTCCGGAGCCGCCTGTGCGGGGGATGATGGAGATTTTCTGCACTGCGTCGTAGCCCGGCAGGAAGGCCCCCACGAGGGCGTGGCCGGCTTCATGGTAGGCCGTGAGCGTCTTGACCCGCTCTGAGAGCGCCCTGTTGGTCTTCTCTGACCCAAGCATGATGCGGTCGAGAGCCGCATCGACGTCGTCGGTCTCAATGAGCTCCTTGCCCTTTCTGGCAGCAAATATGGCGGCCTCGTTCATGAGGTTCTCGAGTGATGCGCCGGAAAATCCGGTCGTGCGCGCCGCGATGGAGTCAAGGTCCACATTGTCGGCCATGGGCTTGCCCTTGACATACACATCCAAAATGGCCCGACGCGCCTGACAATCGATTGAATCGATACACACAGACAGCACAGCACAGCATGCCAATCGAATTCGGCACCGCACCAAGTAAGCAGCAGCCAACACATGCCATGCACTCACTCACCGGTAGGTCAGGAAGGTTGACCTGCACTCGCCGGTCGAATCGGCCGGGGCGCAGCAGTGCGTTGTCGAGGATGTCTGCACGGTTGGTGGCCGCCACCACCACCACACCCTGGTTGCCCGTGAAGCCGTCCATCTCGGCCAGGAGCTGGTTGAGTGTCTGCTCTCGCTCGTCGTTCTGCGGCATGAAGCCTCCTGACGCACGTGAGCGGCCGATGGCGTCGATCTCGTCGATGAAGATGATACAGGGGCTCACTCGCTTGGCATTGGCAAAGAGGTCACGCACACGTGAGGCGCCGATGCCCACAAACACCTGAATGCACTCATCAATCAGTACCAGTTGAGGCACCCGCCTCCCTGTGTTGTGTGATCATGTCGTTAGTTCCTGACTGACCTCTACGAATTGGGACCCACTGGTTGAGAAGAAGGGGACCCCCGCCTCGCCGGCGACAGCCTTCGCCAAGAGCGTCTTACCGGTGCCTGACGCACACACACACACACAGCACGCAGTGACTCCCTCTGTGTGGACGTGTGTGTGGACATGTGGTGTGTGTGTGTGTGTGTGTGTGTGTGCAGAAGGACTTACCGGGTGGTCCCTCCATGATGACGCCTTTCGGGATCTTGGCGCCCATTTTTGTGAACTGACTTGGGTCCTTGAGGAATGTGACGATCTCGGCCAGCTCCTGCTTGGCCTCGTCCTGTCCAGCCACTTGGGAGAAGTTGACGCCCGTGTCGGGCTTCATGTCGAACTTGGCATTCATCTGACCGAACCGACCTGATACGGACACCCACACAGACAGCCATGCCCCGCATTCTTCGCCCCACTCCCTCCGTCCCTGGGTACCGAGGAGTCCGCCCCCACCGCCGCCGCTCTGCTGTCCGCCCTGCTGGCCGCCGCCCCGACCCATCTGTGCGGTGAAAAAGAGTAGACTCCCCAGAATCAGCCACGGAAAGAAGGTGACAATGGCCCGCACCCAATTGGGCGACTGACAGGCCAGGCCAAAGGGGCATTTGTGCTCATGCATGCTGCAGGTGGGGTCGCTGTGTGTGTGTGTGTGTGTGTGTGTGTGGTTTCATTACGGGTTCGGGCGACTGGACAGAGAAGTCGACTTTGTACTTTCTGAGAGTCTTGAGCAGATTCTGGTCATTAGGGATGCCTTCCAACACATACTGGTTGCCTGCACACACAACACACACAGACAGACATGCCACACACACACAAGCGGTGAAGAGCACCTTGCTTTCGACGTGTGTGTGACCGACAGACCGACCGACCATCGATGTCTATGGCTGTCAGTCTGGTCCCCTCCTCGCTGAACAGCACAGTCGTGAACTTCTTCTGCTCAACCATGTCCAGGAACTGCGAGTAACTCCGCAAGGCTTCCTGGGCTGCCGCAGGAGACACCTACATGATACAGACACACAGGGACACAGACACAACACGTGCACTGCACATGAGAGCTCCTTTCACAGGCGTGTCATGCTGTGACGTACGTTCCAGTCAGGCGCCGACAGGAGCATGGCCGTCAGTCCGGCGAAGGTCGCCCGCCTCCCAAACGCATTCCAGCTGAACCGTGCTGCCTCGTCGTCATCCTCGCTGTCGTCGCCTTTCATCCGCAGCGGAGAGGCCGACTGTGAGGCATGCGGGAAGACATCCTTCAAGCCAGAGCGGCGCATCAGGGCACTCGGGCTGCCGAACCGCGAGATCTGGCTGGCTGGAGGTGGGATGAAGCCATGAGTGAGGCGGGTTGTGGCCTCGCCTGTCGCGGAGAGCCAGAGGAAGAAGATCACCACAGATGCCTGTTTGGGTGACATGAGGGCAGTTCTGAAAGACCTCCAAGAGCTGAACACCTTCGCTAGGGTCGCGTGCGAATCTATTTTGCGAGCTGGCGTCATTACACGCAACCTGGCCTGAAGCGGCCTGGCCTCTTTCCCACCACGGCAGATCTGCTGCGGTTCCGCTCTATTTCGGCAACAGATGGCTCTACCCGTCGACGCGGACTTGCTGCTTCGTCGCGTCGACACATACTTTGGTCGCTCGCGGGGCCTCACCGGGCTCTTCGATGTGGAGCGGCAGCAGGACATCGTGCTGCCTGATGGATTGACGCGCTTTGGGTACCTCTCCCGCTGCTCGAACAAGGGGGCCCCGAGTCACCCGAGTGGTCATCGATGGCGCCTTACGCTCGGCTTGCCAAAAACTACTGGAGGGTCCAGCAGCTGCTGATTCTACTCTCGCCCCAGGGCATCATTGACACCGCCATGGGCATCTACAAGGCGTTCGGGCACCAACTCAGTGACGGCACGCGCAAGATGACTCTGCTGGTGATGGACATGGGCAAGGCTGAGGCGCTCAAGGAGCAGGGCAACGTAACGTCCGCTCAAAGACCGTTTTTGAAGACCGAGCGTGTCTATCAGTGCATCCATGGAGTGGACATCTGTGCATCCACGAAGTGCTAGAGGGTCCACCGCCTCGTGGTGCTCGTCGTGCAGCCAAGCCAGTGGAGCCTCTATTCTACTCGTATTTATTCGGCCTCTCTCTCTCTCTCACTCACTCAGTCAGTCAGTCAGTCAGTCAGTCATCTGTGTATGGACTGGACATCTATAGATTCGCTTTGAACAAAATCGGCACACACGATTTGCAGGTACAAGAAGACCCCTTCACAAAAGGACCGTTGATCAAAACATCCCCACATCAAACTGCTCACCACTCGTTGGCAAAAGAACAAACGATACACTCCTGTCTCCCTCCGCTGTACGAGCGGATGACGGCTGTGTGTACGAATGGCATAAAGGAGAATGGGCATCATTATATATTGTGTGTATGTCTCAGCTACTGCCGTGACTTGAGACATCACTGATCGTTGGTTGTTCATGAGGTAGTTGGCATGGCCTGCTCCTCCACCGGGATCGCCATGTTGTCCAGTCCGTCCTCCTCAATGGCGTCATCAACAGCACCGGGGGCTGGCCCGTTGTCGACGACATACTCCTGCTTCTCGACGTGGACCGTTGTGGCGTTGGGCTGGTGTGGCGGGTAGGGCTGCTGCTGCTGCATGGGGGGCGGCGCGGCAGACGGCACCTGCTCCTTCTCGCCAACTTGCTGAGACGCAAACCCGACTGAAGGAACACAAAAACAGAAACAGAAACAGACAGACATTGTTCCCGTGAATTGCTCGTTGTCTGTGTGTATGTCCGTTATATACTGAAGATTTGCTCTAGAGCCGTCTCCGAAATGGCATAATCATCCACCTTCAACGTCTCCTGATAAGGAAGGACACACACACAGAGAAAACCAACCGGCCAGCCGTCTCTTTTGCACTCTGAGTTCCCTTGGCCACCTACCTTGTTTTGCTCGATGGTCCTGAATATGTTTGCGAGTGACATGATGCCCCTCGGTATCTTGAACGAGTCGTGTCGGCCGTGGCTCTCCACGACCACCGTGCCCGGGAAGTTGGAGGCCATGAAATCAAACAGCGCCGGCCGGGTGTCCTCGTCGTGAAGGGTAATCTCACACTGATACCCCTGACCATACTTGGCCTTCAGGTGGCTGGCAGGGCCGATGCAACTGCACTCAAACGCCCAGCACCCACCCACACAGTCTCTGTGTCATGTCTCTGTCTTTGTCACGGCTCTCTGTCACGCACTGACTGACCGCAGTCTGCCGTTGACCATGATAGCGATCTTGTCGCAGAGTGCCTCGCATTCCTCCATGCTGTGTGTGGTGAGGATCACCGACCGGCCCTGCATGGTGGTCGCAATTAGCGACCACATGAACCGACGGCTGGCCGGATCGACACCCGACGTCGGCTCGTCTGCATCAACGACACGAGAAGGAAGAGACACACAGTGAGTGACATGTGGCCCATAATCTGCGCCGCTGCTTGCCCAGGAAGACGATCTTTGGGTTCCCAATGAGCGCTATTCCGACAGACAGCTTGCGCTTGTTGCCGCCCGAGTAGGTGCCGGCAGGGCTGAACGAACCAACCGACGGATGGTGAAGTGTGTGACATCCATTTATGTAGAGGGGGAGAGAGAGTAATGCCCACCGGTCAGCGTACTCCCTGATGCCTAGCTTCTCGATGATCTTCTGGACGTACTCGTACAGCTACACATAGAGACAGGACAGCAGCAGTGCCGGGCTTGCCTGTGCTGCTGGCCGTCTGCTTGCTTGTTGACCTGTGTCTTGGGAATGCCCTTGATACGCGCGAAGAGACACAGGTGCTCGCGGCCGGTCAAGTTGTCAATCAACGCGTCTGCAGCCATCCAGCCACCCACCCACTGAAGTGAATGCAGCTCTCCCATCGTTTCTTTGCATTTACCGAACTGTGGGCAGTATCCGACGAGTCGTCTGACAGTCACCTGTTCCTTGAGGATGTCCTTCTTGCCCAGCTTGGCGGTTCCGTCAGTGGGAATGATGTCGCCCGTCAGCATCTTCAGAGTGGTCGTCTTGCCCGCGCCATTCGCACCCAAATAGCCAAAGCACTGACCCTCAGGTATGGAAAAGTAGACGTCGCCGACGGCGATCCGTGGCTGCACGATGCGAGTGCCGGGAAAGACCTTGCGGAGCCCCATGACCATGACCATGTGCCAGTCGGTGTGGTCAGCCTTGCTGGCCATAGCTTTGACAGCCTGGCGCTCCGACTCGACGTCGTCATCCTCCTGTGTGCACAAGACACACATACACACAAAAAGACAGGAGTAGGTAGATTGACTGCATGTGTTACTTCGTATGGCGGCTCTTCTATGGATTGGTGCATTTGGAGTCGCTTCATGAGGTCGGGTGTGGAGCTGATGTACTCGATGGCAAAGGTGGCGATCACCGACACTATCATCACTATGGTCTGCGAGCTCCACCCACCGACCAACACAAAGGAGACGTGGCATGAAGAAATGCATTGTTGGTGGCTGCGGACCATGTAGATGAGTGGGTATCCGACTATCTCCAGGTCCCAGACATCGTGCTCTTTGCCGTTCCAGAAGAAGCGGCTCTCCCTCAGTATGATGTTGGCCAGCCCTCTCCCGAACGCGAAGTTCGGCAGCAGGTACAGAATCCACAAGAGGTAGTCGTCGTGGATCTCCTTGGTCGTCGAGATGATGCTCAGAATGAACGACACGACCATACCAATGCCGCCTGACACACACGAGAGAGAGATGAGTCGACCTCCTTGTCTGTCTGTATGAATTGTGTGTGTGCGTGCGCGTGTGTACACGAATGAACGCACCGGTGAGGAGGTATAGTAGGACGAAGAATATCTGGGAGGCCGTGTGGTTGTTGAAGAGGAAGCTCAGCATGTATGTGAAGGGCCCGATGCTGATGCCGTAGAACAGCAGAATGGTGAACGTCGCACCCGCAGCGGCACCCTCAAGCTACGCACATACACACATCCATCCATCCCGACAGGGAATGCAAAGATGGATGCCGGCTCTTGATACACACCAGCGACTTGACGTCGAATGCGACCATCAAAATGAAGGCCAAAAGAGCGGGCAAGAGGTACACGACACTGTCCCACAGCCACGTGGACAACCAATACGCCTGGGGGCATGCATTGGTTGAGTGAGGCACAATACGCTTCAGGTTAGTAAGGAGGGAGGGAGGGAAGGTCTTGCTTTTCAGCCTTACGAATATGCTGACGCCGGATATGGTTTGCTGGTGTTTGGCTTTGGTCTCGCGCTCTCGTACAATCGTCAGACCCCAGAAGGCTGCGGGAATGACCACAACGAAGACACTCATGTTGATGTTTGTCATGTATGTAGACGGATACCGGGGATGAAGGCGAAGCCCATGCCTGCACAGCACAGCGCATACAGCAGACAGCCAAGGACCATCCGTGAGACCCATGTATGTATGTATGTATGTGTTTGACTGCTCACTGAGGAACATGGCTGTGTCGAAGTCTGCAAAAGCCTCCTCCTCGGCCGTCAGAGGCAGCGGGTGGTTGCTGCTCACGCGAACAGACAAATATACACACGCACATGAGCGGCCGGTGTGCCCCTGGCATACGAACATCCACCCGCCCGAGCTTACTCGACACGAGCGCTGTAGCTGGGGTCGTTGGCCCGGGACCGCAGCCAAAAATTGAAGAACTCATGGTAGTAGATAGGCAGCCTGAGAGATGCTCACTCAGCTGCGTGCTAGCCTCCACCTGGATGAATAGTCTGCTTTACGCGTCTCGTCCTGAGCTGTTCCAGTAGAGGTCCATTTGCACTTCCGGTAGTGGCCCTGTCAGGCTGACGTCATTGATCAAGTAGGCACCGCGCCTAACCACACACACGCGCACGGGCATACACAGGGAGAGATGGCCCGCTATTGCTCTCTATCTGACTCGTGCTTGTGGCCGGCCGCCCGTCACCTGGGCTCCTCTTCATCCCCTGCTGTGTCGTGCAGCCAAACGGAGAAGTCGTTGTCAATCTCAGCCGCGCTCACACCCCTCACATGCAAGCTCTGATCGACCAAAGCAGACGGTCATGAACGAACAGTCTGTAATCAAGGCAACATGTCCTGTTCGTACGTTCTTGTAGGTGAATACGCTGTCCCATCGGGGGTCTCTATTGTAGGGGATGTCGATGTCGCCGTAGTGGCTCTGAATCGACAGGCTGTGACTCCAAAACGAGTCGCTGAACGACGCATGGAAAGGCGAGGCTTAAGAGCATCGGGCATGTAAGAGCATGTCGGGCATGGAAGAGCTCACGCGCCACTGAATTTGAGTAGAATGAGCGCGAACAGGACGAAGAGAATCGGCAACGCTATCTGGCAGCAGAATCCCTTGAAGTCTGCAGAAAGTCGCAGCAAAATCACGGGAGCCTGACCTCAGCGAGCAATCACTCGGGCTGCGCCCGCAGTGTCTGCCATACATACCGCGTTTGTTGGCGTGGAATCTCTTGATGAGCAGTGCCTTCATGTGGATGGCGAAGAGCACGAAGCCTCCAGTGACCCGCCCCAGCTCCCTTTCCTCCCAACTGGGCCGCCGCTCGCCGGCCTTGACTGCTTGACGTGTGAAAGTGGCTCCCTCGGCGTGCACCTGGCTGCTGTCCTTGCCCTTCTTGGCCGATGGCGCCGACTCGACCTGGTCGAGATCCTCAAATGAGTGCCGTACCTGTACAGACACGTGAGATGTATGTATGTGTATGCTGATCCACTGAAAGGGAGCCAAGGATGGCAGTGTGGTTGACCTGGAAGGCGTCGTTGCCTTTGTCGGTGATGTCGAGGACGTCTCCCTCGGCGTGACGGCCGACCTTCAGAAACACCTGCATTCATTCGCAGACATACAGCCAGCTGTGGAGGGCAATCAAGCATAGAGGGGGAAATTGTGGCTGGTTGACTGACTGACGTCCACACAGTAGGTACCTCCTCTAGTGTGGTGACCCCGATGGCAAAGCTGCGGACGCCATACGTCTGCGCCTCGTTCTTCTGGCTGTCCTGCTCCAACGCCTCCAACACACTGGACGCAAACAAACAACCAACCAATCCACTCACCGTGTGTATATGTCTCCCTCTTGTGCTGTCGCTCACTCAGGGAGCTGACTGGAAGCGGTGAACGGCAGCCTGAAGGATATCTCAGCAGCCGCGTTACTCAATGTCTCAGCCTGATACACACACCACATAGATGGGTAGACACGGAGACGAGTAGAAGAGAAAAACACAGCTGTTTGCACGAGCTGTCTGCTGCCGCGCCTCCGTGGCCACCTCTGGTATTTTGTCGTGGATGAGTTTCTGCAGGTCGTCCTCCTTGTCGGCCACGGCCTTGCTGCACGTGAAGGTGTAGCCCGCACCGTACTTCTTCTTTAGAAACAGGGACGAGCCGCAACACTTGACCTTCCCAGCAGCCATGATGGCGATCCTGTCGCCTACACGCATCAATGTGGCGTCGATGTGTGTGTGTATGTGTGGTGTGTCCGCACGCCGAACGGACCGAGATAGTCAGCCTCCTCCATGAAGTGTGTGGTGAGGACGATAACGCGGTCCTTCTTGACCTCTTTCAGCAGATCCCACAACGCGCGGCGACTGTATGGGTCGACACCTGACCAACACACACGCGCCCGTGCATATATGAGCGAGGCTGTCGCGTCGGGGAGTCGGTCAGTTTTCCGCCTGCCTGTGGATGGTTCGTCTAGGAACACGACTTTGCTGCCGCCGATGAGGGCGATGCCCACCGACAGCTTCCTCTTCTGCCCTCCGCTCAGCGTGTGAGAACGGCTGTTGGTCTTTTCTTGCAATCCGACCTGAATGAAGCACAGGCAAGTACATAAAGGAGGCGGCCTCTTCTTGCTTGGTGTGACGGTTGTGTTCTGGTTGACCGCAGCGATGGTCTTGGTGACTTCCTCCTCCTGTATGGCCTTCGGGATGCCCTTGATGTTGCAGAACAGGAGCAGATGCTCACTGCAGATAGACAGCAAGGAAGGACAGACAGGAAGTGTGACGCAACGTACTTACATGCAGCCGGCTAGCCAGCCTACCTACCGCACAGTGAGGATATCGAACACTGAAGGGAACGAGACACACACAAAACACACCAAGCAGCCGACAGGCATGACCACAGGTGTGTGTCTGTCTCTGCCTGACTGACTGCCTGACTGACTAACGTATGTCGTGTTGTGGGCAGATGCCCATGCTGGCGCGGATGAGGGGCATGTCGGAGGCAATGCTGTGGCCATAGATCTTGGCTTCGCCGCCACTCACAGGCAACATGCCTACACACAGGCACGGACCCACCCACCGCCAGCCACCGATGATTCGGATGATTCGTTCTCTCTTGCTTATCCGTCCGAGTGTACGCACCGGTGAGCATGGAGATGGTGGTGGTCTTGCCAGCTCCATTGTGGCCCAACAGAGCAAGGATCTGGCCCTCGTACATCTGTCGACCGACCAGCAGGCACTCAGCCGATGTGTGTTCGCTTGGCTGCCTGCGTACCTGCAGATTGATGTCATCGACGGCCCGGAATGACTTGTCAGGGAACATGTCGGGGAAAATCTTGCCAAGGGGTGAGGTCTTATTGAACTCCTTGCGAAGGTTGATCAGCTCGACTTTCATCTGATCGACAGACACACACGACGATTGATGAATACACTTGCCTGTCAAAATATGCGTATCTCTCTCTGGCTGACTGACCAACCTTGTCCTGCAGTTCTGGTGGCGTCGGTTCGTATAGTTCGTGGTCAATGGTGCGGTTCTCGACGTCACTCGCCTGCACAGCTGCATTCTTTTTGATTCCAAGAAGGTCCATCCACAGTTTCGGAGACACAGGGAAATACCTGCAGCCAGCCAGAATGAGGACGAACGGACATCAAGACGCATCGCTGTGTGCACGGACATTCGCGTGCATGTCTCATGGGTGGTGTGCGTCGTTGTGTGTGCGTATGCGTGGGTGACCATGGCAGTGGGGTGCCGAAGTCGCCAGGCCAGATTTTCTCCACATAGGCACCGATGAGGAAGTACAAGACGATGTCCACCAGCATCATCAACTGAATGAATGAACGAACAAAGGCAACGACGCACAGGCAGGAAAATTACCGTCGGCATAAGGTAAACGATTGACCGTGTACTGACCAGCACGTCGTTTCCAGCCATGTTCTCGATGGGCGTGCCGATGTTGCCGTAGTTGATACCCTGTTCCACGGCCTCCCACTGGGCATACACTGTGGCGCCGTGTCCGAGGCATGCGGGCAGCGCCAGGCACGACGCAACTTTGGCGCCCCTCTTGACTTCAGTGATGCCGGACGCCGTGCTGTAATAGGGGAAGTACAGCGCCAGAAAGGCGAGGGCGCTCATCCCGGCTGACACACACAGTGAGACACGCCAAGTCGCATACTGCGGGCAGGTGTCTCACTGGCTGACCCGCAAGTTTGGCCTTGCTGAAGAACGCCTGCAGCATGATGGTGAAAGATATGTTGCCCATGCCGAACAACCAGAAGAGGAGGATCACCAAACCTGTCGTATGTGCAGCCAACAATGGTGCAGCCAGTGCGTGTGTGTGTGTACGTATGGAGGTTTGCAATGCTTGCCTTTGTCCGACTTGGGGTAAACAGGAGTGAGGCAAAGTGTGAGGAGTATGGCCTGGACGAAGGCGATGACGCCGTATGTGATGTACCACGACAGCCACAGGATGGGGTCGGTCATGCCCATCATCTTCATTCCCTCCTTGATCCGGTACTCTGCATGGACAAACAGGTCCACAGGAGACGTACACAAAAGGAACCCATCGAGGGGCTAGCCAGCCAGCCAGCCAGCCAGCTATCCAAAGTCTCAGCCAGCTTGTCACTCTCACCCTTTTCCTCCATGATGAACTTGACCAGTCGAGACACGGGCAGCATGTACACCTGCACAGACACCCACAGGACAACCACCGCGCCTGATCCCGTCCATCGACCCCCCGGCCTGGCCCACCAGCGTGAAGAAAAGCCCGAAAAAAATGCCCAGAAGGGTCGGCAGCGGGTCGTCTTTGTGCTCGATCGTGGGGAAACCAACCTCCCTTCAGCACACACAATATGGGGCGCGTGTTCTGTTTCGGTTTATCTAGCGCGTGTGCGTGTGCGCCTGCAGTGTAGCACCTGAATTTGACGGGCAGGTAGGGGCTCACTGCGAGGCGGATGGCGTCCTGGAGGCCGACAGATGTGTCCAGCTCACTAAGCAACGTCGGCACAAAATCCTCCAGGTCTTGGGGCGAAACACTGCAAATACGCCAGCGGAAAGGACGGCGTCTCAACCATCCTATCGTGAGATCGGCGGCACGGAACTGAGAATTACCTTGTGCTGTCGGCGGTCCAGTTCCCGAGAATCGGATCGTTTTGGACGTCACTGCTGAACCAAGCGCTGTTGTTGGCCGCGATGTTCATGATCCTTGCAAGGTCACTGTCGGTGCCCTGCATGCGGCGTCTGAGGGGGAGGGTGGTGCGTATGCCGACTTTCGTGTCAAAATGTTGGCGTAGAAAGAACGACACGTCAGAATCCAAGGCTGCAAGCGCACAGAACCAAACCTCACAGTGCCATGCAGCGACCTTGTTCAGGATTGGGCCTTCTCTCTCAGCCTTACGTGGAGTGGCCGTCTCGGTGACGAGGCCTTCCTGTTTCAGAATGAATGCGTAGAAGAGTGTCTGGACGTCGATGAAGCCGCCCTGGGGAGGCTGGTCCCACTGGGCCTCGAAGTCACCGTCGCGGTACTGCACCACAACAAGTAATGGTCTATACGAGCGCATGGCCCTGCCTCATCTACGCCATTACCTGTTTGGCAAAGTCTCCTCTGAATTTGCGTCTAATAGAAAACACCTTTGGCGCGCGTGTGTCGGATGTTTGGTCAGCAGTTGCGTTCATCCGGATCTTCGCCTGTACGGGAGCAAGCAATTGAGGCAGCCCTTCTTGCCGCTTCCATCGACTTACGTGCCAATTTCTGCTGCCCTTCTCAAAGACAAGGGCGGCATGGATCGATGGCCTGTCCTTGGTGAACCCATAGTCCCCCTGATCTCAATCAATCAATCAATCAATCAATTAATTCAGGAGCGAACATGTCTCATGACGTCTGCCTGCTGTGTGGCATTCCAATCACCTTTTTGATATATTCGTCCATTCTGTCCTCATTCTTGAAGTAAAGCAGGAGGTTGTCGTACTCAGCGGCATAGCCGGTGGAGGTGGTGGAATCTATGCAGCCACACGGACGGACGCAGAGACACACCACACACGTCAAAAGACAGCACTCATTCGCTCATCCGCAGTCTCTTCTACTCCCGGTCTGCCTGTCTGTCTGTCTCTCTCTCTCCCTGTGTCTCGTTTGTTCACCTGGTCGAACCTTCATGAGGAAATTGTCCCAGAAGAGGGCGAAGTCCGTGAAGAGGCTGCCCTTGCCCACGATGGCAAACTTGCCTTTTGAGCGTAGGATGTCGGGAAAGTACGACAGATGCATCCCGTTATACTCCCGGCTGACCGTCGATCGCATCAGGGCTGCAAGACAACACACAAACAAAAATACACGGTCGATGCACACTTGCCGTGCAAATCTGAGTCCATGAGCTGATTGATTGGGCGTCTGTCTGTCTGTCTGTCTGTCTGTCTGTCCGTATCACTTGGAGCAGCTTCGCCCGGTTCGTACAGCTGCGGCCCCTCGTCGCCCTCGTCATAGCTGGCCCAGAGAGAGAGGTCGTACTTGGGGTCGTTGAAATGCGTCTCATCGATCGGCTCCTGAATGCACGCACGCATACCATCAGCGTGAGTCAGGCCAGCTCTCTCGTGCCGCTGCTCCTCCACCCCTCTGTGCTCCTCTACTCTTCCTTCTTACTCACCCGCTTGATCTCTCCGCGCACCCAGATGAGGAAGAGGGCGATCACGGCGGGCAAGGCGATCTCGAGCAGCGTCGCAACTCGCCGTCTGGTCTTCAACAGGAAGTTCTTCCACAAGACAGCCAGCAACGCACGGCCAAAACTGATGCCGCCCATCTTTGGGATGGCAGAGGGGGATCAATGAGATGTCAGACTCTGTCGGTGTCAGTCTTCCTGTCAAGTCTTTCGTTCCTCTCCTCCTCCCCCCTTCCTCCCTTCATGAGCTCGCATCCCCCGTCTCGCCCCCCACCACCCTCCCCGCCCCCAACCCTCTTGCAATGGAGGACCGTCACGCCGATAATAACTACAGTGGCGATGGCGCTACTGACGCAAAAAGTGTGTTGGAGCGAATTTTCCAAGGAAGCGTTCCCCCATCAAGGCATGTGTCAGCAGCGCCAGCAGCGCACGAGACACTGCTGCAGAGGCACATCGGCGTCTTTCAAAAGTACGCGGCCAGCAGTCAGCCTTGCAAAAGTTTGCAGCAGGGTAAGGAAACGCGCGTCGCCGTTGTCTGTACCTGTATGTGACACTGTCTGTCCGTTCCTGCATTCATTTCCCGTCTGTGTGTCTGCACTGCAGAGTTTGATCGCCTCTTCAGAGACGTTCGGGCTCGACTGCAATACATGCGCGTGTACGCCGTTGCGGTGCGGCACCGGTCTCGCCGCTTCTGTGAACTGATCGGTGATCTTCAATTCAAAATAACACAAAACAGAGAGGGCGGAGGGGGAGGGGAGGCCCATTCTGCCGAAAGCTCTGCACGGGGCCTGTCCGGGTAGCATAGGAAGACGTCAGTCCTTGTTGTTGTCACTCACAGTGTTTGAATGTTCTCTGTGTGCGATTTAAGTGTATCAAAGCTCAGACAGCAAGTCTTGATAGAAGAGAGAGACAAGCGGTACAAACAAGAGCTCGCCGCTGCCAAGAAAGACTACTCTTCGCTGAGGGGACCGGCCGATAAAATCGACTTCGAAGTCAAAAAAGTGAGCATGCATTCGAAGTGGCCAATGGATTGAGCCACGAGGGGAAGGGACACTTCCTTCATCCGCTCATGTCGCCGCCCAGGCCAGAGTTATGTACGCGGAGCTGCTGCAACTACGCGTATCCAAACTCTACGCCACTCTCGGGACAGCTCAAGACGGCATGCACGTGCGACTCGCATTGCAAGCACTTCTCAAGGCAGGTACGCCGACGTGAGCCAGAGGGATGACTTGGGTGTCCCTCTGGTTTGTGTCCTCGTGTGTGTGTCTGTCTGTGGCTGAAGGATTGCCTCCCAACAGCATCCTCGGCAGGTGGCCGTCTATCAAGCTGGCCTCTGTGAGGAGCGAACGAGGCAGACAGCAGCTCGTGTGGATTTCGCGGTTCAACCTCACGTATGCTCAGCTCGAGATGGAGTTGCGACATCTTAAAGTACTCGAGGGGAGCGATACACAAGAGTATGATCTTTCGTCTCCTTGTGGGTGGCCACAGGATGACATGACCAGTCGCCGCCAGTCAGCGTGCCGATCCGCCGAGACATCCCTATTAGCCCTCGTCAACACACACCCAATCGCGCGCAGAGACGAGCTCAAGTAACAACATGCAGACACAGACGGCGAGATTCAGTGCATCATGTCTCGGTGTCTACAGGCGCATCTACCTACTTGGCACGGGCTCCATGTGCTGGGATCCTGCAGCGCCGTCAGAGCCACAACATGATGCGCAAGAGCACGTGGACGTCGCAAACATGTGACAACGAAGCTAACAAGCTAGTAAACATGAATCACTGATTTGTGCACAAGTATGGCTTATGCAGGAGCCCCGACGAGTTTCATTATCACGTTCGGCGCAAGTATGGCACACTGGTACGACGGGACATGAACGCATGGAGGATGGGACGCTTCGCCTCTGTTTCGAAGGTGGCAGCGTGGTGCTACTTCGACTCAAGAAGCTCGAAGAACAACTCTGTTACAAAACGGGAATTCCTCAAAGGTTTAAGAGTGAGTGAGTGAGCACCACATGAGAGGCTCCTGCTGCATAGGGCAGAGAGAGCCATGTATGTATGTATGTATATATGTGTCTCTTTTGTAGGCCATGTTTCCGACTACCCCCATTCAAATTGGCGACGCGGCGATGCTCTTTGATAGGCTCAACAGAACCAAGTCAGGCGCCGACTATCCAGCTCTCCATCGGACATCTTGCCCATTAGCTATGTGTGTGTGTTGCGTCTGCCCCCAGGTCGCGAACCTTGACTTTCGAGCGTAAGCGGGGAGTCGGACAAACGGAAAACCACTCATTGGTCGTCCATGCAGAGTTTGCACGCACTGGTCGTCGGTCGTCCAGCCGTCTGTTGTCTGTCGACAGCGCTGCATCCCTCCCCTCTCCCCTGGCCTCCTTGATGGAATCCAGCATCCCCGCCTTCCCACCCGCTGGCCGACTCACTGCCGACGGTGGGTGCACACGATTCCCTCATTAAATGAAGAAGACTCGGCACAGCGTCTACCTGCCTCTGTCACGTGATGGTCAGGCATCCATGCAGCCATCATGAACATAGCTCATCCTCTGAGCCCCTCCCCGCCTCCCATCCCTGCAGCAGCGGAGACACGGCTCCCCACATCGACGCAGTCGTGCCACACACTGTGCAAGTTCGGCATGTCTCCCGTGGAACACTCCCTTATGGAGGAGGACAGCTGCACTACGGATGGCTATCACTATGAACCAGTGGACCTGGCGGCACTCAGGGATGCGATGATAGAGTACAGAGTGGGCCACAAGCTCTCTACCGAAGGTGGAGGACCGGAGATTGATGCCACCGATGAAGAGACGCACTTCCCCCCCTCCTCATATCGGTCGCATAGTGCCACGTCGGCGTCAGCTGGCAGCTCTTACTCATCCGATTCATCCACTGCTCCTCCGAAGCGCACAGCTGCCAACCGCAGGCGGTCCCAGATAGACCAAACAGCGACGGCCGTGCCTGCTGAAGCAGCCCAAGAGTCACCCCCCGCCTCTGCCATGACTTCACAGGGACGAGAGATGGCATCCGACCGCTATGTGGTCCGGAACGAGAACGGCGCAGTTGTCTTGTGGCCTCCCAAAGGACGGACAAAGGGCCGCGTCAGCCAGTGGGTGGAGACTGGTCTGTTGAGAGATGAGGACCTCCGAAACTCCGTGATTGGTGCACTGCCGCCCAAGAGAAAGCTGACGGCAAAAACACTACGAAGTGGGCAGACAATACACCCATGTCTCCGTGACTCACTCTTCTGTGTTTCCCTCCTCATGCATCATCAGTGCGAAGCATTCTCGTCGACTCATCCGACCATGCCTCGTCGGCCACCACGGCTGCCGAGGACCAGCACGCTCCCGCCCCACCCAAAACAGCGGGGCCTGCATCCCCTGCAGCCAAGTCACGGAGAGTGTCCTCAGTGACTCCTGGCTACCATATCCGCTTCAGTCAGGACCAGGTGATGACCGGCGAGCGGCCTGCAGGCGGCAGGAGAGAGCCCAAGGGGGCATCCAAGGCTGGGAAACCCGTCCAGAGAAGAAGGGAACACGACGGCAGTGCCACTAAGAAGACAACGCTGGTATGTGTGGTGGAGAAGAGCCGCGAGCATACACCATTCAAGAGGTGTTGGTGGGATGCGTGCGTCGTCATGTAGCAGGGCACACTAGAGGCGCTCGAGGAGGCCATCGATACCCTTGCCGCTGCCACTGGCCTGCCCAACCCCTGGCAAGACATCGAGGGCCTCGCACACTGTGTGGATCGACATCCTCATCCCCCGGGCATAGACCTCCCTCCCTTGCATGAGCTCCCGGACCCTGAGGCTGCTGAGGGGACAGGGATGAAAGTCAGCGCAGCTGAGCAAGACAGCAGCACTAGGAGAAGATCATCTCAGCAGAGCGACGCGCGGCTCGTCACCGCACAACGGACCCTTCTGCCGCCCATGCAAGCCCTCCTTCCCCCACACACGGCATCAGGCGACGCCCAGGACGTGTCGATGGTCAAAGACATGTCTCTCTCTGTAGGAGCCGGCTCTGCGCCTCCCACACTCAGTCACTTTCCCTCACAAGAGCCGCTCGATGCTCCACGAATCCAGACAGCCCCGACGTTCGCCCCAGAGCCGAAGAAGCGATATGACAGAGAAGAGGGCATCAGGCTGCTGTACACGAGCATGAAAGAGCGGAGGGGCCGCAGTCCACAGAATGGGTCGCCGAGACACAGGGCACCCCGGATGAGAGAGGGGAGCCAGACTGGCAGTCGGTCTAGGCAGGAGTCTCGCAGCTCATCAGACGGAGGCAGGGCACGGGAGAGACAAAGCGACCGATTTGACGGGCAGAGTGTGATTGGCTGGCACAACATCGAGAAGATATCGGTATGCACTGCGCTGCGCTGCTTTCCACGCAGTCGGGTCGATTGCTGAGCCAAGGCCCTTCTCTCCCTTCTGTGTGCAGGCGGTGCAGCATGAAATCAATCGCCGCGTGGCCCACATTGAAGACATGAAGATCCAAGCCGCACACCATCTGTGGCATGAGGTAGACAATCTAGACAATCACTGTGTGAGAGTGACAATCCATATGTCTGTCTGTCCACGCGCTTCGCTCACACAGATGGTTGAGTCCGTGGGGCGAGGTGAGGAGTTTCCCCCGACCATCGGGGAGGGGCAGCGAGAATTCAAAAGGTGCGACCATACGGGATACAACCCGCTCTCGGTTGCAACGTGATTCACATTTTCATTCACATTCATACAATACATAATGTGATCCCATGTATGTCCCGTGCGTGCATCGCAGCCTGCTGGCTCTCGCGACATCTGCAGTCTATGCTGTCGGCACGGCAACCTCATGGCAATCTGAGGGAGCTACCAGATGGGTGCGTATCATGCCTTTCATCGTCTTACGGTTACTTCGTTGTGCCTTCATGGTTCATTCAGGTATCAAGGGCCATCCAAGCAGACATGACTAGCGTTGGACACACACCGCTGCTGCCGGAGAGGGAGAAACACAGTCGTGGAATCAGACGATAGATTTTACACAAAAGGAGGACGGTGTCAAACGAGAGTCTCCTTTGTCTCCCGTGATTGAACTTTAATCATTGAAGATTTATAAGACATGCAGATCTTATAGAAACGCCACATCAGCGTAGTCTGAGACGCCACACTGGCGGCGTCCAGTGGCGTGAGACGCCACACTGGCGGCGTCCAGTGGCAATGTGCGAATTCTTCTGAGACGCCACGCGAGACGGGTCGAACGATCGAAGCCCCCAGCAGCGGGCCAGCACCTTTCCTGCGGAGATGGCATTTTCGAGGGCCCTTGTTGTCGCCTTATGCCTGATCTTTGTCACGAGCGTCACGCCCGTCGCAGGCCACGCCACGGGCCGGCTTCCGGAGTGTTCAATCGACTTTGCCTTCTACACCCTGAAAGTCCAACTCGGAGGAGACAAATCGAGGGGGCGTCTAGGGGTCATCCCTTCTCCGAAGGGGCCCAAGACGGAGGTGGTCGCAGAGGATTACGCCTACGGACACGAGGCCGGCGCGTTCAAATGTTTGAAGGGCCAGGTGTGCGTAATCAACGAGATACGGCTGCCTGCAAAGGGGCACGGACGAGGTGACTGCAAAGGGGCAAAGGACGCTGAGGATCAACTCTGCAGCGGCGCCGGTGTCACCACCTCGGTTGACAACATCCCGTTCTGCACGGCCGCGGAGGGCATCGTAAGACGACACGCACACATGTTCCCCGCACTTACACACGAGATGCGTGTGCGTGTCTCGCGTTGTGTCCACATCTTCCCGTGCGTTACGATCTATATACAGAAATTCACCGGCCGCGAGAAGAACTTTTTCAAGTACGGCTACAGCTTCGGTGCCTTCACGGTGACAATCACCACCAAGACGGGCGACTTCTTCAGATGCAGAGGATTCAACCGCAAGAAGCTGATCTACCCCGGGGACTCGAAGTGGGTCTTCTCAGAAGGTAGCTCTTCCTCCAAATGAGTCTCTCGCATGTAGCTAGCCCGCCTGCATGCATGATGGATATCTGAGGTTCTCAAACGGACCTACTCATGTCTGCAGAGGAGGCCCAAAAGATGACTGATTGGGTCTTCCAGCATGTCACGGGCAAGAGCCGATTTGAAGAGAGGCAGCCAGGTCCGCACACATGCATACATACATACATACCACAGAGACACACTGATGTCTCTTCTCTCGTCCTTGCCCACCGTACTATATCAGGTGATGTCTCGACAGACGCTGCAGAGCAGACCGACCAAGGGACCGACCAAGGTGCCGACAAAGGGACCGACCAAGGGGCCGACCAAGGGGAAGAGGGAGGGCTGCTTGCCCTGCCTTGGCGCAAAGAGTGGCACGACGAACAGGAGCAGCCCAAGACGCAGTGACAAAAGGAAGCACAATCAGATGGCTGCCTCCTCCTTTTTTTTTTGAAACACAATGTCTCGAGTGAAGGCTGGCTGGTTTATCGATCTAGCTTCCTTTCCAACTACTGTCAGAGAGAGATGCCCGGGTGGATTTGTCTGATGTGCATCATGCTGGGAGGGAGAAAGGGAGGGAGAGCGAGGGAGCAAGCGACACCAAGATGACAATAAAGACCAAGGAAAATGCAACAACACTTCAAGTCCCAATGCAAGTGTTAAAAGACCCAAGTCGCTACGGCGCCGCATCGACGAAGCCAGCCGGCCAGAAAAATGCATGATCTACCGTCTGTATCATCGCCGACAGCCACATTTGCACCTTCTAGCGCCCTCTCGTCATCCATCCTTGTCACATATTCATTCTGTCTGTCTATCTATCTCTCGAATGAGCACAATCCACAGTCGAAGCTGACTCGAGAAACCGACAATACGAAGACGATGAACGTAGCACATGCCGCGCCGGTTTGTTGCTGCTGTGGGTCAGGCGGGTCCGCCAGAAGGGGCAGCAGTCTCTCGATCATCCGGTCCAGTGTCCCCGCAGACACTACATGCATTGGTACAGCACAGCACAGCACAGCCACACAACGAAAACGTACACGTACATGTGGAAGGAAGGAAGAGACACTGTGCATGGTTGTGCGGGTCAGCTAGCTTACGGCCCGGGAAGAAGGACTGCAGCTCTTCGATTTGGGCACAGCCGTCGCGAGACACATCGAGTGATTGAAACGAATTCCATAGTTTTGAGCACTGCGGCTCCAGGCAACGGTGGTCCACTTGAGAGGATGCGAGAAAGAGCGGGTCGATGACATCATCAGCGTGTCCAGCCATTAGTTGCCTCAGGCAAGGGTCATGTTTGGCATTGAAGGCCCGCCAGGCATCGCTGCTGTCGAAGAAGCTGCTGCCGGCCTGATCGACATCGCATATAGGGTTGACAGTCATGAAGACATGCTGCAGCTTCTTTGGCCGCGTGGCCAGGCATGACGGCAGAGTGGCCAGCTGGTTGCATCGCACATCCAGCGACCTCAGGCCCTCGAGATCACAGATGGCCCTGGGCACATCGTTGATCATATTGCCTGTATGGCATCCATGGATAAGAGTAATTACGAGCTGATTGGCCGACTGACTGATCGATAATCACCTCACCAGAGAAGTAGGTGTGCGAGACACCGTGCCCGTGATGTTTCTCATGCCGTTTGTGGCCTTCCGTGGATATCTCCTTGAGTGCCTCAGCTGGGTATTTCTTGAGTGCCGTCCTGGTCCATACGATGGTGCGTAGGTGCATCTGCCTGCCCAGGTCCCGCTCATTGATGGTGGTCATGTTCAAGTGGTAGGGCCCAGAGGAGTCAAACACAACACCAATAGCCTACGATCAATGAATAATGTATGTAGGGAGGGAAACGGGGACAGACCCGACAGGGGGAATGAGTGGCAGGGGGTGATGCATGTGGCCATCTCGCACGGCTGACAGGCGCCTTTCGAGCGATGGACAGAGCACCCTACCTCTAGGGTGCTGAAGTGCTGCAGGGCTTCCGTCATGACGTGAGCGTCCCCCACTGACGACCAAACAATACAGGCAGCTCAGCTCATCCCTTGTTCACACACACACACACACACATCCATACAGGTCTTGCGATGTGTGCCCACTTTGGTCAATGTAGGCAACTCGACAGTCACATGGTCGTGTACCAAGGCGACCCGCATGCACGCATGTACCCTTGGTACATCGTATTCCTTCATTGATGCGTGTGCCCTCGTTGGTGTGGCAGCATTGACCTTCCATGGTGCCTTTGAAGGGCGGCCAGGTGGTATATGTGCATGCTGCAGCACCAACAGATGCGATCGATGTGACTGATTGTCCTGATGTGTCTGTCGCATGCACCAGCATTTTGCCCACCCACTCACTCACTCACCTTTCCAGCCAGGGACATGCTCGCATTCTCTGGATGCCCAAATGCACTGTGCGAGCAGGAAGCCTCCAAATAGGTAGGCTATGACTGTGACGGCAAAGGATAGCCAGAATGCCACCCTCACGTCGATCGTTTCCCAATCCCGACGGTGGATGGAGTGCTGCAACTGAGCCACCGACTCGGATACAGCCTGAGACACACACACACACACACACACACACACACGGTGGCTCGCCTATCGTGTTGGCAACGGATGATGAATGATATTGACAGGGCCTTTGATACCCTTGACAAATACAGGGTGATAGACGGGGTCCGTGGCGGCTGCAGCCATTGCTCCTCGCCCTCGATGGTTTCACTTGCCGAGAGCTTGAACCGCACCTCCATGGCCAGTTGGTCCGCTGAGAGTGTTGCAGGTATGTCCTCGTCTGCATGTCTGGCAGCCACAGGCGCCGAGATGGGCTGTTGCGCATGCGTGGCGGCGGCTGTGTGGGCATTTTGTCCTGTGCTTGCGGCCGGAGAGTGTGCGTCGGAGTCGGCTGGGTATTGGATTGTATACCCCGCTGCCGAGACCGAAATGGTGTGAGGGGGGTGCGCCTCGGTCCTGGCCACCGACTGGGGGGCGGGCTCATCCGATACGGGACCGCTCAAGATGCTGTGCGTGACGCTGCTCCTGTCCTCGTGTCGCGGACTGGAGAATGTCTCGACTCCGCTAAGTGCGCGCTGCAACCTGGTCGACGGCGAGAGGTCATGGCTGGCCACGTGTGAGTCGACGATAGGCCGCTGGGGCGGCGTGGCGGCCACCGACTGGTCAAGGGGAGACTCGAAATCCCCCACATGCCAGCCGAGCTTGTGCATGTCGATGTGGCCTCGCTGCTCGTGCTGCGGGGGATTATGGTCCGCGTTGTATGACGACACCCACTCGTCCAGCTCGAAAATGCCCTGTAATGGCGCACGCACGCTCTGAATGGACGACACACACAACAGGATAGACAGCCATATGGACCAAACACACACAGCGCCAGTCGACATCCACTGACCCTCCTCCCACTCACCTTCGGGCTCATGAAGCCCCACTCGTTCGAGTCAGCTTTCCTCCTCGATGGCCTCCCGCGGCCCCGCCCCACTGGCTGATCGAAGGTGGACAGGCGAAGGGGCCCCTCACGACCGGGATCTTCGGACCGTGACCTCACCGGTGCCGTCCCTTCTGCAGTCTCGGCCTCATGATCTGCGAAAGGCGGCTCCCCAGCACAAGTCACCTCGTTCTCGTGGAGGGCGTCTGGCGCAGTCGCCAATTTGATGTCGGGCGGCAGTGTGCGCAGGGTGGATATTGCCTCAGTCGAGTGTCTCCGCAAGAATGCGTTCACTTTGGCCCTCCACATCACGGAGTCCATCGTGCCCTCCCGACTGGCCGCCCACGAAGCACGCCGACTGTAGTGATTCGACTCCATGACTGTACACACGACACAGATTGAGACATAAATGAGTGTGTCCTGTCTGTCATTAGCCGATTTGCCGTCTGGCTGCCCGTGGGCGTCAGTCAACTGACCCTGGTGACCTAATGAGGGGGTGTAAATGCTGTACTGGTCTTCTGCAAGCTCCCCATGCGGCCGATGCGCGGCCTGTTGTCTCCCCATGCTGTCCAAGCACTCCCTCCGCCAGTTGTAACACGCCTTGATCATTGATTTGGGGCCTTTGATTGACGAGTGGCATAGAATGATTGATCAAGGTGGATATTACCTACCTTGATCAGAAGAAGGGCATCCACTTGCATCAGCCCCAGCAGCGCCATGACCAATGGCACGGCTTTCCCCAGAAAGTGTACCACATTGTGTGCTTTCAGCCCGACAAGACTGTTGATGTTGAAGCCTTTCGGCGCGCCCTCGTGGACCAGCAAAGCATGTCCCACATAGAATAAGGAGGAGACAGTTGTGCTCACGGCGGCAAAGCCACGGCGGTTCCATTGACACAAGACCTACGTTGGGTGGACGGATGGATGGATGTCACGAGACAGACAGACAGGCAGGCAGGCAGACGTGTGTTGTGTGTCGGTGTGCTTGGGCAGTGGTGCCTATCTGTCTGCCCGACTGACCACGAGTGAGGTCGAGTGAAGCACAATCAGAATGCATAAGGTGCCAAAGGTCCACTGCTTGTAGGCCGGTATCTGGTGGTACGACAAGACTTCTACACCTGCGGCCAGGGACGCACGGGACACACAGGCTGAGTACAGGGAGCTGGCTCTACTCAGCTGATGAGCCAGCAGACCGGCCATTTTGAGGCATTTGATGTATTGTAGACCAATGGCAATGCACTCCACAAGGACAAAGTGGGTCCAAAACATGTGCCCAGTGAAGCCAATGTTCTTCTGGCTTGATACGTAGAACCGGGCACTGAATCTCCGGAAGCGGTCCAGATTGTGGGATATGGTCAGTGCTTTGAGCGACGATGCCACGCTGTCTCTTTTCTCACAGGCGACATCCCCGCTCGCCGCCGGCCGGAGGGTTGGCTTGACGAAGTGACTCGATGTGCGGCTCCTGGGGGTGAATGCGACACACACATGCGCATTCATTCCTTCCCCTTCGGGCGTCCACGACTGGCTGTTTCACTGTCTCACTTGCTCATCCGCCTTTGGTACTCTCTGTATCGCTGCAGATTCCAGAACATCAATGTCCTCCGGAAGAAGACCGTGTGGAACATCAATGTCACCAGACTCATGAAACCGATGAGCCCCCAGCAACACCCAAATCCACTGCACTCATGTGCGGACGGACAGACAGACAGACAGACAGACAGAGACATGCAGAGAGGCCGATCGAGACACACGACTGCAGGCAGGTTGTGTGTGCTGATTGGTGTGTGTCTCCCCCTCCGCTGGTCCGTACGTACATGCTCTGTGGTGTGGGGTGCCATTCGACAGTGACGTCGCTCACATGGGTGATGGCAGACAGGTACTCTAACACGCTCTTGTACAGCCATTCACCCCTCGAGTCCATCAAGGGAGGCGTGACAATCTCGAGCTGCTCCGCATACAGCAGGATGGCACTCACAAGGGCAATCGCGACTAGCAGCATCCATAGAACAAGGTTCAACACCGTCACAACCTTGTTGAAGGGCTGCATAGCATGCCACACAAACGCCGGCAAACAAACAAGGAGAATACACGCTAAGCCTTGCAGGTGCTTGGCTTTGCTGTAGCGCGAACCACATCTTCTTCTGAGTCCGCAGTCAGGACGGTTTTAAAGAAGGACTTAAATTCATCGGTGATGCGGCGGAGTGCCTGGCGGGAAGGGGTGAGGCGGAGGGCAGCAGCAGGCGCAGTGACATCTGCTGCTGTCTGTCCGATGTCGTCTGTCTTATCTGGTTGGGCCTCAGGCGGCTTGGTGGACCAAGCCCCTTCAAGTTGAACTGATTCCTCGCCTTCCAGCACTTTTTTGGGAAAAAAGACAGGGGGCGATGGGGGGCTGGTGCGAGCTCGGAAGCAATTGAAGGATGTCAGAGCATGAAGAGGAGGTATCTCCTCCCTCAATCGATGGGCAGCGGTCCGGCGAGCGTGAAGCCACGTCATGCAAAGGAGTCCGCCGACGTCGACGCCGGCATGGTCACGACACCGACGAGCCTGGTGGGACGGAAGGGCAGCAGCGGTCGTGGCTCAAGTATGCCTCTTCCAGGATTATCAGCGCGGTGCTGTGGGTCATCGGTGCGATACTGTGGGCTATTGGCGGCTTCTCGGGCAAGCGCGACGAGTACAGTCAGGCGTTGAGGAACTGTAAGACCACAGAAGTGGAGCATCTGATAGTCCTTCAACACGGCATGCATGGCTTGCCGCACACCATGGACAGTAAGCACAGCGAACACGGGAGGGAAGGAGGGACGAAGAATAAAAACCGATGGCGCGACGGATGCCTTTCCGTTCGCTACGTCTGTCTGTCTGTCTGTCTATGTGTCTGTGTGCAGGGTTGAGCGATCTGTTTCTGGCACACTTCGCTCGGCTGCAGCAGGAGGCCAGGCAGGATGGGTCGCTGTCCGATGACACGAGAAGTTCTGCCTCTGGTGACGGTGGGGATGGCATCGACCGCACTCCCCCGCCCCCGCCAGGCCCACACAATGTCCTCATCCACAAGCTCCACGCCAACTGGTGAGCAACTCCGATAGATGTACACCACACCCACCTCTGTACCGTCCCCACCACCCATTAACGTGGCTGAATGGGTGTTTATCGTCTCAGGGGTGCATTCCACAGCCACTTCAGCACGGCCGATGGAGTCGACAGAGGTGGCGAGCGCGCGGCGCAGGAGATCCGCCAAGTCATCCAGCAGCACCCATCCCTCAAATACATCTCTGTCCTCGGTAAGCAAAGGGACAACAACCGGACGTCTGTGCACTTACTTATGAGTGCACTGACCTGATTGGCTGGCTGTTTGTTGTGTGTGTGTGCGGCAGGCAACAGTTTGGGTGGTTTGTATCTGCGGTATGCGTTGGCACTGCTTTACGACCCCCAGAGCGAGACCATTGCCTGCCTGGAACCCCTCTACTTCATCACCACTGTGACCCCACATGTCGGATGCAGGTAGGTATGGAAACGGACAGAAAGGCAGGCAGGCAGGCACACGCAGCACGTACGTACGTACGTACGTACATCGGTTTGTCTGTCTGTCTGTTTATGTATGGTGTGTGGTGTGTGTCAGCGAGTATATATTCCTGCCTGTGCGGTACGGCGCTCGGCTGCTGTATGGCATCGACATGTTTGGCTTCTTTCGCCGCACCAATCCTCCAGAAGCACTCGCACGCCCCTTCATGGCCTATGGTGCACAGCCGAAGGGCGAGCTGGCCCACAGCGACGACCAAGGAGAGGAGACGTCGCTGCTCGACCAGCTGCACTTGGCGGTGTTTGCCTACGGCCGTAGTTTCCTACAGCTGCTGCTGCGCGATGAGGAGCAGCTGATAGTTCAGATGAGCCAGGAGGGAAGCGCCTATTGGTTCGCACTCAAGGCCTTCAGGCACCGGCTCGCCTACGCCACGGCCAAGCACGACCCCCTGGTGCCTGCATGCTCCCAGATGCTGCTGCCGTCATCGCCCGTCAGTCATGACTGGTGGGGCGCCGCACCTGCCCCGGTGGACGACAAGTACCCTCATGTGATAGGGACATACAGAACCCGCCCCTCACCCATGCCCCTCGGCTTGATGTCCAACGCCTCTCTGCACCCCACAGACAGCACCAGGCTGCCATCCGGGTGAGGGAGGGAGGGAGGGAGGGAGGGAGGCCACGAGACAGACAGACACACCCACGATGTGTGCTTTTATGAATCTGTATTGTGTGTGGTGCCAGTCCCCCTTCACCCCCCTCCCCGTCGCTGGATCCCTCGCCGACCAACAAAGGGACAGATCAAGACGACAACCAGCAGCCAGACAACAGCAGCACCACCAACGATGCAGCCATGTCCTCGAGCCAATCCCAGAGCATTATGTCCCTCACAGACCCGCCGCTGCCGCCCCCAGCTGGCGCCCACGGAGCGAGTCAATATGCGGAGGGCACTCGCGAGCACGCCATGATGGCGTCGCTGCTGCGGCTGGGGTGGACTCACACCCTGTCCCTCTACCCCTTCCCGGCGAGGACGTTCGTGCACATGCTCGTGCCAGCATGTCGCCCCTGGGCTGCACGGTGGCTTGGCCTGGGGGCCCTGGGGGAGGATGATGTGGCCAGGCACTTGGCGGACCATCTCCCACCCATTCTAGCAGTCGCATGAGTGAGTGGGGGAGGGCGGGCTGTGCAACTTTATATGTTGCCGGTAGAGAGACAGAGCAGAGGAGGGAGGTCTGTAGCGTAGCGTGTCTGCCGATGGTGGCTTTTTCCCTGTCAGTGTCCATACGTCCGCATCTCGTTTTTGATGCCCGTATGCTATGCGTGTGAAGATGAGATGTGTGCATGTGCTCATGTGTTTATCCAGTCCATTCAGCCTCACGAGTGCCAAGAAAGGAAGGCTCTTGAAGATGGACTTTGGACTGACTGGTGATTCATGTCTTTGTTAATCTCGATGACGGACGAATGAATCCAAAGCTGCGTCACGGTCACATGCGTACACAGACAGCGAGTGCAAGAAACAAAAGTCGCCCTACAGTCCGTGACTGACCGTTGTACTGGACGCGCATGAAAACAACGCGTACACATGCTCTCCCATTTTTCCCCCTCACACACACGCGCAGACAGGATATTCCCCACTAGGAATCCACGCATCCTCGTCGAGACATGAGCGTCAGAACAGGAGACACGAAACAACTGGCTGCAGAACAAAACGAGAGCCAACTCCGTCCGCCACTGTACTGTAGCATTCTCTTTTTACAGAAGCCACTTGAGGTGTCTCCCTTGCCTTTTTAGACAAAAAGGGAGCAAGCGGGGAGCCAGCAGAAGAGCACAGACTACGCACTTACTTACGGCGCCATGAGCCCTTCAGCCATCTTCTGCATGGCTTCAAGGGGGCCCGACGGCTCACTCTCGCTTTCTCTCTTTTCCAGTCGGGCAATGCGATCAATCATGTTGTCCAGCCTCCCTTCCAGATCTTGAATGACGGCCATTTGTGTGTAGAAGAGCTGGGTGAGATCGATCGTCATCACCTCTTCTTGCTCTTCCATGTCATTGTCATCAGACAGGTCGAGTGAGCCGACTGCTAAGGGAAACAGCTTCTGCACCTCAGCAGCATTAAGCCCAGCTTCTTGTGGCCGTAGGCCTGCACATGCAGCTTCCGGAAGGCCTCATGCGCTGATGCGCGCCCGCTGGCACTCCACTCGTGGTGGACCGACGAGTTCGCCTGACTGACGGGCGGGCCGCGCACCTCGAATGACTTGCTGATGGTGCGCGGTGTGTTGACGCCGCGTCCGCAAAAGCACTGCTCCTTGCTTCGACGTTCCTGTCTGCCTCTACATCCAGCTGCGCCTTTATATCCCCTGCACAGTGTACATGATACAAAGAGGGTGAGCTGGATGAGATAGAACTGACACGTGTGTACCTTGTTCAAAGTCAAAGCGCGTTCCCGGGTTGCCGCAGACGATAACTTGACGTGCAATCGACCAACACAGACAAACAGACATGCAGACAGTGTGTACTCGCCCTTTTAGGTTCTGTAGCAGTATTCCTCACTTACTCCGCCCTCGGCCACATCAGCGATTTCTGCCGGAGGAGTGTTTCCTTTTGACACCGCAACCACTTTTTGTCCTGTGATTGTGCCAAGCGCTTCTACATCGCCATCGGTTTCCAGGAGCGCAAGGCCGAACACACGGCCGCGGGCCCTCACGTCACCATTCGCTTCTATGTCCGTCTGGGCCAGCACAAAACCCTCTTCAGGGAAGGTGGTACTGAAGAGACGACCATCCGGGGTGCCCGCGATGATCTCTGATTGATGACGTAAGCACAGAGAAACAGCAAAGCTACATGACGCACCGAGCACGCCATTAGGTCGTCGGTAACCTACGTGAGCAGCCACCGGAACTCTCGGCGTCGCAATTTGGCGGGTCACCTTTTGCCAAGGGAATCGATACGACGAGGCAGAGAGCCGCCAGGAGAAGAGAGGCCATCTTTTGTTGTTTATTCCGTACACTGTACAGGATGTAAATCTCGGCGGTCGTTAGGGCTTCTGTCTTTTCAATGCATCCATCGTGCAGGTCTCGCTGCCCTCCGCCTTACTGAAATAAACCGCTCACAGCCCCCCATGTATCAAGGGCACACACATGCATTCACACGCTTGCTTGCAGCACTCCCTCCCTCTTGGATCAAAGCTGTCCGCAGTCGGCGATCTGGACCTTCTGCGTGGGCGTGCCGCTGCGAGTGCCGACTCGTTCCATCTGCTGCACCACGTCGTAACCCTCGGTCACCTCGCCAAACACCACGTGCTTGCCGTCCAGCCAGGGGGTCTCGTCTACCGTTATGAAGAACTGACTACCTGAATGAACATCAATCACGAATCAAGAAGGTGAATCCATGAACGACACACAAGACACATGGGTGCTCGCTCCTGGCTTTGTGGCATTGCATTGATCACCGTTTGTGTTGGGCCCGGCGTTGGCCATGGACAGCAGGCCCTTCTTCGAATGCTTGATTTTGAAGTTCTCATCCGCGAACCTGCGGAGAAACAAAGACAACCAGCCATCGATGGGTGCATGTGTGCGGTGTGCTGTGCAAGGGTGACATGCATGTGCGAGAGTATTGATTGGTACGTACTTCATGCCGTAGATGGACTCGCCGCCCCGCCCGTCGCCCTCGGTGAAGTCCCCGCCCTGGCACATGAAGTCTGGTGACGATACCCAAGACGGGTAAGCATACGATGCAAGCAAGACACGTGCAAGACATGCAATTGTCCAAGCAGTCCATCCAATGCGATAGATGTCGCCTTTGCTGGCCTTGTGTGTGACATACGGGGAATGATGCGGTGGAAGTAGCTTCCCTGCAGACACAGACAAACAGACCGACCGACCGACCGACAGACAGACGGATACACAGGCAGCCAAGACATACACACATACATCATCTGTGCCCTGACCTTGTAGTGGAGGGGCACCTGAGATTGACCCTTTCCCTGTAAGCGCCGCACACACCAGCCAACCGCTGAGCCATCCCCAACACAAATTGGATTTCTTTTGTGCACTTGCCTTTTCGCCAGTGCACAAGGCCCGGAAGTTCTCTGCGGTCTTGGGCACGACGTCCGCATAGAGAAGAAACGTGACTCTGCCCATGGCACGCCCGCCGATGGAAATGTCAAACCATACCTTGGGATTCTGATGTGGTATAGACACACACAAGTTACAAATGGGTAGATGCGCATGCAGATCTTTGCCCCTGCTTACCGCAGCAGCTGTGGCAAACCATCTTGAGGCCGAAAGTCCGGCCGTGGAGACTGCGCATGGCCGAACTCTCATCATGGTGGGCAACGATGATGACGCAGCGCACCTGGCTGTCTGTGCAAGGGAAAACATCGCTCCCCTTATACTTCTTGCGAGCTAAGCCCCAGGCTCTGGAGTCCTATTGCTGGCCCCTAGTTCCACTGTCAGCTGATAGGGACAGATAGGGGACTGGTGACCGTTTCTTGGTGCATCAATTCATTGCCCAGCTTGTTGGTTGAGGCATTTCGCGATGGCTTCATTGCCCTTTTCGCACACGGTGGAGCGCCGCTTTCACGACAGCGATTATTCCTGCACGCTGGAAGGCGACGACAACGGCATGGTGGTCGATATCCTGCAGAGAGGCACCGGCATGCGGTGGCGGGCCAAATTCAGCAGACAACTCATCGAAGAGATTACACAGAGGACAGGTGAGGGGGAACGAATCAGTGGGAGGGCATTGAGGGCTGTCTGTCCCTCACTGACTGACTGACTAGCGGCGGGTGCATCCATCCATGAATTGATTACATCTTATTGTGTGCAGGCAACTTCAAGTCGTATGAGGTGTTTCGGCGCATGCTGTTCTCGGCCCTATCTGAGGACTGTGAGAGCGTGTATCTCGACCTCCTCACACCACGCGACCTGGCCCTGCTCCGCGGCCGGGCTGAGCCACACCACAAGGCGGGCAGCAGACGCCTGCACGACTCGTCCTCCAGCGCATCCTCGTCGAGCGGCGGGGCGGCCATATACACTGCTGGGTTGCCACCCCCCGGCGGGCTGCCCCACCCCCACCCCCCCACCCCCACCCCTTCGTCGGCCTCCCAGCCGTCCGTCCACCCTGCCAGTGATCGCAGCAAGAGGTACCTCATCCTGACCTACCAGGGAGAGTTCGACCGCGTCCACTACCCCCTGGCGTTGGCCTACCAGGAAGACACTGAGGTGGCTGCTCTCCAGGCTACCGTGGCGCGATTGAGGGGGGAGCTATCGGCGGCCTCGCGCAGGATAGAGCGCCTCACGCAGCAACAGGGGACGGGGGCAGCCGAGGTCACCGATGATGCCCTCATGCGTGAGAATGACGAACTGAGGCGCAAGTTGGCGGCCAAGGAGAGGGAGGTCGTGGCTATGCGTCGCGACATTCAGGCCGTGTCGGATGCCACCATCAGCACCAGTCAGAGCCAAGCCATGAATCGGCGCTCCAGTGAGACGGCGTCAGATGGCGGCCGGGACCACACGCGACAGCAGCTGCACAAGCTCACGGAGGAGCTACACCGCTGCCAGGCGCTGCGCCAGCAGGACCAGCGGACCCTCCAGACACTCCAGAGGGACCTGCAGCGTGCACGCGAGGGCGAGAAGAAGCTCAAGGCACAAGTGAAGCGTCTCGAGGACGACAATAACACCATCAGGCTTCGGCTGCGTCATGCCCCTTCACGCGATCCGTCCCCCTCCCGCTGGTCCACTCGCCAGCCGGCCGGTCGAGCAGCGGGGGGTTCGGCCCCGCCTTCCCGCCGCCCCACATCACGTGCATCCTCTGTGGCCTCGCGCGGCTCTCGTGGGCCGTCACCCTCACCCCCACCCCGCCGGCCTCACCCCGGGCTGACCAGGCAGAGGGCCCCGTCGCCACCAGTGGGGAGTCGACCGACCAAGCCGTTCTCTGCCCCTGACTACAGCCGCTCTGTTGTTAAGGCGCCTGCAGTAGGGCGAGCGAGTCCCACTCTGCGGGCGGGGGGCGTCACCGTCACAGGGTGGCCGGGGGAACACACGCGACAAAGGGGCGCCAACAGGCTGCGGCGATCGTTTGATTCGGACCAGTCATCATCGAGTCAGCGCCATCCGAGCCCCTCGTACTATGGGGTGGGTGGGAGAGGGGGGAGGGGCCTAAGGGGCCGGGCGCCATCCCCCACCCATGCCGCCATCGGCGCACGGCTGCCGTCGCTGCACCAACACCCCCTGCCGCCCCCCAAACAGGGCGCCAGGCTGTCGCCATCCCTCTCACCTCTGATGCGTAAGCCACGAGGACCACCACAGCACCACCTGAGTCGGCCCCAGCGGCAGCAGCATCAGCGAGGCCCCACCAGCCCAGTGGCGTCCTCCTCCCCCTCCCCGTCTCCCTATTCGGTCCCCATGTCGGTGTGCATCCCCTCGCCGCCATTGCAGCCCTTGCACCCACCCGCCAAGCTGCTGCCACCACCCCGCATCCCCGTCACTGCCGGCAAGACCGACCAAGGCCCCCGCGAGGATGGGGGGACATCTCATGGCATTAACGGTATCGCTGACAACACTAGTGAGTCCCCTCGCCTGTCGCTGCCCCCTGGATCACCGGATGGGGCGTCGTCCTCTGTCATGCCGGCGACTGTGACAGGCGGCAGCCGCCCGCATGGCAAGGCGGTGGGTGGTGTTGAAGAGGAGAGCGTAGGGAGTGGGAGCGCGTCGCCCGAGATAGCGGTGAGTGACATAGATGCCCGGCTGCATGCACTGCAGAACTTCCTGCGGTCCGCAAAGGCCGGAGGATACGCCAAGTAAAGTAGGAGAGAGGGGATGGATGTGGGGGGCGAGGTGACAGTCGATGAGCGAAGCGGATGGGATGCACGGACGGACATGCATGGACGAATGCACGGATGGATGGATGGTGTGCATGGCATGAGGGACAGACGGACCCGTGGATGGACACATGGAGGATATATAAGATTTGCCTTGACGGTGGATGGATGGATGGATGGAGAATGAGACAGTGTTTCGTCGGCGGCACGTACTTGGTCGTGGTTGCACATGGACGAACATTCATTCACGCACAGTGCATCGATAGATGCGATGTGTTCGTACGTGCCGATGAGTGCCACGCGCACAGGCGAGACGCATACGCGCTGACATGTCCGCGACTGCACGGGCTTCAAAGGCACTTACACATACACAGTCAATGCATTCACAGACAGAATCAGGCAGCCGTCCACCCAGCATGTCTGTCTGTATGTATGTGTACGTATGTATGTGTGTACGGATGTACGCATGTATACACGTACGTAGCAGTCAACCTACACACCAGGGACAGCAAGTAGTCGGAGAGATAGGTAAGTAGCTATGTCATCCCGTCTCCCTCCCTCCCTCCCTCCCTCCTCTCTTTGCTATAGACAGACAGACAGACATGCACAGGATTGAGTCGGCAAGTTGTTCATCTGCCAATGCTTACAGCGGCCACATGTGGGGCGCCATTTGACACTCCGCACGCAGAGGCCGCGTACGTAAGAAAGGACACAGCGATCTCGACACACAGCCAAAAAAAGCCGGAGGCAAGATATACCCACATACATGCATTCTTTGACAGAGGGATACCACATTGCACTCGACGTTAGAATACAACAGATGAACAGAGAGATGATAAACTGACCTCAAGCAGAGGGTGCCCGCCCCGCCCCATCTCACCCCTAGGCAAAACAGATCACTTCGTCGCGATCGCGTCTTCTGCCTGACCGGTGCCATCCATCCATCCATCCATCCATCGATCGATCTATCTCTCGCCTGCCTGCCGTGCAACCCAATACACAAAAAGGCATCAGTGATACGATAGAGGCGCACTTTCACAGCCACGTATGTATGCGGGAGAGCCCTTCCTTGGCCAAACACAATCGATTACTCAGGGCGAAAAAGTACTTACCTGTCTGTCTGTCTGCCTGTTTGTGTCTCTCTGTCTGTCTGCCTGATACACCCACCCTCCATCAGATCAGACATCAGTCAGACTGGGTTGGGTGGCCAGCCTCTGCGGGTCGTGTACGTGTGGCAGTTGAATGGGTCGATCTGCCCGTCGTTTTGCACCACTGCCCGCAGCGACTCGCCGCGATCCCTGGCATCCTCAAGGGCCAAATTGCCGCTGCCAGATGACAGAATGCCGCCCCCACCATTGCCAGACAGCTGCGTGGCGTGGAACCAGTGGCTGCTGCGCTTCAGCCGCTGCAGATAAAACACGGTGAAGACGCACCCACCGCCGATGATGAGCAGGAACGCCAGACCCACCACCTGCAACATTTCACAGCAGTACAACACAGAACGTACAATCTGAGCCACATACATAAGAGGTCGTGTGTGTCGTTGGTTGCTTGCTTGACAGCTGTCTGTCTGTCTGTCTGTCTGTGTGCCTTACCACGCCGGTAGCTATCCAGGCCCGCCTTCGCGGCGCCAGATTTTCCACCTCGTCCCTCACTCTTTTGGCCTCCTCTTCTATCACTTCCAGGGCGGTCAGCGTCTCCTCCATCTGCGAATCATCCAACGCATACGAACCCGAGACACCACCAGCGGGCAGCTCGGGGGCGGCCTCCTGGTGCTGCCCCTCCTCAGCCCGGTGGTTGGCAGCAACGTCGTCATCGGCATGTTGCTCAGCAGGGAAGGGGTCGTCAGAGGTGGGGTCTGCCACAGTCATACCGGTCCACGAGTGCCGGTTGGAATTCGTGCCAACGCCTGTGTCGATCGCCAAACTTTCCACACCATCCCCCACGTGACGCTCAGGGCTATCGTCAAGGGCAGGGGGCACTGTCATCGTATCCGTGCCCTCCTGCTGAGTCAGGTCGTCCACCAAGTGGTCTTCGGGCGGCACGGAGGGCAGCATTGGCTCGGCCATAAGGGGCTCTCGCTTAAGCGAATAGGGAGCCTCCGGGGGAGCCGCTGAGGCCCGGCAGACAAGTAACAGTAGCACGAGGGTGGTGAGGAGCAAGCATGACGCCATCTTGGATGAGCGCTGCCGTCGGGGGTGGGGCAGCCATGGGCCGCTAGGAGGGTGGTGGGAAGAGGCAAATGGCTGGGTGGCGTCGAAACACCTGCAGGCAGGAAGACCAGGTGGTACGCTACGCAGCTTGCAGAGCGTGAGAGAGGGTGTGTTTCTGCGTTGCCACCTCGGTGTCGACTCGTCTGCATCTGTCCGCCGCTGCAGCATCTGTGCGCACCGACAGCCGCAGCGCTTTGACGCGGATGGAGCTCCACCCTCATGGCGCATCCTCCACTCTCACGGCAATCCAGGTTGCAGGAAAAACACCGCTGTCTTCAGCAGGCGTCCCGCGCGCCTGGGAGGCCAGCCGTTAGGATCGCGAGCTATAGCATGCCCTAGGTTCGTTCGTGGGGTGAAACCGCCAGCCGTGGTTCTGCCTCCCTGGCCCTCTGCTGCGTGGTGTGCTGTGCCCTCATCTGCAGGCTTCAGCCGTGTGTTTCTATCAGGGTTTGCATCGAGTTGTGCAGATCTATGTGGGCTGAATTGATAGCATTCTTCTGCGGCCTGGCTGTACTGGTCGCCCTCCTGCACGCCTGGTCTTTCCGGCGCTTCTCTATAAGGGGCTGTCACGTGCTGATCACGGGTGCGTCCAAGGGCATTGGGCTCGAGTTGGCCAAAGAGTCTGTCAGGCGGCAGGCCAGGAGGGTCACTCTAGTGGCGCGCAACGAGCCAACACTCAAGCAGGCGGCGCAGGAATGCAACAACGTCGCCAAGGAGGCGGCAGACGGCGGTGGAAGAGGCAGTGCAGCTGTGGAGGTGGTTTGCAAGGTGCTGGATGTGACTGACGAGGAGGCCGTCATGGCCTATGGCGCGTCGCTGGCCGAGACGGATCCTGCAGATGTGCTGATCAACAATGCTGGCGGCACCGTCACCAAGCCCTTCGACGACTTGACGGCTGCGGACTTCTCCCACTGTTGGCGCCTCAATGTGATGGGCGGGGTGCACATGTGCAGAGCCATCCTGCCGTCAATGAAGCAGCGGAGGAAGGGCCAAGTGGTGTTTGTGAGCTCACAGGCGGGGCAAGTGGGCCTCTACGGCTACTCGGCCTACAGCACTTCCAAGTTCGCCCTCCGAGGACTATCTGAGGCGCTGGAAATGGAGGCGGGAGCCTCCGGGGTCCACGTGGCCATCGCCTTCCCACCTGACACAGGTGGGTAGGGAGGGAGGGCATCCGACCAGAGAAACGAGACGATCCATGACGCTTGCCCGCTTTTTTGTGTGAATAAATGGATGGATGGAGGGATGCAGATACGCCAGGCTTCAGGGAAGAGTCACAGACCAGGCCAAAGGTGAATATATGAGAGGGAAGCCAAGGAAGGCCCTGGGGGAAATAGTGCGCCCGTCTGTCCGTCCACCGTATGGTGTGGTGTGGGTGTCTATCGTTGTATGCAGATCACCGAGATATTGGCGGCTGCGTCGGGTGTGTTCCCACCCGCCGTCGTCGCCAGCACAATCATGAATGGCGTGGAAGCAGGTGAGACAGGCTGCCCCACCAGAGACGGAATAATGACACGCACGGAGAGAGTAGATGGTCTGTCTGTCTGTGTCGGCCGGTATGGTTGTTCAGGTCTGCATCGCATCCCCGTCGGGTTTGACGGCCATCTGCTCAACTGGCTCACTGTGGGGGCTGGACCAGGTGGGGGGCGCCTGAAATGAATGCTCGGGGGAACAGACAACCTGCGGGTGTCAGACACCGACTCATCAACCAACTGATCCCTGACGTGTCTTGTGTGTGTGACCATGTGTGCGACGAATGTTCAGTGTCATCGCTTTGGGTCACTGTTCAGGAGTTCCTCACGGCATCAGTACTCAGGTACATACGTTTGCGTGTCGCCTGTTTTCATCCCTCTAACTTGTCCCTCCTTGCTTCCCCCTGTGCGTGTGAGTTGGTCGCAGGCTGGTGATCGCTGTGTACCACATGCATTGGTCCCGCGTGGTTGCCACACACGCACATGGCCCGCCAACAGGCCCTCACACACACACGGACTGACTGTATGTATGTGTGATGTGTGTGTGTGTATGTACATATTTGTACATGTGCCAGTCAGCAACTGGTCGATCGGTCTGTCGGCGTGTCCATCACTCTGTCTGCTTGCATTTAGAGCTCTATCGTGAGCAAGAAACGATTGGGTGCATACATGGTCGGAACCCAGAGCAAACCCACCCCACTGAGGCTCATTGCATATCGGTTCAAGTGAATTAGCTTGTCTTACAATCACCACACGTGCACAACCAATCATCCACTCGCTGGTCGACGCTGCAGTCATTGCAATATGACCACACCACATGCAGGCAGGCGTGAAAGCATACTGAGAGAGAAAAGGGGTTGTTGTGCGACATCGAGAAGGACTGAAAGTGGGGCGCACAACACTCGTGCAATGAGACCTCACGTCGCACATGGATGAGGAGGACGCACAACATGAGGCGCACTAGACGCCTGCAAGCGCGCCAAGTAGACACACCAATGAATCTGTCTCAGCGAGAGAGTGCAAGCTGACCCTATGGCAAACACCCACCCATAATATCCAACAGGAAGTGCAGTGACTGTGTGGATATTATGGGTGGATATATGGAAGTGCGGCCGGCATGTCTCACTTATCAGAACCATTGAATGAATGCATAACACGCGCATGCCACAATTGGCCATGCGTGGCCTGACTGACGCACTCACTAACCTAGAAACCGCAATCAATGTGCGAAGCAGGAGATACTAAATAAGCGGCCCGGCACAGAGGCGTGGGCAAACCCACTGACGTACTCACACACACAGACGCACGCATACGGACACAGAGAGGGGGTGGGGTGAGTGTGTGTGGGGTGGCTAGTCCAAGTGTATGCGTGCATGTGTGTATGTGTATGTGTATCTGTATGTGTGTTGGTGTAAGGAAGTGCCACACACACACACATATATATATATACATATATATACGCACCGATGAACACGTGTGAGTGTGTGGAGGTGGAGGTGGCTGGTTGTGAGATGCTCTCTCTGCCCGACACATGGATTCGTGTGTGGGTTTCTGACTAGGCCAGCTGGCCAGTGTGTGTGGGCAGGTATATACACATAGGTATATCATATGAGCTGTGCGGCGGCACAAGAAGCTGTCGATGGGATTGATGGGCCGAAAGCGCAGTTGTGGTGTCCGTCGGGGGCTGGAAAAACGCGGCCAGCGACAAAGAAGAGCGGCGGAGAGAGCAGTGCTCTTGCGCAGCAGGAGGAAGCTGTGTTTCGTGTCGCGTCAGGAACCAGTAGGAGGAAGGGGTCGAGTCCAAATCACAAGAGACAGTGTGTGCTCTTGGTGCGCATGTGTGCATGGGTGGGTGGGCGTGTCGCGGGCCGCTAAGGCTCAAAACCGCGGGATTACAAAAGGAAGCCAAAAATAAGGAGTCAGTCAGTAGTCAGTCGCCGCGGATGCACCGGATCGACCTTTGTGTGCTGGTGGTGCGCATGTGTCTTGGCGGTCGGGTGTGGTGTGAGGCGGGCCGCTAAGCAAAACCGCCAAAGCAGGAGAGGAGCAGTGAGTCTGTGAGCGCAGTAAGCCTACACATCCATACAGTACATGGTGAGTGGAGTAAGTCGAATGAACCGTATCGTGGACCAAAAATGCAATACGCAGTCAGTCAGTCAGTCAGTAGTAAGTCTATCGACATGGATGGATGCAATGCACACGACACGCATCTCATGCACACATCCGTCGAGCGGGTGACGGGGGCTTTTGAGAATGCGACGGCGCGTCGTGTGGGTCTCCTGGTCCTCCCCTCCCGAGGACGACAGCGACACTGGCGTCTCGCCGCCTGGGACCAGAAGAACCTCGACGGGCTCGGCCCCGTTTCCACCAGCACAGTGCTGCTCTTACGTCTCGTAGTGTCGGGGGACTCCGCATGCGTCCTGGCGTCGGCTCCAGGCGTCTCTCAGCCTCTTCGTCTTCTTCTCCTACAGACTGGTCGCTGGTCGCTCTTGACAGCGATGCCACGGTGTCGGCACGGGGGGCTTGCTGCCGCCCGGGCCGCTTCCTCCCCTTCTCACCCTACGCTTTGTCGGAACACATATCAGGTCGGCTGTGCTTGTGCTGGTGCTGCTTCGGCTTAAGGAAGCTGCTCTTCATCCGCTGCATGCTGCTGCTGCTCATCGCATGGTTGCGCATGGCAACGGGGGCCGGCTGGACCGGTGGCGGTGGACTGGGAGGCGTCATCGTTGAAGCCGCCGGTGAAGAACAACTAGCTGAGCGGCCTGAGGACAGCTGCAGGTGGCGGCACGTTGGCTGCGTCAGCCTCGTCTGCTTCCCCGCCTCTGTCGGGCTCGTCCCTTGTCACAGGGGCGAGAGGTCATGCGCAGCTGCGCAGCGGCGCGAGCACTGGCCACGGGTGATCCCTTGGACGCTCCATCCTCAGACGACTTGGTCAGAGCGGCCATGGGGGCTGCAGACTGGGGTGTCGGTGGTCGCCCTCGATGAGCTCTGTCTGTTCTGCCGAGGCATCCGAGTGTCGCCCTTCTGCACCGTCGCTCCGCCCCGTGAGCCCCGTCCCCTGTTGTGCTCGTCCTGTGGCTCGGGGAAAAGAGGCACAGCCAACTCGGCCTCTGCTTGGGCACGGCGGCAGACTCGTCTACGGACAAAGGGCCATCTCCTTGCTGTCGGCTTCTTGCTCTCCGACCGTCTCGCCTGTCTCCATTGTCGCCATCACCCGGTGGTCCGCCGCCGTATCATACTCGTTGTGCGCTGCGTCAGGTGGCGGCTGTGATGACTGCGCTCCACTTGCATTGCATCAATGCCGTCGTGAGGGTGAGAGTGGGGTGTGCCGTCCCTCATGCCTCGCCCATCCGCCGCCCTCGAGAGCCGCCCCTCCGCCTGCTGTCCTCACCATATGCACCGAGAGGCTCTTCTGATGCAGCCTGGGGCATGTCGACCTCCATCGGCTCTGCCCCCTTGTCCTTGTCGGCCTCGGCCACGGCCAGTGTGATATTGTCCTCCTCGCCGTGATGCACGGACTCCTTGACGCCCATGGGGATCTCCACAAAGGAACCGATCTCGGGCGGCGAGACGCCATTCTTCGCCCACAGGAACGGTCACTTGCGGAGGCCGCAACTGACGCTCCTCATCGGCACGGTCAACGGGGCGAGGGGCGAGTGACACTTGCTGCTTCCTTCGCAGCCTCCGTCGGTGGCGCTGCCGGTGCTGGTGGTGAAGTGACGGCTTGATTGGGCGTGCGCTGGTCCTCGTTTGGTGCAGGAGGGGTCGGCTGTGCTGATGGAGCCAGTGGGGAGCTGTCGGGTTTCCGTGGTGGCCGGATCAGCCGACGACGCTTCGTCTTCTTGACAGGCTCAGGGGCTGGCGATGTGTCATCGGCTGCAGGCGCCCCCTCCCCGTGGCCCTCATCTTTGTCCTCTCGTGGGCGCTTGACGATGCACACTTGGTCTCCGATGGTGTGCGCAAGCTAGGGGTGAGCCCACCCCGGGCGCACAAGCTGCCACCACAGCCATTGCCGAGCCCAGCCAACTGATCAGCGCCAGACCACCACCACAGCTGACTGACCCCTCCCATCCACCCCGCCATCGTCAGAACAGCCCCATCCTGAGGACACTGCAGGGTCTCTGTGTGGCAAGCCATTCCCTCGGGAGTGCTAGCCTTTGCCTCAGCAGCAGCACTTGCTCTTTCGGGCAGGGCGGTGTGGGTGGGACCTGACCAACACGCAGAGAGACATTCGAAGTGCGCGAGGTGTGTGAGGTGTGTGAGGTGTGTGTGTGTTCGCCATCTATCTGGCCACCTCTCTGGTCAATTACCATTTGTGGTTTGCGCAGTCTGCGAGTGTGGGACGGTTGTTGGGGTCCGCCGCCGTCATGGCCTCCAGCAACTCTATGCAGTCGCGGGAGAGGTCGCCGCGACCAAACACGTCCTGACGTGACACGAACAGACACACACACCACACATTCATATGCTCACAAGAGAGACATCATTTACGGAGGATTCCAACTACCTACCGGGGCGTAGTCCGAGCTGTCACGGATGTTCTCCCAGCCCCAGCACAGCATGAGGCGCATCAGACGCCTGCAAGCGCGCCAAGTAGACACACCAATGAATCTGTCGCAGCGAGAGAGTGCAAGCTGACCCTATGGCAAACACCGTCGCTTTGTCGGCATCAAACACGGCATGGGGCACCCTTGTCTGCACATCAACCAACGCAACACAATATATACGTATGTGTATTGATGGGGCCTAGTGTCGAATTGCACACCCATTGCGTTCACATACCTCGGGGGCGTGGATGAAAGGCCAGCCGACGATGTTGGCCGAGTTGCCCACCATCGTATTGCCCTGTGTAGACATCAGACGCAGAAAGACATGTGTGGCGATATGCTCAGCTATGCAGTCGGTCACTGCACGTGTATGTACATTTTTGGGGTCGAAGAGGAGGGCGTGGCCGAAGTCTATCATCTTTAGCTGGTTGCCGTCGGGCCGCTCAAACATCACGTTGCTGGCATGGAAATCCCTGCAAACACGGCGACCAAACATCCCAAATGCGCAGAGAGACTCTCATGGGAGGGAGGGTGCATATGTACCCGTGATAAACGCCACGCGAGATCAGGCCCCTGTTGGCGTTGAGCAGCTGCTGCGTCCAGTCCCTGGCGAGGGTCTCGGTGACCGTGCTGCGCCCGTAGTGGTCGGCGTAGATGGCCGACGGGCCAGCGCAGCGGTCATACATCGAGCCCCCCGCCAGGTACTCGAGGTCGAAAAAGGACGCGCCAGCCATGTGGTACACCTACACACAGACAAACAAACAAGACACACACCATCAGACAGACGTGCAGACAGACAGACAAGGTAGATGATTGATTATGTAGATCTGTCCGTTCTCATCTGTTCATGGATGTCCCTGCTCACCCCGTGGCATTGCACGACGTTGTCGAGTCCCTGCAGGTGGGTGCAGATGCCCATAGCCCTCTCCACGCTCTTGAACTCGTCTATCCAATACGACCCCCCCCACAACGGGTCCACCCACCGTTTCTTGTTGGCCATCTTCCGCAGCGCCCGCATCTGACCGTCCTCGTGGCGCTGTGCCAGGAAGGCCGCCGCCTCAACGCCCTTGCCAAGGATGCGGGTGGCCGTGAAGTGGGGTTTGGGGAAGCAGGGCCCCATACCGAGCGGCGTGTCACGATCCACCCACACCTCTTGAATGGGCGCCGGGCCGAAGATGCCCCGCCAGACGGCGCTCACGGCGGCACTGAGCCATGCGGCCATGGTGGTGCCTGCTGTCTGCTGTGTGTGCCTTAGTGTGCCTCTTGTTATTGGTGTCGCCGCCTTGGTCGCCGCCTTCTGCTGCTGCTGATATTATCAGTGACATCTCGACTGATGCTGCTGCTTCTGTTGCTGTGGTGCTGTGCTGATGTGAAAAGCCGGTGTGCGAGCTATCCCTGCGAGCTTCAACAGTCTTCCCCATCGCACCTCCTTCCCCCGTCCCCTCTTCTGCACAAGTGGCGGTGCAGCGAAGATCTGGACTGCACTTGTGCGCTCAGTGTGCTTCTTGTCGACGACTCAGCCAGTCAATTCTTCGCACTGACGAGGTTCCGCGCAGGGTAGCTGATTGGTGCTCCCGAGGCTCTCCCGAGTAGTGCCAGATAATGATGGATCAATTCAGGAATCGACTCAAGAGACTCAGAATAGGTGCTCAGCCTGGTGAGCAACAATCAAGGGAAAAGGGCCGTCTGAGCGCTCACGTGTGTGTGTGTGTGTGTGTGTGCGCGCAGCTGGAGCAAGGAAGATATCAGTTAGAGACCTTGTGCCTCTCGCAACAGCCACTGGCGCAACAGGACTGCCGGCAGCGAGAGGAGTGCCTTCCATCGAGCTGACAGATACCGATCCCAGAGACTTCATCGGCGGCAAGCATCGGGACAACATGCTGGAGCATATCAAGCTTTTCTACAACAGGGAGAGCTGCTCATCGAGCAGCCTTCAGCGCCGGAGAGACACCCAAAATGCCCTCCCTACGCGAATCCCTCCTATGGCCCTCACTCGTCATCCTTCAGGAGGCAAGACGAGGACGCTGAAGGAAATAGGCCTCGCCCTTCGGCAGGAGCGCATCTTCTCCCTCTTCATCTCATTCAACGACCTCACCGCGTATGATGCTGCAAAGGAGCACGACCGCACATGGCTTCAGTCGCTGCTTTTGCGCATCGGGTGGGCGGCTGCCAAGGCCGACGTGCGGAGGAGTGTGGGGGAAGACTTTTCAAGATGGCTGACCGAAGTGGAAGTTACCGAGGACACCATTTGCAAGTGGCTAGGTGATGCCGTCTGCGTCCTCCTTGTTGATGAGCTGAATAAGTTGATCGTGGGAGAAGGCCGAGAGGAATTTCCTGATGAAGGAAAGAGCGTGGCGGCATTTCTACGGACACAGTTCGTCGACAAGCATGGCCGCTATCTCGTATTCTCAAGCCACTTCACAGAGACGGGCTCGAAGCTGACGGTGTTCATGGACAGTCTAAGCAATCGGGATGTCCTTCGCCCCCTCTTGCCGGTGATCAAATCTGTTGATGAAGCGGCCGCTGTCAGCCAGGAGGCCGCCTCGGCTTCCAAGCTATCCTATCTTGGATTGACGCCCGCCCTAGTTCACAAGGCGTTTGCCGTTGAGACACAACCCGTCGCTCTTTGCGTTAATCAGATCTTCGACAAGCTCCCGAAACCACTCTTCACCGAGGCGACGCTGCGAGCCGTGATCATGCTTGCGCTGGACGGAGCTGAGGAGTATGTGTTGGCGTTGGGCGGCTGGGCTGCGGCATTGGATGCGTTTGTTGTTCGCCCACCTCACATCGGGACCCCGTCGTACACGTGGTCGCCATGCTTTCTGGCAGCTGCCTGTGCGCGACTCGCTGCTTCTGGCGAGTTGCGCAAGTCTCTTCGTCAAGGCCTGTGGCGGATCGCCTCCGCCCTACAGCAGCTGGCTGAAACAACAGAAGGGTCCGGCGTGCAGTGGGAGAGCGTTTGTGCTGCGGCACTCATCCTACGGATGATGCAAAGCGACGTAGGAGATTATTCAAACCTGCATCCCGACGCCGGAGCAATCCTGCCTCCTGCAGTTTTCAATGGTCGGTGACACAAGGATGTGAAACAGAAAAGCTCTGGTCGATATCAGTTTTTGTGGTTTTTGTGCTGTTCGCGTGGGTCTGTCATATCAGGATGTGCATTTGGAGGCGCCTTTCGTCCAACCGACCCAGATGGCTTCATGCATGCTCTGCCAACCGATCGTTCTCCAAACATCGCTCTCCTCCGCAGGACGGTCGAGGACGAGATATCAAAACCATCCTACAAGGAGCAGGGGCTCGACAAGGGCATTATGGCGCTTTTTGTGCAACCGGCTGTCAGCAATTTTCCTTGGTATGACATGTTTATCTTCGTCTGTCGCGACGGGCAGGTGGTGGAGATCTGGGGGTACCAGTCGAAGACAGGCAGTAGCACTCCTGCAGACGCGCAGACGCCGGTGTCGAAACAAGTCGATAAGTCAGTGTGGCTGCGCGGAAGTACAATCAAAGGAGTGCGAAAAGATTATGGGTGGATCATCGCCTCTCGGACAGGAATTGAGGCGTTGTGCGGCTTCAGCTTCAAACGCTCATGCCCTGCCAATTGGCTGCTGGATCCAAGGGTCTGGGAGTGAGAGGAGTAGTCAAGGGTCTGGGCGGGTGGCCAAGTGTCCTCGATATGGCCTTCCCTACTGCCCAAACGGGGCGGAGGGGCTGGACCTGGCACACAGTCTCTTTCAAACGAACGTGATTAAAAAGTTGAAACGGTAAAGATGTCGGGGCCGCATCAGTCTGGAAAAGATAAAGCTTTTGCTTATATTAGCAAAGGGAAATGAAAGTCTAATATGGCCATCAATTCATCCACGCAACTCTCGAATTGTCACTGTTTGGCGCAGAAAGACAAACGGCAGTCACAGATCATTGGGTGGCTGTATCTCTGGGCTCGGCGAAAACACTATGCTCTCAGGAGCGGCTTCCTGCCTCTGCGATTCGGGTGGCGCTGCTGCCGTCACGCCCAGGACTGTTTGTTCCAGCATGGTGTCAGCTGTTAACAAGGTGATGCGCGAATTGAATTTTTTGACCGGCTTTTCGTCTTATTCCAGTGTCGCTCACTTTCGGGCTCGCGTTCGGTTGGACTATCGCCGTGTATGGGCTGGTCGAAGATCCCGTTCTGCAATGGTGCTCGAGCGTCCTGCGAGTCGACTGGTCCGCCTTCTCTGTACAGCCGCTCGACCTACGTATTCACACGAAGAAAAGAAGATGCTTCTCAGTCAGCTACCGTACAGTTGCCGAATTACATGTGCGCGGCCTTGGGTTTGCATTTCATTGAGAATGTCGACCTCCAACAGATCCTTGACGCGTGAATAGGACGCTGCCACAGGCAATCGTTGCGCGGCAAAGATGCTTTCAGCCTGCAAAGAAAGCGACAAAGTAAAGCAACTTGGGCATTCAGGTGATCTTGGGCATTCAGGTGATGTTTCGTGGGTTCTCGACCTCTCTAGCAATCGAGAAGCTCGGGAAGAGGTCTTCGTACTCGCTCGGGTCAGCAAGGGAATCGGCCAGAGATTTGTTCACGCGGTTTAGATCCTGCTTCCACAGCTGCACAAGCTTTCCGACTTGCGATGGACAGTATGTCCTAGCAAAGAACGCCGCTTCAGGCAGCCGACCCGCGTTGATGAGCACCTGGCAACGATGATTTCAACAGCATGATCAGCACAAGGCACCTGTCTCGCCTACCTCTAGCGTGCGCTCGGTGTCCCTCAAGAGCAAGTAGCAGAGCAAGGCCACGTTGTTGCGCTTGTCCGGCAGGGCCAGCGCTTCCTCCGCCAGCTGCCTCAGACCATGTTCGTCTCCTGATGCCGAGTACATGAGCAGAAGCCCGCTGAAATCGCGAGCTTCCTTGAAACACGCGAGCGCTAGGGTGAAATTGCCTTGCTCCAAAGCTGTGTCGCCTGAATAACATGGGCTGGACAGTGTACGAGCACACGGGGTCTCGTGCTCGATCACGTCGCGATTACCAAGTTGCCGCCACCGCACAGAAACAGTGGCCGGTGCAGTCGAAAGATCGCTGGCCATGGTCTTGATTATCTGTGCACACTGTAACAACAACGGTGGCGTAAACAAAAGCATCCCAAAACGTAAAAGCAGCAAGACAGCACCTGTTCCAGGCGAGATAGCGACAGAGCGAGATCAAACTGATGATCCAGGTCCTTCGTAATGCTAAGAGCTTGGTCCTTGTGACCTTGGTGTTCAAGGAAACGTGCCACCTACAGCAGGCGTTATGCATCGGTTTTTTGCAGATTGGAATCTCTCTCATGATCCTTACTCGGTTGTGCAGGCTTTCCGGGATCTGCTCGAAAAACCTTTGCCCGCTATCAAAATCCTTCCGACAAATCGCCGTCTGAACCGCAGACAGAAATCACGCGTTCCGTGTGTACCAGTTCCGACAGGTGTGTCCTCGCCTGGTATTCGATCAGTGCGACGTGGAGCATGTACGAGACAACTGATAGCTCGCGATCGATGAGAAAAATCCTTCATCAAACATCACAATGAGCCAGAAATGACCTGGGGCGTTCAATTTCTTTCATACTTGTTGTGCTCGGGCATGTAGCCAATGATATACATCGGGCGATCCAGATGGGCGAGGGTTTCGATTTGCCCAGCCACGGAGCACTGGAGACGCATGTTGGCTACATAAACCTGTGCGGACAAACAAGCAATTGCGCGGTTTCATTGTATCGTCTGCGGACCAATCGGCCGTGGGTGGCTTACGAAGCAGTCCGAAACGAACAACCCGCTATCCACTTTCTCGGACACCTGTTTGAACAACGAAAACGAATACTCTTGTCTGCGCAAAAACCGTGTGAACCGGGTAGGAGACCTCTTGAATCAGCTCGAAGGCCGCTTCATATCCGTCTTCTTCCTGGCCGGGACAAGGCTGCATTTTTCCAACTGTTTACGATCCTTTGCCTTTTTGTCACCTGTTGGGCGTGTCCTGCAATAGCTGCACTGATCGCATCTTTATCATGCCTGGAGGGAAAAAAGGAAGTCCGGCCAGTGCTGACGTACGATAGTTGCTTCACAGTTACTTGAGTATGTAGAACGCATCGGCACAGCAAAGCGCGACCTGGTCTCCATTCTCCGACCACAAAACCAGACGTGGAACGACGTCAATCCGACGGATCAGCCTGTAACGAATGAACCATCAAGTGGTGCCATGAGGGCAGTTGGGTTTAGCACACCTGAAGTCGGTGTTCATGTCGAAAAAGCAAATGAAATCGCTTGAACGTACACCGAGCAGCCGTCCTCCGAAAAGCTCTTCGGCGTGGAAAGGGGGCTTGAAAGAGAACACCTCCTGAGGAGAAACAAGCGAGCACAGTATTTGGCGTCTTTTTCACTCTTGTCTTCTGCCAACCTTGAAGTTGTGAAAGATGCTTATCTGATGTAAAAGCAGAGAGGCCGAGAGAATATCACATCAGCCGTGACGAAAACTGCACACGTACCTTGTTGGAGGAGTCCTTCGTCGCGAAATGACCTTCGTCTGCAAAAATATGCGACGGATACAAGACGTTTCTTAATCACAGGTCCCACTGCTCGACTCACCAGACCATACAAACTCAACAGCAGATCCAAAGCTCTTGTTGCGCAACGCCTATCAGGAGAAGAGCGAGGTGAAATGAACATATGCATATCCCATTGCCAGTTTGCGATCAGCAGAAGGTCAATGCTTGACGTGCCTGTGCAGTGTAGATGATATATTCCCCGTCGCCGCAGACTGCGAAGAGCCGGCCGTTCGGCGCGTGGGCTACAAAACAGGTGAGGAAAGGGAACAGTGAGGAGGTATGCTGACATTTTGCGGTCCTACCGAGCGACTGCGGAAAGAGCTCGCAGGACCTGCACCGACACAGAACCACGTCAAGAACGCGAGGTGACGATTTTCATGTCTCACCCCATGTCTTTCACAGCCAAAGGCAGTCGCTCGCCGTCCGAGGATGACACTTCGTCGACGAGTTTCAGGTTTGCCGTTTGAATGTCGCTCCCCTTCGCCCAGACAATCTTCCCTCCCTACACAGACACAGGGGAGACAAGCGAGCCAAATAGACTCTACCATCGTCAACATTCGGATGTTACCGTCGTCATCGAAGCGAGCGGTGTTTCGCTGCCGAGTTTGATCACAATGGTCCCCTCATCGTAACCCAGCGCGACAGAATTGCTGCCCTTCGAGACTCCAATCGACCAAAGCCGCTGCGTAGGAAAACGTGCCGAAGACAGGACTATGATTAGTTTTCGCCCGCGAGAGTTTAGTCACCTCCATCATATAGTTGAGGCTTGTCTCCTGAGTGAGTCACGACCGTAATGTCATTTACCATTCCGCCATATTTCTTTGCACTCTTACCAGCCGATAGGTGCTTGAGTGCCAAATCCGCACGCTGCCGTCTTCCGATCCTAGAAAAAATCCACACAGAGGCTTACGGCGCAGTTCTGTTCAGTTATGGCGTACCGGAAATGATGATCGGCAGGTTTGGATGGAACACGGCTGCGGACACATTGTTGCTATGGCCAGTCAGCACCTGCATCCGCACAAAAGCGCGGCTCTTCTCAATTAGACATTGACTGAATCCCTGCCTTCTTTCCTCTTTCATTGTTACCTGGATGCACTGCTTGGTTTGGTAGTCCCAAACCCTTACCTACATGGAACCGCACGAGTACATCAGATATCGCTGAGTTCGCACCAAGTTCGGAAGGAGTGTTTGCTTTTATCTCACGGTCCTGTCATCTGATCCGCTGATGATGTATGGCTTGTCACCGCTAAAGGAAACGATACACCAAGAACGCGCCGGCCACTTTGACCGGCTCCCTGCGTGCCAAGCCTCTTTATTCACCTAGGTGAGTATTCAACTGAGTTAACGCCCCTTTCATGGCCCAGGAGCGTGAAGAAAGGGTGAGTTACGCATATTGTCGTACTGCTAGTCCCAGTGGGGCTGATGGACAGTGTTGGGGATGAGCCGCTTGTCGGGGCTGAGCCGGCACTCGTCGTAATGCCCCACACCTTGATGGATCTATCAAGGCTGGCACTGGCAAAGATAGACGTGTCCTGCAGTGCATGACATGCACGGACGTGCGCCTAACAAAAAGTGTAAGTCAGGTGAGCAGCATCACCTTGGGATTCCATTGGACCATCATCTGAGCATGAACCGCAACGAACATCTCGCATCCGTCCACGTCCGTCCAGGTGGACGGGTCGGGTCCACTCGTGGTTGTCTTACCACATAGTGCGCGTGAGATTCAAAGGTCTGGACAGCCGTCCAATTCTTCTCCCAATCCCACATCTTAACCGTCATGTCGTCAGACGCTGGGAGTACACACATAAAGATGCGAAAAATTGCAGAGAAGGCCAAGGGAAGCCCTGTACACAGATGCGGCATTTTTCACTTGCCTGACAGGACGTATGGCAGGGACGGGTGGACGGCGAGGAAGCGAATGTAGTCAGTGTGGGCTTCGAGAACCTAGAGAAAGAGAAGCAGCAGGTGGGACACAGCTTAGACTATCGCGACTGCCCGGCAGGGTCCTTCTCAGCTCGCTACCTTCACTTTCTCGAGTGTGTTGTAGTTGTATGTTCGGATGTTCATGTCATCACAGCCGGTGACAATCCATTGCTTTCTAGTGATGAACTTCGCACAGCGTATGGGTAGGTTCGACACCTCTATGCTCTTGACCAACGTCTGCGAGGAGTATATATACAAACACGCAGTAAGTGCAAGTAAGTTGGCGCAGAACCTGTGCGTACCTGAGAGTTGTAGTCCCATATGAAAATGTTGCCGGAATAGAGGGCGGCCAACACCCACGGCTCTGAACTGTGGAAATCGACAGACTTGACACGGTCACTCCGCGCACTGCAAAGAGGCCCAGGCACAAAAGTGTGCGCATGCTACAGTGCTTGCCGCTGTCTTCCGGCAGGGAGAATGTACCTGAGAAGCTTCTTGCAGTCGAGTCGAAGCGGCATCGTCTTCGATCAGATGAAAAGCTGGCGATCACTGCATGAAGAGAACAAAATACATACCACGCCACGCCGATCTCCTGTGTGTGTTGGCTACCTGCGCCTTTGCGAGGGATCTTGCAGGCAATTCTTCGGGTGCACTTGCGTCCGCCTTGCGAGGGAGACAATGTGGCGGGTAAATCTTCACCTTATGAGGCTGAGAGGTGACGAGCGGTGGCTTGGATCAGCCTCACCCAGGCCTCCCTTTCCGGCGTGTGACTCGTCGCTAAGCTCGCGGACGAATTGCGAGCTTGTCAAACCAGGTGGCGATGTGTCGTCTTTCCATCTATCGCAAAGCGGCAATGCGGTTAGGGGTAGTCCTTCTCGTCCTCCTTCAGCCTCAGCAGCTGCTTGGATGCACAAGATCTTGCCTCTTCGCGCAGCGGCAACATGCTCTCACGAAGTGGTGGCGGTACGATTTGCATACGCTAGCTTCGACACCACCAAGTGCTGGTCGTCTGTCCATTGTCTGTCCATGTTAGGTGTCGGGTGAGTCCTCCCTCGCGAAAGGCATTGCCTGGTGAGTGGCATGATGAGTGTTTCCCGAAGGAACAAGGCAGGAGAACAGCTGTGCGGCAAGGATTCGGAGGCGCGTGTTTCGTGTCCGTCCAGCCGGGCACACGAGTGCATCGGAGATGGAAGGCTCACAGGCATGTCCTGTTGCGGCCTTCAAGTGCCAGGATGCTGTCCGAAGTGGCCGCTGTGCGGGGAGCGACCATTGCCATGACGAGCACGCCACCACTGGTCCAGACAGTGAGATGAAGCACTGAGCACATGACCGCGACCGTTCGTATTCTTCTGTCCCTTTTGCAGCTCTGGGGTGGGAACCTTTTGAGTAGGTCGGTGTTATTTATCTTTAGCGTCTTTGCGCAGTCGCGTCCTTTTCTGGAGCCGCTTCTGAGGCTGTGGCTCAAGAACAATCTCACTGTGCTCATATCGCTGGTCTACATCCTCAGGTACGTATGAAATGGCCTGCTGGTCGCACAGCGGGGGTATGGCGGCGCTGCTTTTGCTCGGCATGCAGGATATACAAGATCCTTCTGTACCTTCGATATGTCCTCGAATGGCTGCCCCAGATCAACCCTTACCTGCCGCCTTTCTCCAGCGTCTATGTCGCCACCAATCCATACATGGACTTCTTTCAGGTAGAACCATGACAATGGGTGACATTATCCACTTCTCGCTTGTCCCTCCCCTGTTGCCGTGGTCTGCTTTCACGCAGTCATTCATCCCTCCAGTTTTCGGTGTTGACATGGGAGGGCTTGTGGCCTGGCTTGCACTCGAGTTCATCGAAACCTTTCTCAGCTCTATACCTGGTCAGTTACCAACCAACGCAACATGCGAGGGTTCCGGGCGAAATGCCTCTTGTCTGGCCTCTGCTGTACTGCAGGCATCGCAGAGGCTGTCTTATGACGCACCCTTCTCAGAAAATGAGCCACTGTGCAGACGGTGAAATACTATGATGCTTCTACTATGGTAGTCAACGCTCTCGGCTGATTTGACTGGGTATTGCGATGCGTCCGCCATGACCTCGCAAACAGCTGGGATTACATAACAAGCAGGTCTGTACACACCACTCGATCATCGGTCTTTCACTATCACCGACAGGGGTAGAGAAGAGCACTACTAGGTCAGATGAGGGAAGGTGCACCCGTGCCCCTAGGTTGTAGGTAGCGCGATCTGTGGCTGTAGACTCGAAAGTTGATCCGCTCGTGCAGTGAATCCCACGGCCTGCCGACACGCATCAATTACAATCGACCACTGCCGTCCTGTGCCACGGCGTGCTACGTGTGTTACGTTTTCGGTTGGTCTCGTGTCCGGATGGGCTTGAGTAGTCCTGCCTGCTCCACTCCCCCTACAAGAGCCATCAGCACACCCACCAACACCTGCAGGTACACCTGCAGCCAGCAAACACACACAGCCACTCTGGCATACATACGCCCGTTTCCCCCGGCATGGCAATGTGCGTGCCCCGCCCCGCCCTGTGTTGCGCACCTCCAACGAGATGAATGAGTCAGAGGCGCTCGCCATCTGCTTTGACTTCCTCTCTGTTCAGCAACAGACAGATCAATGGGCGTGATGCAGCTGCAGCAGTGAGAGATGATTCCCTTACGCTGCATGATGACGTGTCCCGCGTGGACTAGTATGACAATACCTCCCACCAGGAGAACGGTGCTCCTCATCTCGGAGATCTGTGCGTGGCATTCATGGAGCGTTTCACGGAGGCGAAAAAACGGCCAGCAATCCTTCCCTCGCCCACGCCCGTCTCTCCTCTTCAGCCGTTTTCTTTGATAAATGCGTGACCTCCCCGTCCGTCCGTGAGGCACAAGTAAAGATTCAGAGAAGTCGCGTTGCGCACTTGCAGGAGCATACTGGACAAGTCAGCAACATCAAACACCATCACGTCACGGGATCAAGTCGGCCGAGAGCCCAGCAGCTCGAACGCATCAAGGTGCACATCAGATGAGGGCGCCTGTGCCACCAATCCCTGATGAGCACCGGACATCAATCCATCACTTACCACCGTCGGTCCTAGGGCTCTCTGATAAAGCTGGGTGGGCTTCCTGTGCTGACTGACTGACTGACCTGTCTGGCTTGTGCGGATCCCGGGGGTGAATTCATTAGCCCACTCGCTGCTCCCTGCATCATCCTGCCGCTGAAACTCCCACTTGGGTGCATGCCGCCACCCCCGCTACCTCCCACCGGATCGTTCATCACACGCCCGATGAAGTCCGACGACACACCATGCTGCTACACAGACACAGCACACACAGCACAGGATTGGAGGGACCGGCCATGACGTTGACCGGTGCAGATTCTCTCTCTCTCTCTCTCTCTCTGTGTGTGTGTGTGTGTGTGTGTGTGCGCTTACGTCTTGCCGTCCCATCGACCCCTTGTTGTCCAGTTGTGGTGCTGTGATTGGTCGGCTGCCCTGTTGAAAGGAGGTTTGAGATGCTCCTGGTGGGCCGCCACTACTGCCGGAAGCGAAGGTCTTGGTGCCAAAATTGAAAGCGCTGGTGGGAGCGTCAAAGCCATAGGGAATCTGAGAGACAGGCAAAAAGACAGGCAAGGAGACGTGGATGGACTGTCTCCACCTGAACAGGTGAGTGTGAACACAATCGAGAGAAGGATACCTACCATCGAGGGGTAAGAAGGAGTGCCGAAGCCTGAAGGGGACGCCGCAACGGCACAGCAGACAGAGCACGATGTCCTCTTGGCTAGACGTTGTGACAAAGGCCCTGGCTGCACTCTACTGACCCATTTGTTTGGGTGCAGTGAAGAGTCTGGCGATTGATTCCTTCGCCTGTGCCACTTTGAGTTCCTGCAGCTGCTCGGCCGTCGGGCTTCGGCCCTGCGCCGCCGTCTCTGCCGCACCAGCTGGACCTGATGAATTGACCACATACAATACACCCATCACATACATACATACAGACCTGTCAGCAAAGTCTCTGTGTCTGCTGTTAGCTTAGCTTACGGTCTGTTTTTGGCCACCCAAAGGTCATTGGATCGTGTGGGATGCCCTGATTGGGCTGCGGCTGTCCCCCCCACGCGTCGGTTGACGCAAACCCCGGCCCCGTGATCCCCCCGGTGCCCGTCGCAGTGCCAGTGCCGTTGCCGTATGGGAGAGTCATGACACTCTCAATGGGCGCAGGAGGGCTCTCGCCTGTCAGCTTGAGCGACCCAAAATCCCCCTCCAGCGCCTTGGACGGCTCGGGCGCACCGAAAATGGAGTCGAGCCCACTCGACGGACCTGCATGAGGCTGCTGCTGCTGCTGAACCAGCGGCTGGGGAGGCGCAGTCTGCTGTGGTCCGGTCTGAGGATTGGCGTTGAAGGGATCCGCGCCTGCCCAGATGTGGTGCCAGTCGCTGGGCGCATCCTGGGGCTTCTGCTGCTGCTTGTGCATGTTGTCTGCGGCGGGCGGTCCGCCGATGAGGTCGATTGACTGAAATGGATCGACGGGGGACCCCTGCGGGGACGGCGGCGCCGGCTGGCGCGTCGCCATGTGCGGCAACGGAGACGGCGAGTACCTAGTTTACAGACAGAATACACACACACGCCGCATCCGTCCGTCCGTCCACCTGTGGCGGTGCCGTCGGCTGTCTGTGTATGGCTAGTTCTCTGTCTCTCTGTGTGTGTGTGTGTCTGTCTTACCCTCTTTCCTGGTCGCTGTGTATGGGTCTGGCTGCCTGCCCCCCCTGTGAGTGGGGTCTGTTCCGCGACTTGCCCGCCCCGTGAGGGCCGTGGGGAGGCTTCAGTTTACGCATCCCACCACCCTCCCTGTCACGCTCGTCCTCGGGAGCACTCACGGGCTCAGGTCTGGTGGATGGATCAGAGGCAGGCAGGCAGGCATGAATGAATCGACCGACATCAGATAGGTGCGCGCATGACTGACTGACTTCTCGCTGACCTCTCCCGTCTGGCCTTCTCCTTGCGCTCTTTCCTGTGCAGCAAACCGCACACACATGAGACAGACAGACAGACACATGCAATCAATCAGATGAGTGAGTGAGTGGCCTCTCAGCATCTTCCTGGCATGGACAGTGTCTGTCGCGTGACTGTGACTGACTTGCTCTTCGATCGCCCCTCCCCTTCATTTTGCACCGAGCTCCGGGGGTCCAAACCTGCCGACAGACAAATCGAGGGAGGCAGCCATGAATCAACTAAGTGCTGGCCGCTGTGCCCGCCCTGCAAGCGCTGGTCTCTGCGAGTGTGCACGTACCCTGCTCCAGCAGCTCCCACGGCTCTGGTTTGCCCACCGGGACGTACAGCTTCTTCTCATACTTGGAACGGATCCAGTTCTCCAACGCGCTGCAGGCAGTAGGGTAAGCGGCGCGGCCACACACAGCCAACCCACGCAACGCAGGCTTGTAATCGGCCTGTCCGTCTGTCTGTCTGCCTGACCCTGCCTGACCTGACGCCGTCGGCATGAGTGGGTCTGCGGTAGTCTGAGGGGAGCCGGAACTCGTAGTACTCCCTAGCCACTTCGTTGCCAATAGCCTTTACCGTCTGACATGACCCAAACAAGCAGTGCCCGACGCGGGTAGGCTCCGCTCCGCTGGCTGGCTGGGTGGTTGGCTTACGTCAATCCACTTTTGCTGCCACTTGTCGAGTGTGAGTGACTTGACTTTGGAGATGTGGACGCCCAGATTGCGGTGTATGCCGGAACACTCGATGCAGACCAGCACTCCAAGGTTGACCGAAGCCCATCTCGGTGCTTTGGCGCCGCAGTCAGCACAAAATCTGTTGGCTGGGTCCGTCACGATGTCGTTGAGCTGATCATTCGCCAGCTTGAGCTGTTTCTGAGCCATGGCCTGTGGTCCTCCTGTGGCCCTCGTCCCAGGCGATGCCGGCTGCCGGAACACGATGGGGGCTCTGTGCTTGTCCTCCTTGCCTTCTTTTTTCGGCTAAGCTCGCAGGGGCGGCGAGCTTCGCGTGAAGGGGTGGGAGGGAAGCAGTGAAATCTGCTAATCGCCGGTGAAGGAGGAGCCGATATGTGAAGAGCGACACCTTAAGTCATGATGCTCGACCTGGGGAGCATTCAGGTGGACGACAGTCAGCAGATAGACAGACAGATGAACAACCACCCTTCTATGTCAAGCCACAGGGATCCCTGTGTGTGTTTGTGTTGTGCTGGCCTGGATGAATCCCACCTTTCTGCAGGCCCTGGTTGAGTCAGAGCGGAGTGTGATAGGTGTTGTCAAGGATCTGGCATCTCGCCTTGACAGCACCCACCGGCAGAGCAGCAGCAAGTTATCCCCTTTGCTGCACAAGGAGGAGGGTGGTCAGCAGGATGCCGGCAAAGGGTGGCTCACGTTGCTCGGGGAGCTGGGTCAGCAGGCCACACAGCTGGTCGCCACGCTGGAGGCTTTGGCCTTGCCGCCGCTGGGCGATGCCATCGCCAAGATCAAGACTGAGGGGCGGGGGTCGGGCGGCCGGTCCAGGAGCCCCGACCAGAGGCAGCCCGACAAACAGGGGGGGCAGGGGGACCGCGCCACTGCTGCCGAGGAGGTGGCAAAGGCCGAGGCGCACAAGAGGAAAGCAGATGAAGAGCTAGAGGTGCGCTGCCTGCCAAGCCAAGGCAGGCACCATACACACGCAAACAAACAAACAAACAGCAGAGAGAGATGAAGAGAGAGATGCTTCCAGCCAAATTCTTACTTACTGCCTCTGCCTTGATGTGTGTGATTTATTTGGACCTCCCTCTTTCCCTCCCTCCCTCGGACGGTCAGCGTGCTGTGCTGAATAAGGAGGAGTTGGTGAAGCGTTTCGGCAACAAGCTGGCAGCCGTGGTGCTGGACAAGGCTGACCGGCGCATCCAGGCCGCATTCGCCAACCAGGCCAATGCCGTCGACCAACTCGCAAGGGCCACCGCAGAGTGAGTGAGTCAGTGAGTCAGTGACCTCCTCATCCATCCATCCATCCATCAGCCACTCACTCACTCACTCGCTGAAATAGACATAACTATTGTGTCTGTCTGTCGGGTGTGACGGATGAATGAATGGCTTTGCTGGATGTGATGTGATGTGCAGGCTGAATGCCCCCGGTCTGCGTGTGTCCGGGTCGCCTGACGAGGTTGACAAGCTGGAGTCGCTCGAGGCCGCGCGACTCAACGCCATGCGAGATAGCCTAAGGGGATGGGCCAAGGTAAGTACCTCACTGACCTGCTTACCGCCCAGCTCTGAGTTAGTGGGAGTGTTTGTTGTTCTGTTTGTGCGTTAGGCTTTGCATCACTTTCGAGAGGACTTCACCGTCTCGCTTGACGAGTACATTCGTCAGGTGGAGAGTTTTGACCCAGCGGGCGACATGGAGCACTTTCTCACCAAAAAACTTAAGGTGAGTGACCTAATCGACCGACCGACCTGCCTGAATGAGTCCACCATGATGTATGTATGTATGATGTGTGTGTCTGTGCTGGTCTGTGCAGGTCCCTCCTGCGGAGGCGAGGCGTCGTGCAGAGCGCTACACGACTGGTGCGGGTTCCCCCCTTGCTCGACCACCATCCCCCGCCCGGTTCCCGACGGCCGATCACGGTCCACGGCTGGATCCGCTGGACGGGTCGCTGCGGCAGGAGGTGGAGAGGCTGCAGCGGGAGCTGGATGATCGGGACAGGCAGGTGGCTGTGGCCAAGGCAGACCTCAACAGGGCACAGGATGACCTGCAGAAGGTCCGCGTCCGCGAGGTGACCTTGATCAACCAGAATGACATCCTTAAGTCAGAGGGCACCATGCTTAAGGACAAGATCCGACAGCTGGAATCCAAGCGCACATCCACCGATGCTGCCTTGCCATCACCCCCGGCCACCATAGGAAGCGCCAGCCGTCAGCAGCATCCCCGGGTCGGGGCAGTCGATGGGGGTGGCGTTGCACCCATGGCCGTCGACACCGACCGACAGGTGTCGCAGCAGGGGGTTGCAGGGCGAGTTACGACACCCCCCATGAGTGCACGGGGCGGTGGGCCTGGCCATGGCCAGGCCGCCCACCAGGCCATGGGCGACGAGGACGACTCCACAACCCCAGCACACATGGCGGCCATCACGAGTGCGCGTCAGCGGTTGCGGCGCGGGCCCTCTCAGCAGCGTCAGGGTCAGCAGCAGCAGCAGCAGCATCAGCAGCAGCAGCAGGGGGGGGCCAGGGGGGACTGGGCCGGGGAGGCGCCATCCATCATCAGCAGTGATAATGGAGCGAGGTCGCAAAGCCCAGTCCCCCAACGCGCGGTTACCGACCAAGCGCGCCTCCCTGACGCAGCTATCATGACACAACCACCACAAGAAGGACAGCCTCGGCATGGTGACCATCAGCAGCAGAGGGAGGCGTCTCCCTCATCCCCCGAGCTGGCGGGCATGATCGACACCGGCATCGACATGTTCTTTACCTCACGCCAGGAGTCCCCACCACCGGGACTGGCGACTGCCCCACACCCACGGACCGACGCCGCACTCTCGACACGCCCTCCTGCTGGTTTGCGGACGACGCAGGGCTTTGAGGGTCCTGGTGGTCCTGCCACCGCTGCTCGCCCCGGCTGGAGACGCCAGGAGACCGGAGGGTTCGGTCAACAGCGATCCGTCAGCAGCGGGAGCACCCCTCCCACCAGCCGCAGAGGGGGGTCTGCTGAGGACTTCCACACGGCAACAGGGGCGGCCGCACCAGCTGCACCACCTGCAGTTGCACCACCGGCCAAGGTGGGTGTGTCCGATGTGCGGCAGAGTGCCGGCCGCTCCAGCGTGTCATCCCCGCAGGCCTCTGTCCCCCACTTGGACCTCAAGCATCTCTCCCAGGCAGCAACAGGGGCGGCTGGCGACCTCCGCAGGAAGACCGACGATGAGGGCCGCATCTACTCATTCTCGACGGAAGGCCAAGGCACCACGGCGGCCAAGCACCGGTACTACGAGGCCCGCCAGTCGTCGCGACTGAGTGACGACAAGGGTCCACCGGGCCCTGCCAGTGCTGCCGTCGGGGCTGTCCTATCGGAGATGCGCCAACGGGCCGACCAGCTCATGGCCACCTGGGCGGGCGGCACGGACGACCTCGCCGACCAGCGCAAGAAGGACACCTTCGTCAACATGAAGGTAGGTACCTCAGTGAGTCGTAGACAGCTGGCCTGCCTACTTGCGCTTCCGCCCGCTCATGTTTCGTTTGTGGGGCCCCTCCCTGCATATATCCACTCATCCACTTACTCATCGATGGAGCCATCCATCCCATCAATTCCATGTGTGTTGGGTTGTCTGTGTTTCCCTCCAGAGGATGTCGAATCGTAGGGCGACTGACAAGTGGGTGGAGGTGCAGCAGCAGCACGAGGAGCGGCTGCTGGCTTTCTGCAGCCACGCCGAGGCGGCCAGGCCCCAACACAAAGACCTCAAGGGCAAGGCCGGTGAGGGGTCCGAGGGAGGTGGAGCGGCTGCCCATCGCGACTGGTTTGCCAAGGATTTCTACAAGGGCAGTGCGGTGCTGGAGCGACACATCGACCTGCCTGTTGGCGCACCCTCACATACCCACCTCGCACCTGCCAAACCCATCAAGGTCAGGCAGACAGACAGACAGGCAGACAGACAGACAGACAGGCAGACAGACAGGCAGCACAGCCGGCAGGCCACTCAAGGAAGGCACCCAACATGCACGCAATCCAACTGGAAGGAAACCCGCATCGAGACTTACGTGCCGTCTTGTGTGTGTGCGGATGTCTGCAGCTGAGCTCGTTGGGCGGTGGTGTGCAGTGGGGTTCGGCCAAGATGGATGACCTGCAGTGGAGTTGTCTGTCGTATGAAGTGCTGCTGCTTGGCTTCCAGCATCTGGTCACACAGACGGCGGCCAAGACGATCCTCCTGGCTGACGTGGCCGGTGCCGACGACACCCCCGGGGGGGGACGCAGGGGCGACAAAAAAATGGACAAGGTCGCACGCATGGAACACGAAGCCATTGTAGACCTCTTCAGGAGTGTCGTCACTCTCATGAGGTCAGCCAGCCCACACACCCACACACCCAGACAGACAGGCAGGCAGGCAGGCAGGGACGCAAGTGGATGAAGCGGGCGGGTGGCGTTGGTCCGTCCGTCCATGGTGTGTGTTGTGTTGTGTACATGCATTCATTCATTCATACATGCATACATACGTCCATTGCTGGGGTGGTGTGGCTGCAGGGTTCGGCTGGGTATCCCTCAGCGTCTGCACGAGATGATAGTGCATCTGACGCTGCCCGACGCCAACGAGCTGTCTGGGTCGAGCGGCGGTGGGGCCTCCACCCTGCACCCCATGGACCTCAGATACAGAGTCATCAGGCTTATCGAATCATGGCAACACGCAAGTGAGCCACCGAGGGGGGGGGGAGGGGGGGAAACAAAGAACGGATCCATCCATCCATCCATCAGATCAGTAGAGCAGCCAGTCAGTCCTCGCGCATACACACGCATGGCATATATGTGTCGTGTCGACAAGACCGACCCACAACAAGTGGATGTCATGTCCGTCCGTCCGCCCTGCCTGTGTGCCTGTGTTCCTGTCAGGTGACGACAACCCGGACAAGCCAGGACAGCGTCTGGGTGGCCAGAAGGCGTTTCGCGATTGGGTGTCTCGTCAGCTGCACCTCCTCGGTTTGGCATTCCTTCACAGGGTGCAGCGTCTGTACCGCTTTGTGTCGCCGTCCAAGGCCCCATCGACATCCGCCCGGGCTCCCCAGAGCGATCCGGCCGTTGCGTCCTTTGATGCGAGGCCATCGGCCCTGCGGTTCTATCTTGAGGAGGGGGCCGAGACCATCACCATCCTCCAGGACGCCCTTGACGCAGGCCACTGGGGCACCACTGCACCGAGCCCCACTACCGGCCAGCAGGCCACCAGGAGCAAGTGGGCGTCCAGGAAGGGGCTGTATCGTCTGCTGCACTGCATGACATGCATCGAGAGGCTGGATGCCAACATCAGGAGCCGCGTGGCACTCACGGCAGACCGCAACAGCCCCGACACGGCCCGCCCCTCATCCAAGTCAGGAGGGCGGCGCAAGTCGCACCGCCGCAATCCGCAGGAGGGCAGCGATCGAGGGTCGAGTGCGTCTGAAGGGGACGGGTCGTCCCCCGGAAAAGCCCTGCCCATTGAAGCCGAGGAGTCGCGGTCAGGCAGCGCCAGTTCCCACTCACCCAGCCCAGAGCCGCGACCCGACGACCGCAAGAAGGGGGCCGGCGGCCGCCACATGTCTGCGCTGCCCTCGACCAGCTCCTCTGGCCATGGCGGCAAGGGTGTGGGGTTTGAGGATGAGGTGTCGGATGGGGCCCACCCCAAGAGAGACCCCATGCGGCGTCGGGCGACCAGGGCCAGGACTGCTACCGGCCACCTTGGCCCAGCCGCAGCACCTGGAGACGAGTCGGGCAAGGAGGAACCCAAAATCACACAAAGGAGAAAGTCACGGAGGAATATCGACGGAATCCTTACCGGTAGGTCTGCAGACGGATGCGCACAGCACAGCACAGCACACAGACGACCTGACCTCCTCTGAATGTCGGTCGTTTCATTCATCCTTTCATCCATTCATCAGAGGATGGTGTGTGGTTCGGTCGTCACTCGTACTGGCGGTACGACTCCCCCCTGCTGCAGCTGTTCTTCTCGTATCTGTACCGCGCCTGCACCGACAGCAGCTCGCCTAGCCGGCTGCACCTGGAGGCCCCCCGTATCGCTCGTGCCCTGGTGATATGCGCCCACATGGCCCAGGCGGGCCGGGTGGCCCCCAGCCCCAGACGGCCGGGGGGAGGGGGCAGTGGCAAGGGGGGCGACCCGGGGCCCCTGCTGCCCTGCATGGCCCTCGACACACATGCAGTGCTCTGCTGCCAGGCACTCTGGAGGGAGGTCGCCAAGGCCGGCGATGACGCCGATGAGTTCGCAGACATCACTACCGATGTACGCACGCACGGGGGACACGCACACACGGACACTCGTGCACTTGTATGCATATATGGTGGGTGCAGTGCAGTGCAGTGCTTGGTGTATTATATGGCTATCGTGTGTGTATGTGTGTGGGGATTGGATTGGCTCCCTTACGTCAGGAGGCGTCTCAGGAAACGGGTTCGATCGTGGTCCCCCCCGTGGCCGCCGTCGAGTCCCTCCAGAGCATCATCGGCGGCTTCTCAGCCTGGCTCTTCTCCGACTTCGACCCCACCGATGTGCCGCCGGAGAAGCGACAGGCCACGCCTGTCGGGCGCATCATATCGGTCGTCCCACGCAGCCTCGGCGCTGGCCTCAACGCCACCCTTGTCGTCGCCATGCCGCAGGCACAGCACACCGCCGCCGCCGCACAGGTGCCTGTGACTGAGGAGTGGTGCTGTCTGCCACTTGAAGCGGCCACGCAGCAGGAGGGCAAACCCAAGCGGTTGGTGGGTGTGTCGCTGAGCAGTGCTGGTCGTGTGGAGCGAGTTGTATATGAGCTGTGTCTGCGGCGGTCGCTGGCTGGTGTGTGCCGCGATGAGATGGCGGCCGTGCTATCTGACTACCGCCTGCGGCTGGAGCCCGAGAGTCTGCGGCCGCTGCTGACGGTGTGGACCAAGATGCAGGGCATGATGAGGGTCAAGATTTCAGGCATGCCCACCAAGACAGACACCAAACAAGGTCAGTCCAGTCAGCTAACGGGGTGGGCGAGGCAGGCAGGGAACAAAGGAAGGAACCAATGAGATGAGTGTTTGGAGAAAGCGAGGGCGACCGTCACACAGAGTTGTGTAGCGTCTGTCTGTCTGTCTGTCAGACGGTCCTGCCGAGGAGGGCGGGGGTCGGGGTGCGAAGAAGATGTTTGAGGGCGGTCTGTCGACTGGCCACAGCACCTCGCGCAGCACCGCCAGGGCCTCGAGGCGCGAGGGATATTACGACAGGCCGCTCAGCGAAATACTCAATGGACCCTCCATACAAGAAGACATACTCAGGTATGTCAGTCAGTCCCAAACACTCATCCATCACATCACGCACACGTGACATACACGTGCAAGTGTGTTCCTCAGCCAGCCCTGTGTGTCAGACATGCAGACAGACAGACAGACAGACAGACATCCACGCACACTCCCTTTGTTGGTTCATTTGTTTTGTGTGGTTGGTTCCTTTGCAGGTACTTCGTGTGCAGCACGTGTCGCGGGATGTTTCACCGTCTGTTTGACCCCGTCATGGCGGCCATCCAGCTGGCGCAGAACGCAGCCACCTCACTCAAGATGCTGCGGACAGACCAAGACAACCCATCGCAAGAGGACCAAGAGGTCAGGGCGGTTTGGCGGCGTGACAACCGAATCGCACAGACATAATAATATGGGGGCCCCTCACTCGTTGATTGATATCTGTGCCCCCATCCATCCATGGTGTGGCTGGCTGATGGATGGTATGTGTCTGTGTGTCCTGTCAGTTTGACAAGGAGCGTTACGAGGTGGTGTCGTCGTTCGGTACGGCGATGGAGTCGTTTGTGAATGAGGTGCGGTGCGAGCTGCAGTACTTCGCCCCCGTCTGGAGGGACTTCCTACCGGACAACCAGCACCCGGCAATCGTCATGTACACCGTAAGCACAGCACAGCACGTGCACGGGGTGTGATGTGTCGCAATACTGGTGGTGTGTGGTGTGGTGTGTGTTGTCTGTCCGGTGGACAGGGTCGATTTGTGCTGCATGGTGCGATGAAGGCCATGCTGGGGTCGCCCTACTGGGCGGACACTGACATACCGCCTGGCGGAGAGAAAGTCATCAAGGTAGGTGCTCTACCCACCCACACATACATACACAAAGGAATGAATGCGCCTCCTTTGTCAGTCACGCCTTCGTTGTCCTTGTTCTCTCTCTTGACTGTACTTACTTGTCCAGAATGTGCGGAGTTTTGAGCTGCTGGTGGGTCAGGTGCGTCTGTCGACTGGAGTGCACTTGCCGAGCGAGCCGGACCTCATGGACCTCCTGGCGCCCGTACTGGCCGCAACACTCGCCAACAGATTCAGGTCTGTTGAAGACGTCCTGCACAGGTATGGAGGGAGGGAGGGACAAATGGAACGAATGGACGGGGGCGGGCAGGGCAGGGCAGGGCAGGCCGCACACAAAGAGATGAGATGAGGCGTGGGATGGACGGACGGACATCTCTCTCTCATTCTCATTCTCTCTCTCTCTCTCTCTCTGTGTGTGTGTGTGTGTGTGTAGGTGCATAGCGAATGAGCAGTGGCGGCCCATCGCCCCGCCTGACGTGCTGCACTCGTCGTCGGTCATCGACCTCTTCTCGTTCGTCTTCCAAATATTCGAGGCCATGATGGACCTCAACCCGCCCCTCGACTGGTCACCCAACACAACCAACCAACCGGCACACACGCAATTGATGCCGGACATCTCACAAATACGACATTCATTTATCTCATTTATGCGAACACATGTGGCCTATGCTCGGTATGATGTGTGATTGGATGTGTCTACAAACAGGTTTTTGCCTTCTTTGCTGAGTTTTTTGAGCCGTCTGACGTCGACCTACTGCGGTGCGCTGAGACGGCAGTGCGATGGGGTGGGCCTCTTCAAACTCAGACCCAGATGCAGCACCAACTTCCAGGTCCGTCTATCGTAGCACACTCGCCACACACAACGACACCTACCTGTCTACTCGTGTGTGTTCGTGCGGTGCGGTGTGGGACACTTGCAGACCCTGGTGGATCGGTTCAAGGAGCCCCCTGCAGCTGCAGCGGCCGCCGCCAAGTCGTCATCGGCGCCCACCAAACCCACTTTCATGTCGGCGGCCAAAGGGCCAGTGCCCCCCGTCAGGAAGTCGACTCCGCTGACAGCGGGCCAGCAGGCACTGCTGCGCATATTCATGCCATCGGACAAGATCGGACGGGACACATCAGGGTACGTTGGTGGGTCAGTGGGTGGGTCGGTGGTCAGACCCGCTGGGCTGGGGGAGTGGACAGACGTTCTCCTCTGCATGCTCGTCAGTCAACCCGTATACCTGTATGCACTTCGGCTGTTGGTGTGTGTGTCTGGTGTTGCTTCATCAGTGGTGAGTCTGACACGGGGGCCGAGTCGGGTCACGAGGCGGGGTCGGACAGCGATGACGGTGAGGGCGGCAACAAGTCCGACACGTCTAGCCCAGGGGGTGGTCGGTGGTCTAGTCGGCGGCAGAGCAAGCACAAGAAGAAGGACAAGCAGCGGGGCAAGTCCATCATGCGCATGTCATTCTTCGGCGGTGTGGGGGTCATGAGAGGACTCAGCGACAAGAAGGAGGGCGAGGGGGACCAGGGGGCAGACGCAGAGGAGACAGAGGGCAAGTGCAACTGCGGGGCCGTCACCACAGCTCTACTCGAAGTAAGCGAATCAATCGTCAAGAAGCAAGGGACGCAGGCACGCATAGACGGCAATGTATCCAGAAAAAAAGAGACACACGCACGGCACGGCACGCGGATCGATTGGATTGCCGGATAATCATGCAATGCATGTTGGCTCTGCCTGTTGGTTGTGCGTGCGGGGCGCCCGCTGATCTCTGTTATGTGGTCAGGTTCCGGAGTATGTGTTGCGTCAGTCTTTACCGGAGGTGCTGTTGCGGCTGCACAATTTGCATTTCTTCATCAGTCAGCTGGAGCAGATCGTCGGCAAGTTCATGACCATGGCCAAGAAGGACGCCGCCGTCAGTGACCCCCTCATCGCACCCATCCGCACCGCACTCAACTTGCCGCCCAGCCCCACCACACAACACTCCAAGGTCAAGGACGGGGCGGGCCGCTCAAACAAGCAGCAGCAGCAGCAGGGTGTGGGTGAGAGCGACGCGTCCGTGCAGCAGCGTGGTGAGGGCATGGGCAGGATGGTGGCACTGGCCAGCGTCGAGTCGATGGAGGAGGTGCTGCGGGAGGGCATCGATAAGTGCGTCGAGATCGTACACTCTACCGCTTTTGCTATCGCACGGTACGCAGCCACGCTGTCAGACGAGCTCTCGGGCCCCCTGGTACTGCATCTCTCTCTCTGTGTGTGTGTGTGTGTGTCTGTTTCATTGTTTATCGGTCGGTCGGCCTTCCATGCAGTTACGTTGCGAGTCGGATGGTGTATGTGGATCTGCAGTCGGCCTTCTTCATGGACCTCTACGCCCCCTCTCTGCAGGAGGCACCCTTTGAAAACGTCGTGCTGTCATTCAGACAGGTAGCCAACACGTCCGCCCTACGCACCGCACTCTGGACACATTCCCTGTTCGTGGCCACCGAATCCGGCGTTGATTTGATCAGAGCGTGAACCGCTTCTTCACCCGGACTCCCGCTGCCTTCCGCGCACCCCTCCTACAGCAGTTCCTACTCGAAGTCGCGCAGGTAATGCCAGGCCTTTATGGCTCGGCCAGCCGGTACCATATGGAATATGCTTCATGCCATGCTCTCTGTCCGTCCGTCCGTCTGGTTGGGGTGTGTGTGTGTGTAGGCGTGGATGTGGGTGGTGGTGTGTTTGGGCCACCAGGGGCAGATGTTCGAGAGCTCTGAGCTGGGCCTCCTGTACGGCGACCTTATGGCCCTCAAGAACTACGCCCACGAGCTGCACATCGACGAAGCCGTCCCGTTGCCACCCGTCGCCTCACCCTACCTCCCACCCCGCATCCACACCGTCGAGACGGGCAGGCGAGACTCCATCACCAGCCCGGGGGGCTCCAGGGGCAAGGGGGGTAACAAGGCGGGGCCGCCCGACTCCATTCGTGTGCTGGAGCACATATCGGCCTTCCTTGGCACACTCGAGGAGAAGCCCGACTGCCTGGTGGCTGAGGGTGGACACATCGGGGGGATGCTCAACGCACTCGACAGGGGCCGAGACGCCGACGCGACGCCACACGAGGACACTGAGACACAGCAGCAATTCAGATCCACACCTACACAAAAGAGGAAGACGTGAGCCAGACAGACAGATAGATACATAGATAGATAGATGAGGCAGGCGACATCCCACCCACACCCACATGTACGTGTACTTGACGGTACTTGACGGACCGACGGTGGCTGTGTGTGGTTGCAGGTTGTTTGCGCGTGTAGCTGGTGCGACATCAGGGTCTGCGTCAGCTGCGGCCAACGACAATGGTGCGTCAGCGGCGGGTGATGCATCGGGCGGCGAGGAGACGCCCAGGGGCGACAAGTCATCCAAGAAATGGACGCTCACCTCCATGACCAGAAGATTCACGGTCACCCTCACAAGCACACACACACACACGCACACACAGAGAGAGAGAAGAATCTCACTCCCTCATGAATGGCCGGATGTGTCTTGGGTGTCGTGTTGTGATCCCACCCCTGCCTCCCTCCCTGGCTGGCTGGCTGGCTCTATCAGATATGGAAGGGGCCGTCCGGTCGTTCCAAGTCGCCCAGGCGTGACGATTCAGGCGGCAATGACGAGGGACACAACCCCTTCGGGGCTGGATGATCTTCTGGTGGTGTGGTGCATGGGTGTGGCCTGTCACTGACTGACGGACTGGCTGACTGAGGCAATCACTGAATGCATAGATAGCTCAGCTTGCTGTACGTGTGTTAGTTGATTTGTTTTGGCCTTCCAAAGGCTCAATATCAATCCACCGGTGAGTGAGTCAATTCATTAATGGAAGACAGACCTGTGATTGATGACGTGACGTACGGCGTAATGCTTGTTTGCACATCCTAATCGCTGCCTGGCTATCTCGACATGGACAGTGACTGAGGGCACACAGCCTGCCTGTCTGTCTGTCTGCTACGCTGACTGGACCCGACACACAACACACCCCCCTACAGATGTATGGGACTTCTGACAGACATCATGCCTCCGTCCTTGCAGCCCGCCACGCCACGCTATCGTAGCGCCAAGCTCCTCAACTCTTCTCTTAGCCGTTGCGACACTGCACGAGGGGCCACACCTGCACCCAACCAACGCACACCCCACGCATCTGTGGATTGCTGACATCCCTCCATCCCTCCATCCATCCATCCGTCCATCCACTTATCGTGCAGCCGTGTCTCGCTCACTCGGCACGCTTTGTATCTCGTTGACGAGTCGTCCCTCCTCCACTCTCGAAAGTGGAGATGAGATGACGTCGCCCATATCCAACGACCTGCGGGGGGGGAACACGCACATGCAGACATGCACGACATGAGAAATTCCGTGCATGTGTGTCAGGGTGAACTGTGACAGTGTCAATCAAACTTGGTTCTCTTCTTGTTTGTTTCTTACGGTTGGTGTTGTGTTGGCGGCGCCAAGAGCCTCCTCGGCTCCCCGAGTGAGGGTGAGAGTATCGATGCATCAGCCAGACCGGCAATCTCAAATGTGTCGAAGAGAGGCTGGATGCTAGCCAGCCGCGGGTGCATGTGTGGCACAGTCAGCTGGCTGGCCCTCGCTGCCGTCAACTGGCTGGCCCTTGCCGCCCTCGCAACGGCTGCCATGTTGGCCAGCCTTCCTGTCGGCTCGGGGGACATGGGCGACTCGTCGACGGCCTGGAAGTAGTGAGACAGTTGGTCAGGGGCAAACACGCCACCCTGCGGAGACATGGGGCTCTCGTCACTACGCCAGGACGTACGCATAGGCTCTGTCAAGGAAGATTGATCCACCCATACCATACACAGTGACCGACAAATCGAAGGTTTGGATCTGCCTGGCTGGCTGGCTGTCACCCACCCACCCACCCACCCGGTCCGCACCTGGTGGCGTCAGAGTAGCTGCCGCTCTGTCCTTGAAGAGAGCCATAGGATTGAAGTAGCCGGCGGCCTGTGGTGAGGGTGAGGGGATGGACTCATCCGACAGCACCCGCTCCTCACGCACCGGCAACACTGATGGTCGAGGGGGGTGCGCCAGCGACTGCCTCCCCATATCGTGCATCGACGCCATGCTCTCGAGGGTTTTGGTGCGGTAGGTGGTGACGGACTGGGTGGGGCTGGCCGCCACACTCTGTACGAAGGAACTCAGCAGCTTCTCGGGCACAGTACTCTTTCTCGGGGCTGCCTTGCTCTTGTGCCTGCAGCCATACATGCACACAAGACAAGACACACACATGAGCTGAGCCAGCTGGTCGCCTGGCCGGCCTGCTGGTCAATCACCATATAATATACATTTGTATTTGCAATACGTACGTGGCCGTGTCGGGTTGTCCACCGAGGCTGCCTTCCTGCTGCTGCGCCAGGATGTAAACAAAATCTGTAGACGGGTCGACCAGCAGATCCCGGGACGGATTGGTCAACACGTACGGATGTTTGTCGGGCAAAGATGGATGGTCCCTGTCGACACACCAGCACTCTGAGACGCCACTCTGATGGTCGATCGGTATGTCTCTCGCTGACTGACTTGAATTTGGACAGCCTGTAGAGCCCGACGCTGAGCATTCCCTTGTCGATTAGGTCATCAAACACCTCACCATACGACACCAAACGGACCGACGGACGACCCTAAAGTAAGCATATGCCAGTAGACAGACAGACACCCACACGCATGGCAGGCATGTCAGTCAGCATAGCATGTGGGCGTATGGACCAGGTCGTGTCAGCCCCCACCGACCGCCCCACTAACGCACCCGTCTTCTCTTGGACTCTGCGGTGTGCATGAGGTTAGTGATGGGCCTGAGGTACATGTGGCAGCTGTACAGACCGATGCTCGCCAGCTCCCTCTCGATGTCGTCCAAGTAGGCCTCCTTGTCCTCTACCCTCATGGTGGACACAGTGCTGGCGCCAGCGCCCTCGTTGGCCCTGGTCGGACTCAGAGCAACACCCAGAGCAATGGACAGCTGACCCTTGACGGCCAAGTCATCAGAGTGCGTCGCGACCTCCTTCAAAGCAAACATGTCGGGATGAATTACCAAATCTATTCACGTGTCTGTCTTGGCAGCCAGTCCAGTCAGCCCACTCACTTACGGTTTTGATTCGCTTGCCGGTGGGTGTAGCGAGTCCGACAAGCTGCTCGAGCAGGCAGAGCAGTGACGGTTCGTATGACACCTTGGCGAGTATGTTGTCGAAGACGGTCTCGAGCACCACCTGGCCACTGGCGTACGGGATGCTCTGGACCCAACTGAGACTGTCGTTGGAAAAGAAGCTGGTCTTGTTAGGGGTGAAGAAGTTGATGGTCGCTGCATTCACTATGTCCACCAAGATGAGCTTCTTCCACCGATCCATCTCCATCCTGCAGGCAGTGCACGGACGGCACACCATACCATACGCAGCCACCCGACTTACATACATAAACACCCACCCACGCTTCCTCTTGCGTCCGGCTGTGTGTGATTGTGCGACAGACAGACAGACCCCACCCCCCTTCTGTCTGTGTCACTAGTCACTTACGCGTTAGTGATAGCGTTGTAGCTGAAGATGACATCGAGGTCGTACAGCTCCTCGACGCCCTCACCAAGAGCACCACGGGCCAATAGGATCACTTTAGAGGCTGCCACACCACACCAACATTCCACTCATTGCGCACAGACAGCATACAAAGGCCTGGGCCTCACGCCACGCAATTTGGTGGGTAGGTAAGGCTAGGCTCACTGGCTCACTCACCCACCCTGCTTGATCTTGAGCCTGTGGGGCGGCAGGCGACGAAATGATATCCAGCCATCCATCCGACCATAGCGCACCACACATATCACTCACTCAGTCGACAATGAAACAAGTGTTGGTCTGCCTGCCTGTCTGCCCCACGGCGCGGCGCACCTACCGGTACTTAAGATCGTACGGACTGATGCCGGAACCCTGCGGACCAAACAAGCCACAACCAGCACACATCACCAACGGCTGTCGTTTTCGTTGAGTAAGGTAAGTACCACCTACCTGCACGAACCAGACGTTCTGGTAGTGCGCAATAGTGTCCCAGACGTCTGGCGGGATGGGTGTTTCGTTGAGCAGCACTATCTGCTCCTGCTGAGACGAATAACGCAGACTTAAGGCCTGCACCAAACACCGAATCTGACACACCCATGCAATGCACACCCATGACAGACAGACCGATGGGTGGGTGGGTGGATGCAACAGCAGCGTCCCGTCAAACCGTGTGTGTGTATACCTACCACCCACCCACCTGTGGTGTATAGCCGACAACGAGGATGAAATTTCTGAACGACTCGGGCACCCCGTGTCTCAGCTCGGCGTCGGCAGACGTTCTGGGTGTCGCAAGCAGGTGTGGAGCGATCGCCCGCGGCCGCATGCAGGAACCCATTACCTCACTGTCCGTGCTGCTCTCTGCAGGGGATGATATGATGCACACATACATCCACACATCCACACAAACATCGGGTTGACGTACACGTACACACCGATCCACAGAGAGTAGGTACGTACGTGATGATGCGTCTTGTTCGAGGTCCCCTGCGCTGACTCCCCGGAGCATCTCAGGGCCGAGTGAGGCTGACTTGTTAACCGACATGTCGCTGCGGGTCTTCTGGAGCTTCTGCTGCACGCGCTGCAGCACCTTGGTCGCACAACGGCTGGACTGCAGCGACTGGCTGCCCAACTGACGGCTGGAGTCCTGTATGTATAGAGCAATCAATCCGTCCATCCATCCATCCGTCCATCCGTGTGCAGTACAGACAGGGAGGGCGCGACACACCGAGAGAGACACAAGGGGCCATGGATCGATGTATGGATGGATCCATGCGGGACTGGACTGGACGGGGTGTGTGGTGTCTGGCTGACTTGAAGGAAGGGTGGCATTATCTTACTTACTTACTTACAATCATGAGGTTCCGTTCAGATGTGTCTTTGCGCCTCATGGTGGCGGTGCTGGTGCCTCGTTGGAATATGCCGGGGGCCACCAAGGGGGCCACGTGTGTGCTGCTGTTGAAGGACGCCACCTTCAACGCCACCTCCTTGCTGCTGGCGATGACGAAACAGAAAAACTCAGAAAAGTCGAAGAACCGCGGCAGCACGTATGAGCTGGGGTTGATCAACACCACCACCAGGTCTGCAGCCTGCAAGCATCGAGTTGGGTGGGTCTTGTGTGTGTAGTCGTGTCATGTCTGACCGAGACTTCAAGTGCGATAACGAGGCACCCGTAACTCTGGTGACACAGCTTGGCCACCTCAGCAAACGACATGCCGCCGAAACCCGTCGACAACGACACCCTACACACACAGACGCACACTCAGACGCACACACCAATGAATCCCCCCTTGATTCATCTGCAGCCGTGCGTAAGTCTCACATTATCTTCCCTCCCTCCCCCCACTCTCTCTTCCAATCAGTCAGTCCATGTCTGGCTGACTGTGCGTTGGCCTGACTGACCTGAAGACCTCCATTTGCTGTCCATGTCTGTATTCATCCTGCCAGGTGAAGAGCACCGGGACCGTCCGCCGCCTGAACGTCTCGAAGGCGACGCCATGCCCCATGCCGCCCCCGAGGAAATGTTCCTCTGTGGCGTTTGGGCTGGTTGTGTGTGGTCCGATGGAGGCATCCATGGCCAGGAAGGAGAGGGTGTGCAACGACGACCGCTCGAACTGACGGCGCTTCCGCTCGCGGGCGGTGAGTGTGAGGTCGACTTTGGAGATGAACAGATTCAGCAGGAGGGTCGATATCCCAGGACAGTGGCAGCTACGGCCCAGGAGGGTCAGCTTCAACTCATCCGTGCCTGCCAATCATATGATCGCATCCATCAATGGGGGCAGGGCAGTACAGGACACGACATGGAAGGGGACACACACCCACAATGAGTGCAGTGAGTGGCTAGAATGTTCGAGGTAGACATGTGTTGTGTGTCTGTCTGTGTGTGTGCGGACTGGCCATACAGATGATGAGGTCATTGTCGGTGTCGGGGATGTGTTTGTAGTAGAGTGCCTTGCTCTCGGGCAGCACCAGCTGGGCGTACACAGGGAAGCGAGCCGGCATTGGCGGCGGCGGGGGCAGACCCATGGTCAGTGACATAGCCAAGCCCGCAGGCAGACTCTGAGCACCGATGGTTGTGGTCCGTTTGATGACAAATATCTTGAGGGCCAGCACTGCCAGGATGGTCTGCCGGTCCTCATGCACCGGCGCTGCCGACAGACGATCCGAGATGAAATACGCCCCGAGAGCCTACAGCCAGGAAAGGCAAGGACAAAAGAGATGAGATAGTGATCCCAGGTCTTTCTTCCCCGGCCTGTGCATCTCAGATGGTCGCTTGTCTGCCTGATGGATACTCACTCACCCGTACTGCGGCAGCTCTGTGGAGGTGTGTGTCGCTGTGGACGTGGCCAGAGAGGAATTCCGTTCTGCCCGAGAAGTTGACGCTTCTGAGCAGCTTGTCGAGTGCAGCATCGGGAATGCCTCCCCTCAGCAGCACCACCTCAGAAGGCACATCCGGCGCACGATCCTGTGGGCCGCCCATCAGCCCAGCTGTAGGGGCCGTGGGGTGCTGCCCCGTGTAGATGTCGGCAGACCGGTAGAACTCCGTCAAGAAGGCCCTGCAGGCGTTGGCATGCACCGCACCGCACAGCAGCACGTGACGTCTGCACGTCAATGGGCATTGAAAGACACGACAGACACAACACGACACAGCAGCCAGCCATTCAGGGGGAGGTGATGGGATGTGGAAGCGAGTGAGTAAAATACTGTGTGTGCGTATGCAGAGGAGACATGCATCCAGACATACTCACATGTGCTTCTTGGGAATATAGACTCTCCGTTGGAATTTGTTGGTGCCCCGCAGCAGTCGGATGAGCTCTTTGGTCTCGATCGTGAGAACCACCAGGTCCACCGTGATGAGCAGCACCATCAGCATCCTCCCCAAGTCCGTTGATGGTGCCAAGTCACCGTAACCCACTGTCGACACAGTGCATATCACCAGGTAGAAGAAATCGTGAAAGTCCAGCCGCGGCCGGCAGCCGTCACCGCCCGTCGTTGATGTCACAGCCACCGCCGTGCCATTGCTCCCCACGAACATGCTCCCCAGGCCCTGGCCATCAGTGGTGTGGCAGACCTCGTCAGCGCCGCGGTTCTCGGCTATCTCCATGACCCCCGACGAGATGCAGAGCATCACGAGGCCCTTCCACGCCACCTTGAGCACCTGACGAGTGACGCTGCTGTAGGTGGTGGCGGCAATGCGGTGGTGGATGCGATTGAGCATGTAGATGCGCAGCACCCGCAGCAGCCGGGTCACCCAGCTGTCTCGGCTGATGACGAAGCCATCCAGGGTGAGCCGGCCCGTCACGAACAGGGGGATGATGGTGATCAGGTTGACCACCGTGTTGGGCATCAGCACGTACTTGATCCGGTTCTCAGCCAGGTACAGGAACAGCAGAAAGTCGGCCAGCAGAAGCACTCCCAAGACAACCTCCACGTAGATGAACGGCAGGATGACGCTGCTGCGGTAGTAGGTGGATATGACGTACAGCACGCAGCTGAGGACGGTGCAGAAGACGCTAAGGAAGTCCAGCGCATGGTCCACATTGCTGCTCACGATGTACCTCTCCACGCGGGCTCGAAACGAGATCTTCCACCCAGATTCGCCACGGGGGGCGCCCGTCAGATACCGAGCGTAGCCGCTGCCTTCGAACAGCGATATGGGACCGTCCAGCACAAGCATGACGCATCAGTCAATGGCCCCGCGAAGCGATACACGCTCAGCCAGAAGCCGTAGTTCCACTTGCAGCCCCACCTGACGCATACACATAACACCGCAACAAGCACGGAACGTTGTTGTTTGGTCCTGCAAGCGCCACAAGCCCTTCTCACGGTTGAGACTGGTCTTGGGATGGGGGCGGCCCCCCGTGTTTGCGAGCTGAGCTCGTATGACCAACAGAGAAAATGCGTTTCTTTCGCATCAGTGTGACTGTGGTTGCCTGCCTGAGCATACTCAATCTTGGGTAAGACGTGAAGGAAACATCCCGCTGGGGATCAGACGTGAAATGTGCTATGTGCGGCCGCACAGATCTGCCGATGACGAGGTTACGCTGACGGGGTCCGTCAGCCCACAAGGTGAGGCAAGCAGAGAGAAACAGACAATACACCCTCCCTCTTGTCAGATGTTTCGGTGTGGCGGTCTTCGTTGCGCAGATGGCCTATCTCGCGTACGCATCCTCCTGAACGGCGGCGCCTTCTCCGCATTCCCAAATGCAGATGGATCATTCGAAATGTAACCACATACACTGCACACACACACAGACAGACACACACACAGACAGAGAGATGGACGCCCCTGGCACGTGTGTGTAACGAGTTGAGTGCAGTCCATCGCTGCCCATCGGGTCCTATCTGTTGGAGGTCAATCACCCCTTCCTCCAGTATGACCCGGTCAGTCGGCGCGCGCACAGCCAAAGGCATGCATCCGCACAGCTGCATGTCTGTCTGTCCTGGCTGTGATTGCATGGGTGTGTGGTGTGCAGGTGTTGGTGGAGGTGAGTGCTGGTGGGCGTCAGGGTGAAGCCACCGTCAGTGCCTTCCTCCTCTCATTCGAACACGGTACACACACACACACACACACACACAGGCGGGGCCTCCATCCACATGCATACCCCATATGGATTCCATGTCTGTGGAGCAGGCAAGGGCAAGAAGCTCAAGTACCCGTTAGGCCTCGCATCACACGCTGAAGTCAAATACTTCCAGGTGGGGCGGGGGGCAGGGCAGGGCCGGAAGGACACACCAACAACACACTCACTCAGCTGTTTCTCTGCCTGTGTGCAGAAGCGTGAGGAGTTCAACATATTTGTCTTGTTCAAGAACCCCATGGTGCTCATGGGCCTCGTCTCATTCGGGCTCCTCTTCATACTCCCCAAGATGCAGCAGGGAATCGGTGAGTACTGCGGGGCCGATCGCTTGATTGATTGATTGTGGTGCGTGCTGGCTGCATATTGCATTCCGCTGTTCAGACCCCGAGGCACTGCAGGAGTTGCAGCCGGGGTCGCAGGGTGCCAACCAGTCGGGCGAGGGCGGCCAGCGAGGGTACGAGTCGCGCTTCCTCAGCACCGCACTGGAGGGCGTACGCGAGGGCACCACCACCAGTAGGGGACAGCCTGCAGCATCAGCATCGTCTAGCCGAGCGAGTGCACTAGAGGGGAGGGACTCAGGGGTGCCGCAACAGCGGAGGGGAGGGGGAGCAGGAGGAGGAGGGGGGGCGGGAAGGACCGGAACATGATTCATAGATACATGCATGCATGGATCTCGATAAGCGTTCAAATGAAGTAGGGAGCATTTGAGGTCTTTGCGGACCTCATGCACCAAGCACTTCCTTCCGTTCCACACACTAAACGTCTCATCATCGCCAACACACATGCGTCTGGGCGGCCACCTACACAGCCCTCACGTGTCCACCTGTCTGTCAGCTGGCGTCTCTGTCAGGAAATGTGCTCTTGATCCGTTGCCAAATGAAGTCACCGGCACCTGCACAAACCACACACACGGCCATTCCATCGCCCTTTTCTCTACGTACCGTTGGTTCCCTGTGTGTTGGTCAGCTCACTGATGGGTGGGTATGTTCTGTTCGGCCCCTGGATGATGCTGTCCTTGTTGGCCTGCGCGAAATACACCATCGAATAACGAGGCCTGCTTAAGCAGCCCACCACACAGACAGCACAACACAATTCACAACATGAGACCTCAGCCAGCCATTGTGACTCACTTACCCGGTGCATTCGCCCTCTCTGGGCAGCCGCACTCGGTGGAAGGTGCTCTGCAGCTGGTCGTCGGACCACCCCTTGAGGCTGTCGCCGATGTTGACACAGATGGCGTCTCGCATTGGCTCCACACCGATCCACTGCAGCTCCTTCGTGCCGCCCTGCTGCTGCTGCTGCTGGTTGCTCTGAGACAAGACCGACATGCCCGGACACACCTGACATTGAGCAACAGATCACATGACATCATGTGTTGTGGCTGTGTGCCCCGCTCATTCAACTGACTCGCAGGCCGCCCTGCCCCTCCCGTTGAAACAGCAGCGTCAATAATGCCCAATCTGTGTGGGCGGCGATTCTGTGTACACAACACAGACAGCTGCACATGCCACACATGGCCTCTGGTGCAGGTGGGTGGCTGCTCACCGGTGTGTGTTGGGTGGGAAGTGCCTGTATGTGTCCGTCACATCGTGATACTTATGCAGCCGCGGCCCCGACTGATGGTTAGGCCGTCGCCAGTCCAGGTGGGCCTCGAAGAAGGACGGCGGCAGGCCAAGAGAGACGGCGATGTGGGACAGGATCACCAACGTCACGCGATGGGCCTCCTGCAGACACAAAGCATTAGTACGAATCGTGTGTCCAATCAGTGTGTGTGGCGGACGGACCTGCATGAATCGGGCTGCATGTTGTTTCAGTTGCGGCAGCTCTTTTGGCCACAGAGGGCTGCCCTCGATAAAATCCGTGTGGTGCGTCATCTGCACACAACCAACAACACACCTAATGGCGTGCAGGGCCCGTGTGTGCATTGCGGTGAGTGAGTACCTGGAATGACTCTTTGAGGTCGCTGGGAGTGACGGAATTGCAGATCCGCTGCCAGTTCTTCTCCCATCCGGCGTTGGCTGACGTCGTGTAGCCATACTGACCCTCCACCTTATCTGAAGGAAGGCAACACCGTAACACTCATGCATTCACACACCCATTTGCGTGCATGCCAGCCAGCCAGCCATTGTCACTCACCGAACAGATCAAAGAACGCCTCGGCCATCGCGAAGAGCTCATCGATAAGGGCCCAGTCGATGCCGTGACCCACTACCTGACAACCAATGGAGTGCAGAAACACAAACACGCCCTTGCGTGTCTGAGTGAGTGGTTGTTGATGGATGTCCGACCTGGAAGAAGCCCTCGTTGGCCGCTGCGTCCCATATCTGCCGACGAACTACCTCAGGCGGACCTGTGCAGAAAAAGGGACCTGCCATTGCAGTACGTGCGTGTGCGTCACTGACCTGTCAGATCAATGACCGGTATCCTGCTGCTGCTGCTGCTGCTGCCTTCAGTCTCCGTCCCCTCTGTCTGCCCGGCGAACATTTCCAGGGCAATTTCATGGGCTGCTGACCGTTGACCCTCGTTGGTCTCCATCTTGTGATGCTGCCTGCGCAATGACAAGCCGTCGCGATGATCTGTGACGATCCGACTCGTGCGAGCTTGAATGTTGCCAAGGGAGATGGGGAAGCGCAAGAGAGGGTTGGGAGGACGGCGCGGCGGGCGGTCAGGAGGCAAAGGAAGCGGCGAACAGGGTGATGGATCAGAGAGATGGGCTTCAGATGACCCGCAGCGAGTCAAGTGAGTGGGCGGGAGGAGGCGAAATGCCTGATGAACCCATGGATTCGATGCTGTGCATCTTCACCAACGCTTCTGTGTCTTCTTTTGATCTCTGTCTGCAGCACCGATTGGGGGACGATTCAGAGGAACAACGCGGCCTTCGCACACTACTACAAGGCAAGCTTATATACTGATGCCTTGCCAGATGCACCGAGAAAAGCACACGGTGCATCATTCATTCATTCATTCACTCATTCATGGTGATGGTTGGTGTGCGTGTGCTTCACACAGGCGCAGCAGATCGTGCCACCCGAGGAGTGGGACTCATTCTTTCAGAAGCTCAAGGAGTCCCTGCCCGGTGCGGTGGGCAATGAGATGCGAAGCAAAGCAAAGCAACCGAGATGAATGACATGCAAGGTTGGCGATTGATTCTGTGTGTGATGAGGTCATCCATCACTGCAGCTGCTGTGCGAGTCAACCGTGCCGCCCCTCTGTGGCGGGGAGTGCGGGCGATATTCGACCACTTCAGCGACAAACACGTGAGTGACTGACTTAAGCAGACAGACAGTCCCTATTGCATTCATTCACATTGCCCGTACGTACGTATTGATTGGCGTGTGCGATGGCTGTTTGTTGTGATTGATGTATGATGCAGTCGTCAGAGCCGCCGGTATGTCTGGATTGGTTTCCACATCGTCTGGCGTGGCAGTGGCCCAACCTCGACAGGCTCGCCATTCGCAAGAACGAGGACTATGCACAGCTCAAGGAGCTGCTTGTCCAGGAGGACACCAGGGTCGGTGAATGACAGACAGGTGTGGGGGTGATGTGGTGCAAGTGGAAGGATCAGTGGTGCGTTTGTCTGCAGGGTGGGATATCCCGGCAGGAGGCGGTCAGCATGATCCCGCCGCTCTTCATGGTCAGCCATCCATGTCTGTCTGGCCTTCACTCACTCTGAGCATGTTGTGAGTGATTTGTTGGCTGGCCTGGCAGGATGTCAAATCGCACCATTGGGTGCTCGATATGTGCGCCGCCCCCGGGTCCAAGACGACAGAGCTCCTCGACATGCTGCACTGGACACAAGAGGAAGATGGCAAAGCCACCGGCGGTCCCGGCCTGTCGATGCCCACAGGTCAGTGCAGTGCAGTGCGTCGACAGACACACAGTAGACCAGACAGACGCACAGGTGGCACACGGGTTTCTGTTTCAGGCCTTGTGTTGGCCAACGACATGCAGGCGAACCGTGCCCAGATGCTGGCCCACCAGGTGCAGAGAATACCCTCGCCCGCCACTGCCGTCACATGCCTCGATGGTAGGTACTGCACTGCACACACTGCACACCACCCATACAATGGACACCGAGTTGTGTGTCTGGGGTGTCCAGCCAAGTTCTTCCCGGCCGTGTGTGGCGAGGATGGGGCTCCCATAGGATTCGACAGGATACTGTGCGATGTGCCCTGCACAGGCGACGGCACACTGAGGAAAAAAGCCGACATCTGGAGGACGTACGTACTCTACACATGACATGAGCAAAGGAGGATCGGATCGTATGCTATGCGTGTGTGTGTGTGTGCCTGTGCCTGTGTGTCTTGGTCAGGTGGAAGTTGCGTGATTCGTTGGGCATTCACTCTCAGCAGCTGTCAATCCTCATTCGAGCTCTGCAGCTCCTCAACGTGGGGGGCAGGTACGCACACTCACACGCACAACACTCTCAGCGTGACATGATGGACGAATCGCTGTGCTTGTTTGGCGTGTGTGTGCTGTACTGCACAGGTTGGTGTACTCGACCTGTTCGCTGAACCCACTCGAAGACGAGGCAAGCTGACACATAAATACCAACCAATACATGCACGGCATTTGCACCCACATATCTACTACAGTCGGACGGACATCTCTTCTCATCTCTGTCTGCAGGCTGTTGTGGCCCATGCGGTGAGCAGGTACCGCGACAGCGTCAAGATCGTGCCCCCACCTCACCTCAACGGTCTACGGCTGCAGCAGGGCATCATAAAATGGTCAGCGTGAGGCCAGGCCGCCTGACAGACAGACAGACAGACAGACAGACACGCACCATGGCACATGTGTGCATCTGGGTGTAGGCTGGTTCCCGAGAAGCGTCCATCTGGCGGTGATGATGCGACGGCTGATGATGGCACATGTGGCCGTCTGTTCGCATCGATGGACGACATTCCAGAGAAGGAACGAGCTGACTACAGGTGAGGGGGAACTCCGTCGGCATACAGGCCGAAAACCGCATCTGTCTGTAATGCCTTCCTTCTCCACTCAGCGGGTCTCTCTTCCCTCCCGACGACGCATCCACGCTCGGCCTGGAGCATGCAGTCCGCGTGCTGCCGCACCACAACAACACGGGTGGGTTCTTCGTGTGCTGCATCGTCAAAACCACCCACATGCGCACCAGCAAGTCGGCGCTCAGAAGGCAGGGCATCAAGAAACGCAAGGCAGCTACCACAACCACCGCACCCGCACCAATGGATGTGGCGGACGAGCCTCTACCCCCCAATGACGGTAACGAACAAGATGACGAGCAGGAGCAGGACGAACAGGAAGATCCCCAGCAGCCACAGCCACACCAGCCAGCGGCACCAGCAGCGAGGCCCATAGGGGTAGCAAACGATTTCGCCTCGCTCGGTGAAAGCGACCCCGATTGGCTGAGCGTGATGTCCTTCTACGGGCTGAGAAAAACAGGGGGTGAGATCGACGATGGTAGTAGAGGCGAGGGCAGCACTTTGCCACAGCTGCCCGCCGCCCAGTGTTTCCCTCGCGAGCAGCTGGCGCGGCGGACCGGGGCGGAGAAGAAGCTCTACATGATCACCGAGGGGGTTGCGAAGCTGCTCAAGGTCACTCACACACGCAGACAAGGCGTCTTCTGTGGGTGTGGTGTGCTTGATGGGAACGTGTTATGTGTTTAGTGTGAGAGCCGCATGCCGCTCAAGTGGGTGCACTTGGGAGTACGCGTCTTTGAGCGGGTCGACGCCAACTTCAAGGAATACACACCGTGCAAATGGAGACTGGCGCAGGTAGAGAAGAAAAGCATTCTCCCACACACTCACTCGTCATAGCAGTGCGTGTATGTGTTTACGTGTGGTTGTATGCAGGAGGGCCTGCCGACGATCCTCCGCTACCTTACGAGACGGCGGCTCTACGCGCGGCAGAAGGCTTTCACACAAATGCTGGTCAGCCAGCCATCCGGTCCTCGCACACACACTCTGCCCCGCGTGAATGCGCTTCTGTCTCTGTCCGTGCGTGCGTGCAGAGGCAGCGCACCTTCCCCACATCTGACGTGGACCAGTGGCAGAAAGAGGGACAGGTGAGGGGCCTAGGGGTTGGCCACACACTTACACACAATCGCGACTTAGTGACTGTGATGAGCACAATTGGGCCCACCGAGCCAGCCCTGAGACTTTGGTCAACTGATCAGACGTCTCGGGGTAGGCGAAGAGGACCTCAGTAGTAGTAGTTTTCAGTCTGAGTCCGCCAGCACACAACACACCACGTACATAATGCATCACCCACATACACGCATTCCATTCCCTCATCTCTGCGTGTCTGGATGTGTGTGTGTGTGTGCCTGCAGGTGTGGGGTCTTGATTCGTGCTATGACGACCAGGGCAGCATCGAGGGCGGGGGGGTGGCCGTCATCTGTGTGCCTGACGACGGCAGTGGCAGTGGTTCAAGGGTTCGGTGGCTGGGTGGTGTGGAGGACTCGGTGTATGTGGCAGGATTCCTGCTGGCGGGGCAGATGCAGGTATGTACGTATGTACCCTAAGTCTGCAGAGGAGAGGACAGAGGCGCAGACAGATTCGCGCATCATTCACATTCCCCGTGCGTGCATCTTATATATGTCGTTTGTCTCAGCTGTATGCCAACAAGGTCGAGACGCAGGCAATGGTAAGGGCAGCATCCACAGCTGTGACAGGGGTGGATCTCGTGTGTGGACGAGGTGGCAATGCACTGGTGGCTGTGTGTGTGTGTGTGTGTGCAGCTCTATCACTTGGATCGGATGGCTGGATCGGAGAGGGAGAGCAGTGGCGGCTGACGGATGGATGGATGGATCTCATGTAGAGACCGGCGTGTGGGGGTGTGCGTTGCTGTTGTGTGCGCATGTGCGCACGGCACGACTCACTGTACCGTCTTGTGTATTATCTACCGGTCCAGCCAGCCACGACACCACCAGAGTGATGTGATGGTGACGTGTGAATGCCACCTGTCTGTCAGGCCATTCAGTCAGTAATCACGCCCCTCCATACAACCCACACACACACGGACCGGACCCGGAGTCTGCCCCACGCACCAAGGCCACTCCAGCCAGCTACGTCACCACCACACCCCTACACCCACTGAGGTGAGGTGGCATGGCACCACACACCCACCGTCGATCCATGTCAATCCCACGCTACCTCCTCCTCTTCATCTGCCCCACCACCGCCCACACCAGAGGCATCCGCACCCGCGCTCGCACCCTCTACGCCTACACCATACGGCACCAACAAGGGCGCCTCGCCAGTCGCTTCCGATGGATGCTCGGCAGCAGCAGCAGCAGGCCTCTTCTCTTGCTCGGCGGTCTCTGCAGCAGCGGGGACCTCTGGTTGCTCTGGCTGGCCGGCTGTCTGCGGTTCTGCTCTGGCTGCGGCTTCATCGTCCCACGACACACTGAACTCCTCCACCTCCTCGCCGCCGAATGACGGCAGCTTCCTCTTCTCCTTCTCTCTCGCGTCACCTTGGTCGGGCTCCTGCTGCTGCTGCTGCTGCTGCCCCCCGATCTGCGGCAAGTGGAAGGTGGGGAAGTGGACGTGGGCCGAGAGGTGCTCGGCCATCTCCTTGCCCTGCCTGATGCGCTCCTCGGCACCCTTGAGCCCCTCACGCACACCCTCCTGCAGCCTATGCAGCCGATCCACCGCCTTAGACGTGTCGAAGGACGACAGGATGGGCGGGAAGGCCCACTTGCTGCCGGGCTGTCTATCGTCTGGGGCTCCTGCTGGTGCTGGGGGCGGCGTAGACGAGCTGGTCGATCCTGGAGAGGGAGGGGGGCGGGGACGGTGGGGGGGCGGCTGCGCGTCTGGCTGCTGCTGCTGCTGCTGCTGGGTGGTGGACTCCTGGTCCGCCGCGGCCATCATTTGGGGCTCGCGCTCTCGCCGCTCATCCTCAGAACGACGCCGAGCGAACTCTAAACAAAAAGGGGAACCATATCACTGGGAAGCCCCATGTGTGTCCGTGTCTCTTTTTCATTTCGTTTTCTGACCCTCCCGCATGGCAGCGGCCTTCTCCCTGGCGGCCACGAAGAGACCCTTTAGCTTCTGGAGGTCCTCAGACTCACTCGGGTCGTCCACACTGGTCGCCTTCTACACACCACACGAACCACAAACAGACAGAATGACGAAACCACGGGTGCGTGTGGGGTGTGAGCGTGTCGCACCTCCAGTATGATGTCCATGAAGAAATCCTGTGGGAATCTGGGATCGTGTGCGGCACCGTCCAGCTCGTGCAGACCCAGCTTCAGACAACCCTCTGATCATTGCGAGGGAGAGAAAACATTTGAATGCCTGTGGGCCGATGCTTTTGTGATCTGTTGTTACCAGGGAGGAATGCCGTGTTGAACGCCGCCCTCAAGACAGAGACCTTCTGCCCGTTCGACCCCATGTGGCGCACTCGGATCAGGATGTCGCCTACACACACACACCCGAAGACGCATCACATTGATGCATCCATGCTTCCATAACACACACATGGACCCTTTCTCCCTCTCACCGGCCACGGCCAGCTTGGCAGGGATGTCCAGTGCTACAGTGCCGTCGCTCTCGAAGTACCATGGCAGGTCGCACTCAGCCGCATGGGCATCGGCAGCGCTGTGACGGCTCTCCTCCCCCTCTCTGGGAGCCGCTGTACCGCTGGCAGCGTCACCCTCCGCCTGCTGCTCGGCAGACGGATGTTGCTCATCTGACGCCTGCTGCTGCTGCGTCTGCTGTTTGTCTGGTAGCGACGAGTAGAGAAGCTGGCCTGCCTGCCACACCTGATTGGAAGGAGGAAGAACGGACAGGCTCCGGGTGTTGCTCGTCTTGTGAGCGTGTGGTGTGGTGGGTCAGCCTACTGACCTCTATGTAGGGTCTGAATGCCGGCCGGTCCTGTGCGTGCCTCTGCAGCCGCAGTGGGGGCGCCTCGATGAGCGGGATGCCGTTGAGCAACACCCGCCGCAGACACAAACGGCTGTAGTCGGGCTGATAGATACGACACGCACACGCACACACAGCAGGAAGAAAAGTGCACAACGCAATCAACTTGGTGGGTGCATGTGGTGGTGTCTATAGACAGACTGACCATGAAGTTGTTTTGTATTTGGTAAAAGTATGTGAGGTATCTCTTCTGTGAGGGGAGGATCTGGTGCTCCTCGTCCAGCCCTATCTTCTCACACACCTCCTGAAGACCATCAACCGGATGGCTCACCAAACCACACCACGCCTATAGAACACACACACACACACACCCAGGCACCGTTTGCTGTGCTGCCCTGCACCCATCCCTCCCCTCCGTGGCTCACCATGAAGCATGAGAGGAAGACTGCCGACCTGCTGAAGCCCTTGTAGCAGTGAACCACCACCACATTCGACTCGTCAGACGTCAACCTGGATGAGCCAATGACACACACAAACACATCACACACTCGTGTGTGTCATGATGTGCGAGTGCATGAGCTACCCTACCATGCTGTGATAGACATGAAGAGCTCCAGCATGAGTCCCAGCGGCGGGCTGGGGAGGCCTCTGAACTGCACCTCGAGCACCTCGCCAGCAAACGTGCTCGTGTCGTACTTGCGCTCGCTCATGTTGATGACCAGGTAAGAGTGCCGATACCGCTCATTCAGCTGCTGGCTGAGAGATCCGAGCAGCGGTGCCGATGGATACTCCATGACTAGCAGTGAGGGGCGGATGGCCATGAGGCCGCGAGGGGAGCGCGGCGGGCGGGGAGGGGGATGGTCTAGCTCCGCCAAGGCGTTGGCCAGTGAGGTTTGCGTCGCGTCCGACACGGACTTGAGATATGACATCACACTTTGCATGATTCCCTCACCTACACCTCGGGAAAGATCCAGATCCACGATCGGCTGCTCATTGCGAGCTTAGAAGAGATGTTGGATTGCATCAATTTTTTCAGGTCCATTGTGTCCACGAGAGTTCAGTGTTAGGGCAGCTAGACAGACTATGCAGACCAATGCACTTTTGCAGTGACATCGAGAACAAGTAGACAACTCCTCCGCGTCGTGTCATTGATACTCTGCTCGGCGGCTACCTGCTGGTCCATGCGCCCTTGTTCCTCTGTGCATGCGCAAAGTGGGCAATGATGCGATTCAAGAGACTCAGTTCGTCTCGCTTCCTCGAGTCCGTAATGGATTCCCTCAGCCTGGCCAGGCTCACGCCAATCGATGGCCGCCCGTGGGAGAAAGCTTGGCTCTGGCTCGGACAGAATGGATGGCCGCTTGTTGAGGGCAGAGGCACGGCGGGACGCAGCTGGGTCGGAGAAAATGGACATCCGTCGTGTTTGCGACTCACGCCTGGACGTGGCTGCAGACGACCTTCTTGAGTGAGAAACTGCAGATGATCGCCGGCTCGACATGGCCGTGTACGAATCGTCCTCAAACGCACCTGGTCAGAAAAGGCGATGAAGAAAAAAGTCAATTGTTTGCTGGTGTGTTTTGACAGTAGTGCAGACCCACCTGTATGTGACAGCTGGCTTTGTCGCCGAGAGCTTGAACGCGGTAGTGTAGGTTCGTCCCACAAGTGCGGGGTCAGCCCCTCGATGTCAACCGGCCCCTCGAGGAAGTGTATGCGGACGGCATCCTGTCGCCCAGCACATCCATCGTTTTTCTCCCCCTGTTCCCCTTGACACCGTATGAAAAGAGCCACTTCGATGAAGCGGGCGATGGCCAAAATGCATCGCTGTGATAGCCGATTCCACTTGAATGCACCATCATGAAGAGTGGCGGCTGCCTTTGACAGGGAGGGATCGGTCATTGGATCACCCTCAACAATCAAGACGTTGTCGGCAAGGCTGGAGAAGGCAGCAGGGAGAAGCCCACATAGCATTTTGATTTTAGCGGCAAGGAAGGGGGACCGTCCGACCATCGAAGGGCTGGTGTGAAGACTGTGAGCGGCTGGCTGGCTGTTGGTGTCCTCCTCAGCATTGGTCGCTGGACGCTCAGCATTCATATTTGAGGCATCTTCACTGTCGTCACGGTCGTCTTGGTCATTCTTCTCGTCCGTTCTTGCATCATTCTCCCTCCTGCCGGCTTGTCTCGAAAGCCTCATCTTGACAGCAAATCGGACAGCAAGGAATGCTCGCCTTCTCTTGCCCGCTTGTCGCTTCGGAGGTGCGCTGTGGTCAGCCGGGGCCGATGTCTGCTTTCGAAGTGTAGGTTCTTCGCTCTGACTGCGCATCTTCGACTCAGTGTCGCCATTCGCAGTCGTGGTTGGCCCTTGTGGGAAAGCAGAAACGCTCCATCGGCGGCCCTCGTGCTTCGTGGTGCCCGAAACAGAGGCATCGTCACAGGAAGAAACTTGAGCTGGAACTTGAGCATGGGTGCTGGAGGACTCAGGTGGACCGGGTCCATTCTGAGAAGCAACAGAGGCAGGTACTCGTGTGTGACCCCGTCGTGTCTCTCTTGCTCCGGTGGGTAGTTGCGGAGTGGAGAGGATAGTTGAGTGGACAGGATTGGGTTGAGTGGAGAGGATAGTTGCGGCCTTGAGGAGACTGCGGGTGACTGAAGACCGTCTTGAAAGCTCATCAGTGGCCTTCGAGAAGTGGACGCCCTTCTCCGCGTCCGCCTGGGAGCTCAATTGTTCTGACGACTTGTTGCCCGACGATGCGCCAGACACCTGCCGCGGCCAGGCCACCCACACCGATGGAGTGGCCACTTGGGCTTTGAAACGCTCTTGATATAGAGTCGCGTGTCTTGATCGCCCCTCGATGCCGGTCTTTGAGGCCGCTGACGAATGAGCGGAGCTGTTGAGCTGTAGTCTCCAGTGCGTCTCCAACAGCAAGGGCAGCCGAAGGGTGAGAGAGGAAAATGTGGAGGTCCATGGATGAGAGTAGCGGTGGTGTCTTGTCGTTTGTCGCGAGCACCACAGCGACATTGACGACGTCAGCTGTCTTGGGTATGGCGATGCAGAACCGTACACTGTCATTGTTCTGCGTATCCATCAGGTTTTGCAACAGCCTCTCCCGTCCCGGCCCTGACACCTGGACCAGTCTCTCCCTTCTTCGTTTCGAAAGAGACATCAGCTGGTCGGCAAGCTGCAAGGTCTCCGCAGGTACGTCATTGATGAGGCAGGGGAACAGACCGTTCCGCAAAACTGCCGCACATCGCCTGAAAGACCGCGGACAAAGCGATGCCGGCTAGTCAGGATTGTATGTCTTTTGCCTCCCGTCCTTACCGATGTGAACCGGCAAACCTCAGGAGGACGCTGAGGCTTCTCTCAGGAAGCACCGGAATGCTCTCAATCACCACCTGCAACGGCGTCCGGTGCTTCATGAGTGTACGGACCTGAAAGCAATACAACGAGACTGGATGAGCACCACTCGTTCAGAATGAGTCAGATTTCCTTTCTACTCACACCGAGCCGATATAAAAGGACCACATCTAAAGACTTCAGCAGCCGTAAAAGAGACACGACCCTGTGGACAGCGTTCCTCAGCGAAGGTATTTCATGTCTCAGGCGAGGCGCTTCTTGCAGCCGCAGCCCGCGCTTCTCCGTCCCTCGTAATGTTTGCTGCACGTTGACTACTGTTTCAACCATCTGATCTTCAGGCTGATGTGGGAGCATTGGGGGAGGGCGGCGTGGCGAGGCCGGAGACATGACAGGGACGGCAGATGGAGGGCGAGGTGGCTCCACTTCGGAGGTACATGGCTGCGAGACCCCGTCAAGCCCTTCAGTGTATGTCAACGAGCGCCTCAGTGAGCGTGCTGAGGCGTGGCGATCGACCATATTCAGCTTGCCCTGGCACATCATAGCTCTGAATTTCTCTGACAGACAGAAGCCCACCGCCACAGATCGATCGCCAGAGAAGTCCCCGTCCAGCACCTGCCGCACCACGGCCGACGTATCTCCTCGCCTCGCTCGCCGGTGATTCAGGCAAAAAACCAACACCGCCAAAGGGATGCCAATTGAGGGAAAGAGGACAAAAGGAAGGCACGTCTCGCTGTACATCCGAGAGCTGCCCGGCATCCGCGTAGCAAACACGGCGGGTAAGGTAACGAAAAATGCCGTCAAGGCTGAGGAACGAAGCGCCAGGATGCCACAGCATGCATGTGGTCCATGTGTGTCTGTACTTACCGATTGCGTATACGGCGGCCCTAAGGTTGTTGATTCGAGGCCTCCCAAGGTAAGGTTGCGTCTTGATGTGGTAAGCCAGCATGACCACGAGCATAAGTAGCCCCTGAGACAAAGACGGAGGGGAAACGCCGTGTCACCTGCGATTCACTGACAAGGCGGGCTTACTCTGACTGCGCGCTCCGTCTTGGAAAAGAAGAGAGGATCAAAGTAGAGGAGTGGAATAATCGACTTGCAAAACGCGAGAACGACTCTTCCTGTTGCACGAGCGACAGAGTTGCGTTGCTGCAGTATCACCGTATCCTCTCACCTTGTGGCAGTTGACTAGTGCTGTCGTCTCATCTTCAAGCGCTTTAAGCACAGAACTGCAGACACACACTCATTAGCACTCTAGCTTTGGCATTCACACATAGCACCGGGCAGCTTGCTCCTTACATGTACAAAAGGGCCGAGAAGGCTACGGACAGCCCCATCAGCATCACCAACAGCTCGTGCAAGCGATGTTCTAGCCTGCCATTGCATAGAACGGCAGGATCGAAGCCAGTGCGCCTTTGGCGTCGTCGCAGTGACCGAGTGACGACAAATAGAATAAACTCGAAGTAATTGTCATGTCAAAGGCAAAGCGGATCAGGTAGGCCAGGAGGAACCAGATGAAGGGAGGCAAGCCGTCTCTCACAGCCAGCATCAGGATCAAAGCCAGCATCAGGAAAGCGTAAGCCCCAGTAAAGGCCTGCGCCTGCACATTTCCGAGTACCCTGTCCAAGATAACCGCTCCCGGGTGCCAGTGGACGAGATTACGCTGCGAAAAACCGATCTGACAGAAATCTTGCTCCTCGTGGTCTCCGTATGCGTTTGAGAACGACATGCTTGTAAACATCGTAAGATCGAACACGAGGTTGCCAATCCACATGTGCTCCGACAGCCACTGCAGGAAGGGTGGCTGGAGTCGCCGGTCGCGAATGACAGCGCGAGCGATGTCGTCGGCGACGGAAGATTCATCTCCCAGGTGCTGGCCCTCTTTCTGTCCCCTCCTGAATGCGCGCACGGCCTGGATCTTGCAGTTGGCCACAATTGCCGAGAGCTGCACACGCACAGGTATGTGATGCGCGCGCCTGTATGTGTCTTCTTCTTTGAGATGTTATTACATGCGTACTTCTTCTTCTTTGCGGTTGAATGAACTGGCAAGCACCAGGATGGGCACAGAGCAGAGGAACGTGCAATAGAAGGACACCCTTACCAACACACATACTCAGACGAAGGTATCGAACACACACACACACACACACACACATGGGCACACGCATCTGTCTGTCTGTCTGCCTGTCTGTGTGTCTGTGTGTCCACTCCACAGGATTACTTCCACATGTGTGACGACCGTCGGTACAACCGTGTCTACGTGCTCGAGGGCCACCGGCCGGGCGACACGATGGCCGTCACGATGCACCTTGGCGGCAACGACCACATGGCCGCCATCGTCTCGACCAAGCCAAAAGCCGAGGAGCACAATAGATAGACACTGCCACCCATTAGATTGACACGAATGACTGGCGGCTCGGCATTCATGCCTCGATAGCCATGCCTGTCATCTGATTAATGTGTTCAAGGGGTCATCTGCAGCTGGGTGCGGTTGAACGAATGCGTAATGCATGTGGTGTGTGGGTGGGTGGGTGGGTGGGTATGTATGTGTATATGTTGTGTGAGTAAGGGAGATCGAGGGTTGATGAGATGGATGGATTGATGGACACACACACACACATACGAGACGCATTCAATCGATTGGCGTGTCCATTGAGCAAACATGAAAAGTCTGATTGGTTGAAAATAATAAGACACGCAAGTCTGATACTTGAGAAAAAGTCCGATTCACGTGATAACGTGTTTCGACCGAGCCAAAAGCCGAGGACCACAATCACACAGCCTGTCCATTCATGCCATCATGCTCACGTCTAGCCCTAGCCTCTTCTCCAGCAGTTCCCGAAACACCTGTCTTAGCACCTCTGTGTCCACACGGTCGAACACCATCTGAGGACATCACCAGTCACTGTCTGTGTGCCGGTTGGCCTCCATTGGTGTCTGACATTCTTACATCGAGCTTCATCTGTTTCCCCGTACTCTCGATTGCCTCAATCTGGTACTGAAGGGATTGCCACAGCTGTGCAAGCACAGTCAGCATCGAGGTTTGGTTCTGATTCAGGCCTGTGTCATCTCCTGTGTCGTCACCTTTGTGTTTTTCTTCTGCAACCACCTTCGTTGATCGTCTCGCGACGCACCGTCACCTGGGCCGTTCAGCAGACTCTTGATCTTCTTCATGTCAGTCTCGCTGCATCCCTTCGACTGCAAGTCAAACTGAGTCAGTGTGCGCACACGCAAACAGACATAAACCCAGCGAAGCCATGCAAGTGAGATACCGTTTTCCGCGCATACCTTCTTTTTCCATTTCTCGATCTGCATGCGCGATACAGTGAGCCAGCCGATCTCGATTCCGTGCTGCTCCAGTTGGGAAGCGAGGGTGAGGGCGATATCCAAACCATGGGCGTCGCCGTCACCCATGTGGAAAACCTGCACAGGCAATGTGCCCGCTGCCTGTGCGTTATTGTGGATGCCGTACGTGATCTTGCTGTCTTACCACTATTCGCGTGGGGAGTTTTTTGGCCATACGGATGAGAAGATGCCGGACGGCCTCGGTGGGACTTCCCTTAGCTGAGGGGAGAGGACACAGACAGAGTGCATATGCTGCTCTCTATGACCTCTCTGTGATGCACCTACTGGCAAACACAACGTCAAAGACACCCAGCTTGAAAAGCCGGCTTGCCACGCCCGCCTGCTCAACGGTGGCAATGACGAGTGCGCCACGGCCATGCCACTTAGAGTTCTCGTCGAGCAGGAGTGACACACGACCTGCAGGCGCGCCAGAGATCGCAAACGACCGACAGCAGAAGGCCCGCAACCGCAAGAAGCGAGCGCACAGCCCAGACGGCCCTTGGCGGGAGGGGCGTGACGCACCCGAGAGCAGCGATGAGGACGACGACGAGTGGGGCGTCGACGTGGCCGCATCTAAGAAGAAGGCTGGTGCCGCCAAGGGCGAAGCAAAGAAGCAGAAACTGACGGCTGTTGCGGGGGGGGGCGGGGAACAAGAAGGCGGGCGCCAAGGGCACAAAGACACACACAAACCGTGCCAGGCTCTGGGATGAGAAGGTGTGATGCGACATGACGGTCTGATGTTGTCGGCCCACGTGTCTGTGGTGTGATGTTTCAGTTGTCGATGTTGGATGAAGTTCGCGGCTTCTGCGAGCGACACAGCGAGTGCGGTGAGTGCAGCGAGACCACACAGACACAGACAGCCAGAGACCGCCATTGACTGCTCGTGTATGTGAGTGCAGTCAAGAAGAATCTGTTGAAGGCCTTCCCTGCTCTCTCACGCAGACAGATGGACGGTTCGCAACGGCACACACCCACACTCCCACCCACTCACATCCATCACTCCCTCTCCCTGTTTGCGTGTCCGTTCCCAGATTGTTTGGATCAGTTGGTGGCTTCAAGCTTCCTCGTCAAGCGCGGCAACCGCTACTACCTCTCCAACCCCCGCTCGAGCATCAGCATGGTCGGCATTCCATCCACCTGAATGCTAACGCGTGACTCCATGGGATGTGTGTGTGTCTGTGTGTGTGTGTGTGTGTGTGGGTGTGTTGTGGGGTGTGATCTGTATGGTGTGTGTGGGGGGGG